AGCGTACGTGTGTTGTATGCTCACACTCAACTCTTCCTCCTTTTTTTATTTTCTTGCTCTTGCAGAGTGTCTAAGAAGAATCAACGACACCGACAAATTGCGTTTATAAAGCGCCTTTCACGCCGGGAGCACGTCTCGAGGTGCCGGGACTGTCGAGGCTTTAGCACCTTCATGAATAAGAGGAGGAGTCTCCATCAGCAAAGAGTGAGTGGTTTTCAAAGACAAGTAAACAAACTTGACATTAGGCGTGCTGCCTGGCAAGCTTCACACTGAGTTCCAACTAGGACCAGCTTACTTTGTAGGTCTTTGGCTTGGAGGATTAACAGGAGCTGAGTGGGAAGAATTCTCCACGCCCCGCTGAGTGGTTGCTCCTCCAAGTCCTGCCGACGAGCCAGGCTGTGCTGTCATTAGCATCGTCCTGGAGTACTGCGAATAGGAAATGAGATTACAAGATAATAATAGGCCTTGCATTTGATATAGCTCCTTATCACGTCTTCGGGAAGTCTCAAAGCGCTTCACAGAATATACTGTAAAGTGAATTGACTGTATATTTTGTGGGCAAAAGGTGGCAGCCAATTGCGCACCGCAGCGTCCCACAAAGATCACTACAAAGGATTCACTTGGTTCCGATGTTCTGTTTCCGAGCATGTCTGCCGTACATCAACCACCTTCCAGTAGCTCATTGAAAAGGCTATTGTTAATGTGTGATCCTGGACAGTGAGGTTGAACATATATTGTTTGCTGAAGCGAGGGAACTTGACGTTCTGTGCTTATCAGGAGTGTTTGAGTGTATTGTATATCGCAGAAATATGTTTTCTTGCAAGGATGTGGATTTCTTTTATTACCGTATCAGCAAACATGCACAGTCGTTCCTACATGAATCGTGATATTTTATTTCATCCAAATATATAGAGGGGGCAGACATTTGATAACAGTGAAATAATTTTCACCAAATCCAATTCTATTCTGAATTAAAAACTGGTGAACAGTCATTTTGTTTTTAATGTACATTTTTCCAGCGATTTATTTTTAGCTGAAGGAGATCATCGCTGAAGAGGAGAACATTTCTTTTCACTTTCGCTCCTACTATTGAGCACTCCAAGGTCAGATGCAGCACATTGGGATTCAAAATCAAGAAGGTTCTCTCAAATCTACGGAAGCAAGGTGTCCTAACCTCAGCACAGTAAATCCTTCTGCACCAATGGGTTGTGGAACCCTGTAGTGGATTGGTTAGTACACTCTCTTCTCAAGCGAAAGGACGAGGGTTCGATTCCGGGGAGGGGTGAAACCATAGACAAGTTTCCTTACTCAACACCCCTCTGTTTACCTAGCAGTAAGTAGGAATTGGCAGATTGCTTTCCAGGAGTAATAATCCGGCTCTTTCAAGAGCAATCCTTCTCATCGCATGGAGCCCAAGGAGAAACTTATCTTTTTAATCAAAGTACAGAACCTTAAAAAACACATCAAAGATGCAAAGGAGACATAACATAATTGCAGACAGTTATTAAAGTTATTAACGACAGCAGGATAATGCCACATCGCTCACTTGGAGCTCAGCGCTGCAACATTTGTGCAAGATAATGAAAGAACTGATAACACAGAAACATTGCGTGAGACGTGAAGACAATTGGGGTGCACTCCCTTCCATCCTCACTCACTATGTGTTGCCTTACTACGATGCTTACATGTGACAAAATAAACACAAAGTGAGGGTGGAGTGACGTTAAGGATATTCGACAGAAAGACAAAAAACACAGACAGGATGTAAGAAACAGATGTGAGGGAATTAAAATGGACAATCACAGGTCTGGCACACATTTACCATTCGTTCAAACAAGTCAGACAGTTGTGGGTGGTGAAGAAACTCAAATAGATTGGGCGCAAAATTCCTCTGGGCGCTACAAATAAAATTACTGCATAGGAACTGGAGCAGATCATTGAGTCTGTTCCTCCAGTTTATTAGAGATTAGTTGTGGATCTTTTAATCCTATTTCGTTGCACTTTCTCCAAATCCCTTAATACTCCCACTAACCCCAGGCTCTCCATCCCTGGCTCAGTTGGTAGCATCCTAGCCTCTGAGTTGGACAGAAGGACTTTTCTGGAACTCTTTGGAACTCCATCCCACAGTCCCTCCGCCTCGCCTCCTCCCTTTGCTCTTTCAAGACCCTCCTCTTCGACCGGGCATTCGGTCACCCTCCTCCCCCACCTCCTGCTCTCCACCCTACCCTCCCCGATCCTCACGCCCAGCTCGCCTTGGAACATCCTCCCGAATTGAAAGGTGTTAATCAAATGTAATGTTGTTGTTGTCTTCATTACAGAGTTTCGGAGAGATGGAAAGAGGGAGAAAAAAGAGAGAAGGGTGTCGAGCAATGGATCAGCAAAAGCACTTTACGAACCAAATGGCAATGTCGAGATGCCGTCCTTCAGATGAGACGTCAAAACCAAGATCCCATATGTGTCTGTCCAGTTTACAAATGATCTGGGACACTACCTCGAGTGGGGGGTGCTGTATAAATGCAGGTTGTTGTTGTTGATGACATTATGAACATCTGTGATCAGGGCTCCCTCTGCCTCCTTGTCCTCCTTGACCTCCCTGCCGCCTTCGACACTGTCGACCACTCTATCCTCATACACCTCTCCTCCTTACTTAATCTTTGCGGACCTGCCCTTGCCTGGTTCGATTCCTGTCTCTCTCACCGTCTCCACTTTGTTGCCTCTAATGGTTTCTCCTCCAGCCCCCGCACTGTCACGTCTGGGTCACCCAGGGCTCTGTCTTTGTCCCTCTCCTCTTTAATATCTACATGCTCCCCCTTGGTCATCATCCGCAGACATGGGGTCAACTTCCACATGTGTGCAGATGACACCCAACTCTATCTTTCTGCCTCCACCCTCAACTGCAGGACTACTGCTGTCCTGACAGACTGCCTATTCGACATCAAGTCCTGGATGAGCGCAAATTTCCTACAGTTGAATGTGAACAAGACTGAGGCCCTCCTGAGGCTCATACCAGCGCCTCTGGACCTCAGGCTCTGGCAGCATCAGCCTCCATGGTTGCACACTACAAGCCAGTCAGGAACCTCGGTATCTTATTCGACCTTCAACCGTCTTTTCTCCCCCACATTCAAGCCATGACCCGCTCTGCCTTCTCTCACCTCCGTAACATCGCCCGACTCCGCCACTACCTCACCCCTCAGGCCACTGAAACTCTTGTTGATGCCTTCATCACCTCCAGGCTTGACTATGCAAACGTCCTGCTTGTCGGCTTTCCCAACTCCTCCCTCCACAGGTGCAGATAATCCAGAACTCTGTAGCCCGTGTCCTCTCCTGCACCAAACTCAGTGACCCCATCTCCTCCATTCTCGCCCGACTCCATTGGCTCCCTATCCTTCAGAGGATCCAGTTCAAGATCCTGGTCCTCACATACAAAGCCCTCCATGGCCTCGCCCCACCCCACCTCTGCGACTTCCTAACCCCCTACTAACCCGCCCGTTCCCTCCGCTCAGCCGGCTCTGGCCTGCTCCATGTCCCCCGACCCATCCGCCCCACCATTGGCGGGAGAGCCTTCAGCCACTCTGCCCCCAACCTCTGGAATTCCATGCCCCAGTCACTCCGCCTCGCCCACTCCTTAGCCTCCTTCAAGACCCTCCTCTTCAACCATGCCATCGGCCACCACCCCTTCCCCTCCCTTCCCCCCCCCGACCCCAGCTCGGGTCTGAAGTGTTGTACTCTGTCCAGCGCCTTGGGACGTCCTCCCGACGTGAAATTCTCCCCAGAAAAAACACACCGACCAATTCACTTCACGACTCGTTGCGGGGCCATTGCTGTGAGCAAAATCAGGGATACCATGTGGGTGTCGCCCACAAACACAGTCGCTGTGTGTGAGTGTATCAGTGTGTGTGTGAGTGTGAGTGCATCAGTCAGTGTATGTGTATCAATGAGTGCGACAGTGAACATGAGTGTGTCAGTGAGTGTGTCAGTGAGCGTGTCAGTGAGTATGAGTGTGTCAGTGAGTGTGTGTGTGTCAGTGAGTGTGTGTGTCAGTGAGTGTGTCAGTGAGCGTGTCAGCGAGTATGAGTGTGTCAGTGAATGTGTGTGTGTCAGTGAGTGTCAGTGAGGATGAGTGTGAGTGTGTCAGTGAGTGTATCAGTGAGGATGAGTGTGTCAGTGAGTGTGAGTGTCAGTGAATGTGTCAGTGAGTGTCAGTGAGGATGAGTGTGTCAGTGAGTGTGAGTGTCAGTGAATGTGAGTGTGTCAGTGAGTGTATCAGTGAGGATGAGTGTGTCAGTGAGTGTGAGTGTCAGTGAATGTGAGTGTGTCAGTGAGTGTCAGTGAGGATGAGTGTGTCAGTGAGTGTGAGTGTGTCCCAGTGAGTGTGAGTGTGTCACAGTGAGTGTGAGTGTGTCCCAGTGAGTGTGAGTGTGTCCCAGTGAGTGTGAGTGTGTCCCAGTGAGTGTGAGTGTGTCAGATGGATAAGTGTGTATGAATGAGCTGAGAGATTCCCCCCCTCCCCCGCTCCCGCCCAGCCCCGCCCAGCCCCGCCCCCTCCCCCGCTCCGGCCCCGCCCCCTCCCCCGCTCCGCCCCGCCCCTCCCCCGCTCCGGCCCCGCCCCTCCCCCGCCCCAGCCCCGCCCCCTCCCCCGCCCAGCCCCGCCCCCTCCCCCGCTCCAGCCCCAGCCCCGCCCCCTCCCCGCCCCCGCCCCCTCCCCCGCTCCAGCCCCGCCCCCTCCCCCGCTCCAGCCCCGCCCCCGCCCCCGCTCCAGCCCCGCCCCCTCCCCCGCTCCAGCCCCGCCCCCTCCCCCGCTCCAGCCCCGCCCCCTCCCCCGCTCCAGCCCCGCCCCCCGCTCCAGCCCCGCCCCCTCCCCCGCTCCAGCCCCTTCCCCGCTCCAGCCCCTTCCCCGCTCCAGCCCCGCCCCCTCCCCCGCTCCAGCCCCGCCCCCTCCCCCGCTCCAGCCCCGCCCCTTCCCCTGCTCCAGCCCCGCCCCCCGTTGGTCACGTGGTGGTGGCGGCGGCGGCAAACGGCAGCCTGTGCTGATGACAAGATGGCGGCGGTGGCGGCGCCTCTTCCCCCGGAGAGCAGAGCCCTGACTTACTGCGTCCACAAATGGTCCAGTTACTCCTCCAGCTACATCCCCGAGTAAGTGACGCTCCCGTCCCCCCCCCCCCTCCCGGGCGCTGCTGGCCCGCGGGCCGCGTCACCTCAGCCCCGGGGCGGAAGAGGCCGCGACTGGGCCTCGGAAGCCTCGGGCTCGATTTAGACTGGAGGCCGGCAGACAGGGGGAGAGTGTGAGAGGGAGAGAGAGAGAGAGGGGGCAGGAGGGGGGGGATAAGGAGGCGGAGAGGATAAAGGGGGCCTCGTGGTGGGGGGGGAAGGGAGAGAGGGAGGGAGGAGAGGGAAAGAGTGGGGGAAACTAATAATAATCCTAATAATAATCCTTGGCCTTCGTTATGGCGCCTCGTCACGTCGACGAGAGCTTCACACACACACGAACACGCTCTCTCTATCTCTCTCTCTCTGATTGACCGTCACCTCTCCTTTCTAATGCTGTGCCATCCTCTCACCACCACTATCACCGTCCCTCTGTCTCTCTTTGGCAGAGGAGGGAGGGAGAGAGAGATAGAGAAAGAGATAGAGAGAAAGAGAGCTTCTTTTCTTCCTTCTCCTCCTTTGCTTTTTTTTGTATATATATATATATGTGTGTGTGTGTGCATATATATATATTATTTCATTTAACACCACTGCTAACCTGCTGCTGCGAGTGTCAGGTGAGCGGTTGAGAGATTCAGGTTTCGCCCCCCCCCCATCCCCCCCCAAAAAAATACCAAAGAGTCACTCCGCTTTGCGGCATACGTTCCCGCGAAGCGCTTCGGGGAGTCTCGAAGACGCGAGAATAAGGCGCCGCATCCAACGCAAGAAGGAAATTAATAATAATAATAATTTTGCGTTCGATATAGCGCCTCATCACTTCGTTGAGGCGTCTCTCCGCAGAATATACTGTTAAGTGACCTGACTGTAGATTGCGCAGTTTGTTTCTCGGCGGAGGAGGAGTGCTGCGTCTTATCTTCCTTCGCCTCCTTTCGAATTTTTTTCCAGTATACTTTTATTTAAAATCTGAGCAACCTGCTGCTGCAGTGAGTGTCAGACGAGTGTTGAGAGATACAGGTATTTGTGGGGAATTGACAGGGAGAGAAAGAGTTTGGGGGGGAAGAGAGAAAGAAGGAAAAAGGGAGGAGAACGAAAGAGGGGGAATTAATAATAATCCTTATCACGTAGTTGAGACCTCTCAAAGCGCTTCACAGAATTTACTGTAAAGTGTGTTGACTGTTATTTTGGGAGCATACAAACAACAGTCAGTTCACTTGAAATTGGGCAGAGGGGGAAGGAAGGGGAAAGTTGGGATGGGGAGAAAGGAGGGGGAAGAAGGGGAAATTGTTGAAATTGTACTTTATTTCCTACATCTTTAATGCCTGCTCCTTTTCAAAGATTAGATTATGCTGTATCGTTCTGTCTGTGGGAACTGCACTGCGAGACTTTGGGTTCTCACCACCCATTCCTTTGCACAGGGTATTCAATGGCATCTGAGGAAAATTTGATGCTCCTTTCAGAATTGATTTCTGTATTTATCAATAAAACCTTAAAATATATACGTGAAGTTGCAATAACACATGCATCATTTTGCCCACAAAATATACAGTCAATTCATTTTACAGTATATTCTGTGAAGCCTTTGAGACGTCTTGAAGACGTGATAAGGCATGATAATCAAATGCAAGCGTTAGTATTATCATTATTATTTCAATTTCTGGCTGATTTACCTTGTTTTCTTTTTATCATGGTCGAGATGACCATGTTTATTACTTTGTTGGCTAAGTGCTAATTTCTGAAATGTGCTAGTTTATTACAGAAGCCACAATTGTCTATGTTGAGGGAAAGAGAATCATCTTACGTATAATTCCATTAAGGTAGAATGGTGAAATTTTAATGCAATGCAGATTTAATTAATCAGAGTCTTTGAAGTTGCCCAATTCATTAAAATGAAGAAAAGCAAGAAACATAGTGACAAAGAAAAGTGAAAGGATCACCTATTGAATGGCAAGTCCTTTCTTGCAATTTTTTCTACAGTACGAGATGTGATTGAAGACGCACTCCAGATCCAGGAGTAATATTTAAGTCTTAGATGGTCTTGGGGTTTATAAATGGAAGAGTTAGGGGGCAAATTGATGTTTCGTACAAAAGAGAGATCTAGCTTTTTAGCAGCTTCACCAATGTATGAGCTGTGAGTATTTCACTTGAGATCAGAGATAGCCAAGTAAAGCCAAGTAAGTCAGGTGGACAAGGATGGTTAGTAAATCTGAAACTTGTTGTTGTTATTTTGATTTTAAGGGGCATAAAAACTGACATTGAAGAATTACACTAAATGACTTTTTGCTGTTTGCCCCCCCCCCGCCACCACCGGACGGCTGGGAGGGGCTGAATAATTTGATTTAAATAAGGATTGTGTGCTCTTTTGCTATGCAATTTGAAGAACATTGATCATTATGGAATAAAATCAGCAGCAGCTGTGGACAAGTTGGATGTCTAGTGGAAGAAATAATGATGTGGAGAAGGAGTAAATTGTGTGAGATACAAAGCCTTGCGGAGCTCCTGAGTTGATGGAAGAAAAAAACCCAAGGATAAGCCATAAAAATTACACACAGAACGTTGATTTGCAAATAGGTATCTTTGGACCAAAACTTGTTTCGAAGAACATGAAAGACTTGGTTAAAAATGTTCGAGATGTCAGATAATGACAAATGAATTGCCAAAGTTCAAGAGACGCTGAACTGAAACTTAACTTGCGAAGAGGATTATTTGAGTGGAGGATACAACAAAGAAGTTAGATATAAACCTTGATACAGCGATAGAACAGAACATAGTTATGGAGGGAAACTGTTAGTTGTCAGGACTAGAGTTTGAGAAGGAAAACAAGTAAAAGTGGTTGGCTTTTATTTAGGGCAGTAAGTCTGTCAGGAGGGTAAGTTTGTAACTTATGATATGCAGTTGACCATACTTATGTACTTTCCTCTGGAGAGATTTATCTTGGAATTTATTTATGTGATATGTTTCAATTACCTGTGGATAAATATTATGTGCTTCAAATATTGGCAGCCAATAACTCTGTACTTCAAACATTTGGAAAACAATTAGATACAACCTTTGATCAGCAAATAAAGCCAGTTCAAATGCGGGTTTTGAGATTATACTGTTACAAACGCTGATCTGAAGAACATCGTTTTGTTTAGAGTTTTCTGAAGTCAAGTATGCTGTAAGTTGTTTGTATTTGATGATTTCTGAACCATGAATAGTGCTGAAGACTGCAATAACTACAAGTTTGCTTATTGCTAAAACAGCAGAGGATTTAGTAATGAATGTCTGCCAACCGCTGGTATCAAACCTGTATTTTCCAAGTTAGATTTGTCCCTTTGTGGGTAATGGTAGTTGTGTGATCTAAGAAAATACTGACGTGAAAGGCGCTATACAAATGTAATTTTTTGTTCTTGTACTTGTATTGACTGCACAGGGCATTGCTGATGTATGTTAGCCATGTGGTTAAGTGCACAGTTGCATTTGAATAATTGAGTAAAGTATTTGCCAGTACATGGACAGATTTATATGCAGACAATCTACGTTTTTTGTTCATCAATGATACAGTTGTAATTGTTTGTGCCAGTTCTGGAAAGTGTGTGTTAACTGCTGTCCTCCCGGCAAAAACAGTAGATTTTACAAATTTTTAACAATTTTTACAAATTGTTTCCTTAAATTATAGTATCAAAGGAAACCTTGTGCAACTTGCTTTGCAAATCGAGGCATTTCAAGTCATGTTTCTTTTAATTGTCAAATAGTTACTGCTGAATAATTTCGTATTTCGTTAAAATGGTAGTTAGCGCAACAAATGAGCAGTGTTGTAGGTTCCTCACCTGTTCAATTCTATTGTTCTGGATTATTATCCAGATCCGTAGAAGTACAGATCAATGTCAATTATGTAATTCTTTGTGATTTGCCCAACAACCATAGAAAAAAGTAGTACTATGTCATTTGAGGACATATTGGAAATGTCCCATATTTATGGTGTGCTTTGGGTCAATTTAACAAAAATAACTGCATGTTTAGAGTCGGCCAAAGTAGAATTTTTTCCAAACGATAAATTGGAAAAATATTCTCCTGAAATTTGAAGTGGGTTGAGGAAGTGGAATTGAGGCATTTTGGTAAAATTCTACATGTGATGTGTTTGTATCTGCAGAACAATAAAGAGATAATTGAAATCAGCTATAGCTGGAATCAAAAAATGGACATGCAAAATGCTACGATGAATGTAAAAACTCTGTCTAGGGTATATTGCCAAGAAATTTACCAGAACCCGGTTCCAGATACTCTGCTGATCACACTTACAAATTGGAGAACATTTATTTTAATAGTTTGATTGGTATGCTGCATGGGTAGATGAATAATACAAGTTAGAAATAATTGTTCAGGGAGTAGTGAATATGCAACTAATGGGAATTCTTGTGGTGCTGTAGTAAAAAAAACACTGATGACTAAATTGCGTTGCTGCACAATCCACTGTTTGAAAAACTTATGCACAAAATTCAGTTATAGACCTTCAGTTTTCATCATTTGTTTTAATAATTTAGCATTTGATGTAGCACCTGATAACGTCGTTGAGATGTATCAAAGCGCTAAAATATTTTGTAAAGTGGATTGACTGCGCATTTGTGGGCGAAATGTGACAGCCAATTGCACACAGCAGTGTCCCACAAACAGTCGTGGATTGAGTGACCCAAATTATTTTTGAGAGTTTATTGCCCCTGGAAAGTGATCCGTCAATCGACTTAACAACCGGGTACCTACGTACTGCTGGTAAACAGAGTCGTGTGGAGTAAGAAAACTTGCCTAAGGTTTCGCCCTGACCGGGAATTCAACCTGGGACCTCTCACTTGTGAGGCAAGTGTGCTCACCACTACGTTACGTGACTCCAAATTATCATGTCTGTTATTATGCTTTAGATAATGAGTACACATCTGAGATGAGGTATTAGCGGAAATTTCAGTTTCTGTTTATATTGGAAACATTTGTTTTATTGTTTAAGGGCAAACACTAGATCTGGTTAGTTTATTGCCTACTTGGAAACTTGCTTCTATCAGAATTTATCAGATTTGGGAAACTTAGTCACTTTCAGATTGATTGCGTGGCACTTTTTTCTAAAAGAAAGTACCAGTTATCTCTGTATGTCCAATGGATTTAGCAGTTGGCCAATATAAATATGTGAATTTTATCTACTAAACTAAATAAAAGATGGTTAAGAATTTTGACTTAGAGGCCCTTAGCCTCAAGCCATGAATTGATTTGTCAAGTTGACCAGATCAGAGCTGAATGTGACCCAGGGATTTGGAAGTATAAACAATGACCTGATAAGTACATTTTCTTTACCTTTTGGTTGCGTCAGGCTATTTGCGGGAGATTTCCATTTCCAAATTGTCTGCCATGTATGCCTCCAAATGCAGTCATTGCACTTTACAGGAAAATTCGGAATGATGGATTGGGCCTGAAGAGTTAACTGCAGCTATAAGATAAATAGTGACTGCGTGGGTTATTTCTAATATTACCCCCTGGAGATTGTTTTTTTTNAACCAAAAAGTGTTCCTTTCTCTTGCTTCCATTCAATATTCTGCACTTTATGGATCTATTTCTTTTCTCCCTTTCCATTTCCACATTAATGCACTATTATGGCTGAGGTAGCGGACTAAAAATGTTGTTTGTGTAAAAAATGTTCTCTTCGACCGTGCCTTTGGTCGCCCTCCCAGCTATCTGCCTTCCCTCACCCCTATACCACCCCTCCCCCATGCTCAGGCTCCGACACCTGACTGTTCAGTACTTTGGGACGTCCTCCCGACTTGAAAGATGCTCTATAAATGTGATTTTGTTGTTGTTGTTTCTGCTGACTTGTAGCTGGATATTCATGCATTTCAAACAAAGAATACATTGCAAAACACAGCCACTCAGCTGACTTACAAAAAGATTAAAATTTGATCAGTTGATTTATTTGTAGGACTGGTTTTATGGTTCACAAATGGTTAAATATGGTAGTCTTGGTGATAAAGAACTGGATGGCAAGATCTATGGTTTTTAAGCATTCCAGTAATTGATTTGGAGCCCTAAAAGACTGGCTTAGTTATAATCCCCAGGTCATTGGCTTTGCTCTGTGCATTCATCGTTGGTCTTTTATTCTGTGAAATGCTCGATCTGCAACTCAAGTGCAGTTCAAATTTAGCCTTCATCTATGAATCTTAATACTACTAATTTGTTCCCAGTGGGTGTAATGTGCCTTTTCGTATTAAAGCAAGGGCAAGAAAGACTGCTTGACCGAGCCTAATTTCACTCAGATTCACTATAATTGACTTTAGAAATAATTTCTGTATTGCTTTATTCCATTGAAATGTGGCCCATTGGCGGGTTAGCTTGCTTACTCCGCATGCCTTTGTTTACCTAGCAGTACGTAGGAACCCGGTTGTTAGTCGATTGGTAGGTCGCTTTTCTGGGGCTAATAATCGTTGAAGATGTAATAAGGCGCTGTATCAAATGCAAGGATTATTATTGTTATTATGATAGTATTCATTGCCGAGGCTAATGTGCTGATGTCCGAGGAACCATAGTTTTGTAAGGAAAACAGTTTCCAAAACTAAGATTGGAGCAAGGGAAGGATCGCATTTCCAGTTATCTGGCAACCGTGCTATTTCTGGCACTAAATTCATGCAATGGTCGAGAACCAACATTGTCTTTAAAATTTTAACTGTTGCTTCTCAGTTGATGTTGCACTGCGATGATCAGCCTTAAGCTGTTTACCTCCCTCTTCCCCATGCACTAAAAGGCAAGCTCCTAATTTAACATAAATAGCTGGATTTACTGGTGCTATAAATCCCACATTAGACGCTTGATTTGCTCAGCTTTCTGTTTGCTGCTGTGAAGTCTGGTCTGCAGACAACCATCACTATTAAAAGAAAATGTACACAGCTTGTGGGGGTACTCGTAAATTCAGTGGTTTTTTTTCGGTTTAATCACTGGAATTGACGAGTAAAAGTCTCCCCTAGTGTGCGTGGCAACCCTAACACTGTACATCTTATTCATTGTACTCTAAATTATATTTTAAGAGCCTTGAGACATCCTCCTGACATGAAAGGCGCTATATAAATGTTAATTTTCTTGTAAATTGTGTTGTCTAAACTTTAGCATTTTAAGTGAAAAATGGAACACATTTGTGAGGTCCCTTGTATGCCTGCTATTTGCGCATTTTATATGCAGACTTCAAAATCAGTGTCTTATACCACATTTCATCTTGCTTTTCGTTTTGTGAAAATGGTATAGCAATGAGGAATGCTTTCCTGGTTAGTTATTTAGTTTCTGACAGTATTGGTTTTACCTCCTATCCAAGTAGCTCAGCCGAAATAAACAACAACAACTTGCAGTTGGCTGCCGCGGTTTGCCTACAAAATATAGTCAATTCACTTGATGGTATATTCTGTGAGGCACTTTGAGACGTCGCGAAGATCTGATAATGCAAATGCAACTTTAAGGATTATTATTATTTGTACAGCACCGTTCACGTGGGGCAGCCTCTTGGAGCGATTAACGGTGGCGGATGCCGAGTCAGGGGGAGGGAGGAGATGACTGTAAGCACCGTCAAAGAGGAAGTCTTTAGTCATGATCTAGAAGAGGGGAAAGATGGAGGGATTCAGGGAGAAAGTTCCAAAAACTTTGAGGCGTAGTGGCTGAAAGCGTGGCCGCCGATGGTGGAGCGGAGGGACAAACAGGAGACTAGAGACAGCCGAGCGGAGGCAGTGGAGTGGGGAGAGAGGCGGTCGAAAGGTAGGGAGGTGGCATCTTGATACGAAAATTAATGGATTGCATTGGTCTTTTTTATGTAGACTGCAAAGAACGAAATGATCTGGAATGTGCAAAAGAGTGGTCAGAGAACTATGACTTGGTCATATTTAGCTAAACTGGTACATAGTGCGGACTTGAAGATTTTGATTGATTTCCACTTTATTTATTTGGAATGTTAATTTGATTTGCTTGGGATTTGATTTTGTTTTAAGCGGAAGGCATTTATTTGAGAGAACAGATCATTGTGTTGGAATAGTTGAACTTGCAGCCAACTTGGGGAGAAAGCTGGCGATGGGGAGAAAGCTGGTGATTGGGGTTAGTGAAAGTGACTTGCTCTGTCAAAGAGCCGGCACAGACTCGATGGGCCGAATGGCCTCCTTCTGTGCCGTAACAGTCTATGAATCTGTAAAAACTGCTTGATGTAGGTCATAATGCCAGGAGTGGTGGGGGGGAAATCCTGTAATGCCATGAGTAGTAGTATGATGTGACTATTAAATGAAAAGCTTGTGACTATCGGGTTGGTGACGGCTGATTTGGGATTTTGTTTTCTTTCAGAAACATTTTGGTGGACAAACCTCACGACCAGTCTTCAAGATGGTCTTCTGAGAGCAACTACCCTCCTCAGGTGAAAGCCCTTAACTCTTTGTTTTCTTCCTTGGAAATAGCTATTAATAATAATAATTAATATTAACCTTGTTAGTATCTTGATTAATATATCATTGCACTCCTGACTTTTGTCATTTTATAATGCTTCACAGAACTTTCAACTTGTGTATTTTTCTTTTCTTTCCTTCTCTCTCTCCCCCCCCCCCTCCCCCCCAAAGAAAAAACAAACCTGGTGAGATTGCTTGGCTTATTGCTATTGCAACTCTTCCCTTCACAAGCTGCAGATCATCCAAAATTCTGCAGGTTGTGTACTCTCGCACACCAGGCTCTGTGACCCCATCACTCCCACCCTCACCCGACTCCACTGGCGCCCCATTCCCCCAGAGGATCGAATTTAAGATCCTCGTTTTCAAGGCCATCCATGGCCTTGCCCCCTCCTACCTCTCTGACCTGCTGACTCCCTACCCACCTGCCCGCGCTCTCTGTTCATCGGGCTCCGGCCTGATCCATGTCTCCCGCCCTACCATCGGTGGCCGGGCTTTCAGCCTCTCTGCCCCCACACTCTGGAACTCCATCCCGCAGTCACTTTGCCTCGCTTCCTCCCTTGCCTCTTTCGAGGCCGGTCTCCTCTTCAGTTGTGCCTTAAGTCGCCCACCCACCTCTCTGCCTTCCCTCACCCCCACCCCACCCCTGCCCCATGCTCAGGTCCTGACTCCTGATTGTCCAGCTCCTTGGGACGTCCTCCCGACGTGAAAGGCTCTCTATAAATGTTATTTTGCTGTTGTTATAAAAGTTTGAAAGTAGTTATATAGCATTGCACCAGAAGATTTTAAGCTAGCTAATTCTTGTTCTATTTGGTTTGGTCTGTAAGATGAAATTTACCTCCTTATATGCTGTTCATACTATAGTTTGGAGGGTTGTATCAGTCTGACTTTTCTTCCTTTGCCGGTATAAATCTGTCATTAATAATAATAATAATAATCCTTGCATTTATCTCGACTTGGTCTTACCGAAAAGGAGCTTGACTTAGAATTTGATTTCATGCCAGACATCAAAATTTTGATGTCAACTGGATTAGCTCCACATTGATTGTTGATCCAAATCTTTTTGTACTTCACATTACCTGAGATAAATCAGATTTTTAATCCATTATGTGGGTATACATGTCCAGAAAGCGCAAACAACTGTGGAAATCATTTGGGGGAATTTACATCTAAACTGGAAAGCTCTATTGCTTCAGAAAGTTCCATTCTAAGGAAAGGCATTAAAATGGTATAAATTGATAATTCGTCTGCAATGCACTTGAACTTTCGGTCACAGAGGTGAATGAACTTTATTCTGCTCTGACATGAGGTCAGGCTCACCATCTGCCAAAATACTATCGTGCTCAGTTGCATTAATAACAATAAAAATCCTTGCATTTGATATAGCTCCTCATCATGTCATTGAGACATCTCAAAGCGCTTCACAGAATATACTGTAAAGTGGATTGACTGTATTTTGTGAGAAAAATGTGGCAGCCAATTGTGCTGGGGAGCAGTTAATCGGGAAGTAAAAAGAAAATGACTGAAATAAGGACATGAATGAAAACGCCAAAATTTCAAGTGTAAATTTTTTGTTCAGCTTCACGTCCTTTGGGCCAACGCTCATGTCAGTCATGACCGAGTGGTGGAAACTTTTGTAGCATTTATGGCTAAGTGTGTAAAGAAAGGCAAAACTGATGTGCATGACCGTAAGCAATGGATCAAGAGTTTTCCTTCTGAGAGCAGACATAAAATAGGAGGACCAATCAATTGAATGCTGTCTTGCTTATTGAGCCTGGACTGCAGCAGAACTCCGCAAGAGAAATAACATGAAGTAGGTTTTTGAGAGAGATCTGTTGTGACAGATGTGTACCCCTATAAACCTTATTCAGTTGAAAAGCATTTCAAGCAGTGATTCTGCACAAAAGGTGTATTTAACATGAACAGAATGTTAGGCGTGCAAACACGGTAACTAATTTACATTAACAAATTTCCGCAGATCAGCAGCCAATTAATTTGAAAGTTTTGGGATGAATTTCGGAGCCGGAGGAATACTTATTTTTAAATTAACAAGGGAGTAAAATGAAGTTGCAAAAAATCAGTGGAACATGACAGTTTCTCATTAACTCGACTGGCTTAATTTGAAACTGAATACAAATTCGTGTAGTACCTGAAACAAAATGTTATTTTGTAGGTTATTAGAAAACAATTTTTAATTCTTGGCTCTAGGTTGAGTTGATCCATGACTGATCATTTATTTTTATCAGATTATACAACAATCTCTCCAGAACGCTACCCAGCTTAAAGGGGGCTATATAAGTGCAAGATGTTGTTCATGTAAAGCAGCATCGTCTTAGACACAAAGGTCTACGCTGCAAACCCTCCATTATTCTATCTGCCATTCTGAGTTATGCTGAAAAAAAGTAATTGTTTTTGTGCAATACAAAAGGGAGAAAATTGTTTTATATTGGCAGGATTTTTAAAAAAATTCAACAAATAAATTTGCTAACCTTAGGTTTTCACACTGCACTATGTAGCATAATTGTATAACTGTATAAAATTTACTGCATGCATGAAGATTTCTTCATCTCGTCTCTAGAAGAGCATTAGTTTAAAATTATACTTGGAACTAGATTTATCTAAACTGTCAGCATTTGACAGGTAATTTACCTGTATAGCGTTTTGAGATGTTTTTGATGTGATAAGACACTATATAAATGTAAGCTTGTTTGTTTCTCTTTATTTGAGTTTAGATACCTTAGTTTCAGTGGGATAATGGTACAAAACATTAAGTGCATTAAATGTACGAAAGCAGGCTTGACAATTTTGTGTTCGAGTTCTCTTGTTTTATCATCACAATTTCAAATGTTTGTCTTAGAGCTAAATCATTTCAGCATTTTAAAGACTGGGAACATTTCTTTCATCTGACTCCTTACTGAAAACCAGTTCACTTTTGTGACCTTTACCCAATCATCTTTGTTCTTCGAAGTACCATACTTTTGGTCTCTAAATTTGGTGTTAGTGAGTTCTCTATCTCGCTAGTTGGTGAGCCTTATTGGTTATCCCTTCAGATTGACCAGATACCTTGACCACACCAAAATTGTTCTCTTAGTAATTTCTCTTAGTAAGTTCTCCACTTATTCTGTATCCATGTGCTGTGCTTAGAGACTTTATGGGGTCCCAAATACAAAAGTTGATACCTTCTGCTCCTTATCTGCTTTAAATTCAGAAAGGTCTAAATGAATTCAACCTTTCGAATGCTGCACTTGTCTGTGTGGTTTGGCGTGATCAATAGTATTATTTCGGAGTATGTGCTCAGCATAGACCTATCCAGAACTCTACTCTATGCTATCAGAAGAGCTTATCTATAAGTCATTGAACTATGATTGCTGTATCAGCTCCTCTTCGGCAAGCTATTTTGCCATTAATTCTGTGCATCTCCTTCTTTAAAGGCTTCACAGAACTTTATTAAATGCCTCTAAAATTTCTTTGATACTTTAGCCGGTGGAAAGCTTTAATGTCCACAGATTTATTACCTTCCCAAAAAGCTCCATTATGTTTGCGAGATGACCCACTGAAACCATTGCACGACTTTTATCTCTGTGAATGATTCTCCTCTTAAAAAATTGTTCTGAACATTTCTACGCTTATCAACTTTTAACAAATCTGCATTTCAATTAATTTCTTTCTTCGCTTTCACTACCTTTGAAATGCTTTTATAAAATGCCATTGTACATTCTTTAATTTTCCTTTCAGTATTTGATCCTGAAACTTGAGAGGCCAGCTATAGTCCAGAGCATTACCTTTGGCAAGTATGAAAAGACCCACGTCTGCAACATGAAGAAGTTCAAAGTTTATGGGGGAATGAGTGAAGAAAACATGACCGAACTGTTATCAAGGCAAGTCATCAAGTTTATTGGCTGTCGCGTTTCGCCCAGTCAATTCATTTTACAATATATTCTACGAAGCGCTTTGAGACTTCTCAACGACATGATAAGGCGCTATATCAAATGCAAGGTTTATTATTACTATATTTCTCAGCAATGACTGAATTGTTTTCTTCTTCAGGTTAAAGTTTAATCTTTTCAGAGAAACTTTTCTATCAATAGATTCTTGGGTTGATGGCTAATTTGGACTAATTTGTGTTTAATTTTAAATGTGTCGATCCCCTTCTCAAAGCTCTTCGGACTTTCTATAAAGTGCAGTGAACCGTATTTGTAGGAGAACTAGCCAGTTTTGCCTACAGAGTGTAGCTAGTATGGAGCAGGCATTAAGCATTACAAAAGTCATAGAATTGAGAATGTTATAATCAACTCACCCGGCAAGTGAAACATTCAATATTTTAGGTACTGACTAGTAGCTTTTGTTCTATCATGAATTATGAATGAGCACATTATTTGAATTGTTTTTGAATTGAGGAGAATCATCTATTAATTTTGAAACCTGGGATTGATTCACAGTGGCTTGAAGAATGATTACAACAAGGAGACCTTCACCTTGAAGCACAAAATTGATGATCAGATGTTCCCCTGTCGATTCGTTAAAATAGGTAAGGTTACTGATTGAGTTCTTCTTATTTTCTTAAAAAGAAAAAGTTTTGAACGGGAGTAGAATATCATCACCCAGATGGAGCAAAGCCACTAATATACATAAATGGTCTTTTTTCAAATGTTCCCCCATCCTTGCATGGTTGAAGCAAAAGGCATCAATGCATTTAAAAGGAAATTTGTTTTGTACATGAGATAGAAGGGAATAGTAAGGGTAGAGGCTTGTGTCGGGTCAAATAGCCTGTTTCGTGCTGAATCATTCAATGTAATTCTATCCTCCCCTCCTTGTGATGTGTTCCGAGTGCAATATGCTTCAAAAGTACATGTGTTTGAAGCCTATTAGAGGACGCGTGCTACAGAAAATGTGCGCACACCCGAACTGTAGATCAGGGAAGTCCAATTGGCGGCCGATTTCATCCGCGCCCCATCTCCCTCCTTCCATTTTATCTGGCCCACCTGCTCCCTCCATAAACCGTAAATGTAATGTTATGTTTCTGGAAGGAAAACACCAAAATGTTTATGCAGCCCGCAGTCTTTTCTCAAATAGGGCATCTGGCTCTCAGGTTGGACCACCCTGGCATCGATAAATCTTAAACCCTAAAACGTAGTTTGAATCTTGTCTTAAATTACTTCTGACCAACTGATTCATATCATCCGATTCAGTTATATTTTCCTTTTCCCACGCTGGCCATTGTAAGACCCCATTCAGTGTGATTGCCAGTGAAGTAATACATTCAGTTTTCTGCTGTAAGCCTTTGGCCACGGGAAACTGAATTAAATCTTTTAAGTACTGCGCTTGTTTTAACCCTTTATGTGTTAAGAACAGTTATTTTGGGCACATTTGAATTGCTAATCCCGCTCATTTTCATCAGTAGCATCTCAATTTGTCAGAAAGTATTTATTTTCAAAGGGCACGCTGACCTAGTTCTATCGATCTTAAGATTGGAGCAACATGAGTCTTCAGAGCCAGGTTTCGGAAGGTATATGGATTAGAAGTATTTTTCAAATTTAAGAATACAAGGAATAAGGAATATCGGGGAATAAAGAAAGAAATTAATAGAGACTCTCCCAATTGTATCATAATCAGATGGGTGCCTGACACGTGCAGAAATCAATCACAATGCAATGTTAGAGTATCCAAACTGCTGAGTTTGCTGGTCACAGCCGGGGAGGATAAATTGGCCTGGCCTTCGTAGGGGAAGGAAGGGGGAAATGAGCCAGGCGACCTGCTCTTTCTGCAGCATCATCTACTGTTTATATGTTGATGTAGCAAAGGTGCGTGAGTGGGCAAAGATTGGAGGCGCTATCAATGGACGGTGGATGGGTTTACTGGTCTTGAGGTATGAGGAAAGTGATTCAGCTGTTCCTGAAGCTAATATTCACCTTTTTTTTCACAAATAGTTCCATTAATGTCCTGGGGCCCCAGCTTTAACTTCAGCATCTGGTATGCTGAACTACATGGGATAGATGAACCAGATGTTGTGCAACCATGCCTTAACTGGTACAGCAAGGTAGGCCTATTTATTGTGTTACATTTAAGCAATCTTATTTCATGTTAAATTATGTTAATGCTTGATACTTCTGATGATCGCTTTCTAAACTGTTTGGATACAAACTAGACAGTCACTCCACTCTACAGTAAATTCTGTGAAGCGTTTTAAGATGATTCAGTGATGTGATAAGGGGTTTATTTCCACATTTAGTTTGAGTTAAGTAAGGTGAATTTACACCGACCCCCCCCCCCCCCCCACACACACACACTATCACCAGTGGCTGAAGACTTTTGAAGGGTGGTTTTGGACAGCTGGGTGTCTTTCCAGAAAGTATTAGGTGCAGGTTGGCCAGAGCCAAGGCTTGGGGACCCCAGAGTGCGCGTTGGGGTAACTGCTGGAGTGTTAACCAGCTAAAACTGCATAGGTTGCCATTGGATAACTCTGTCTGGCTTTCCTGCTGCTTGTCCAGCTGGGACCACTCTACCCCATTGGGCTTTGGCTTATAGAGTAGTTCCGAGGAGATCCTGCTTACCACTACAAGAATAACCACAAGTTGGTCATTCGACATCCAACAAGCGTGGGTTTGAGCCCTCACCAGCTGGATGATAGGTACCAGGAACTCCCTACGAGCTTCCCGGTGGGCAACACAGTTCAGCATGAAATGGGTTTGCAAACAATGAAAACCCGAGTTATGTAATCCAGCGCCTTGGAACGTCCTCTCGACGTGAGAGGCGCATGGTGTGCAAACCTGCATGATAAATGCTGATTCAGTTTGGTGAGAAATTGCATCAAAATAAGGAAGTGGTAGCTTCCAGTGAGTCAACCTTTGGCAGCACCTGAATTAGTGAGCTCATTGGCATGTTAAGTCCTTAAATTACTCAATAGTAAGGAAATAAAGTAACCAATGGTAGATTCACTGAAGTGAAATAGGAAAATTAGCATTCGTTGAAAAAGGTTCCCTGGGGCTTCTTTTTCGGTGTAATAATGATGATTCCTACCGCCTTTCATGTTGGAAGAACGTTTTATTTGTCAGTAGATGGAAAGCTAAATTAATTTCCCGCAGTGTTGCTGTTTATAGTATTTTATAGTATTGGTAAACATTTAGCCATTCATTTTCAGTTAGTTGCATTTTTAATATCATTTAAATAAAAGGAATAAAAAAATATAATTGAGTGTCTAGCCTAGGTCAATTTACTGATCAAACCCAGAAGCATTTTACTTTATGAGGTGTTTTGATTTGCTCTCATTTTTTCACGATAAAAGTCAGTATTTGGTGAGCAGTGAAATGTCCTAGTTGACGATGATCTCAATCTCCTGTCAGTCACCTTCTGCTAATCGTAAAAGCTTCTTGTAACCTTTGCACAGCTTGATCCCAGAGTTTAGCTCTTTACAGGCAGTGAATATAATAAGTCAATGAGGGGTGAGCTAGGATTCAAGTGCCTTTTTAGCTGAATGCAATCATCAGTATCTGAGAGCAGCGGGAATACAAGAATTGTTTGCATTGAACTATTGCTGTGCTTCACTGCAGTTTTAAGGCCTGATCTGAGTAGGAGGTAAATTTTAGATGTAATGGAGGTTTACAGCTATTCCTTCTGAGCTGAGAGCTGTTAACCGCCAACGTCTCCATAATTTCGAGCCCTGTGTAATTAGAACTGAGGCACTTATCTGGCTTTACATTTGCAGAAAGACAGTTATGTAAGCGTTGCCAGTTAAAGCTTTCACTAAAATTGAATTTGGATTTGAAAGTCTCTTGACTTGAAACTCTTAACTGTTTCCAGATTACCCTCTAATAAAACCAGTTCTATATAGGATTGTCCGAAATCTATTTTGTGAACACTGGGAAATAGTTTTTATCATTTTGTGCTTTGAGTCTAAAGTAAAATGAAATGTTTTCCTTGTATGCCACCCCCTAGTTTAGCAGGGAGTTCCTGATACCTATCTTCCACCTAGTGAGGGCTCAAACTCACCTTTGTTGGATGTCAAACGACCAACAAGTGACTGTTCTCCTTGGGCGTGGAGGTAAGTGGGGTCTCCTTGGAGCTGAACTGGCTGTCGGAATCATGCCCATCCTCTGCAGCTGTCTCGGTCGTCCAGGTTCCTGAGCCAGACGGGTCTGTAGCACTCCCAAGGCACTGCTGATAACAGACCAGCCAGGCTGGCTCAATGTCAGGACTGACTGAACTGGCTCCAAGGAAACCTAGCCTAACTCCTTTCGTCCAGAGGTTAATTTCAATGGTAAGCTATGAGGTTTACCACATATGCTGAGGTCCCAAACCTTGGCTCTTGCCTGCCTGTGCCTAAAACGCTCTAAAATAGGTAAGCAGGGTGCGTCCATTTGGGGAGACAGTGTGTATTTCATTCCAAACATGGGAATTTCCACGTGTAGGTGGCATACATGGAACTCTGTCTGCTTTGTATTCTCTTAAGGACGGTGATCGGATTCTGTATGTGTGAGACACTCAGTTGACCAATAAAATGTCTCACTGACAGAATTATAAGCGAGGAGTGCAAAATTGACTTGCTTCCAAGTTGTCAAGTTGCTGATAGAGAGAGAGAGAGAAGCCAAGCATTCGAGCAAAACTAAAACAACACCACACACTAAGCAAAATAAAAGAAGCTTTATAACACCTTAAAATTCGCCCTTGAGGGTCGTTTAAAGAAAAAGAGAGCGAGGGGAGTGGGGTGAAAAGTCACAAAAATAAATTAAGAACGAAAAACACACACAAAAGAATTATTTGCAAGAGGACCCGGGTTCAATTCTCTTGAGGGGTGAAACCTTAGGCAAGTTTCCTTACTCCACACGCATGCCTCTGTAAGTAGGTTGGTGGATTGCTTGTCCGGAGGTAATAATCCCTCCAAAAAAGTTAAAAAAATAATGCTAATACGATCACTGATTCCATGACTGTTTATAGGACACTGTTGTGCACAATTGGCTGCCGCATTCGCCCACAAAATATGCAGTCATTTCACTTTACAGTATAGTCTGTGAAACGCTTTCAACCGTTTCAACGATGTGATGAGGCGCTATATCAAATGCAAGGATTATTATTACAAATATTACATTCTTTGTAGACCTGCACAATAAGTAAAGGAGTACCATAGTGATGGGCACTGTAGTGAAGTTCCATAGTAATTGCACAGTCAACGCATGAACAACTTAGTGTAACACACACACACACACACAGGCTAAAACATAACCTGGCATAAACATTTTTCACCATTTCCTTATGTTCTAGTAGTACCGTGAACAGGAAGCCATTAGGCTGTGCCTGAAACATTTTCGCCAGCACAACTACACTGAGGCCTTTGAGTCACTGCAGAAGAAAACTAAGATTGCATTGGAGCACCCGATGTTGACGGAACTGCACGACAAGTTAGTCCTCAAGGGCGATTTTGATGCTTGCGAAGAACTGATTGAAAAAGCTGTAGATGGTGAGTTAACTGCTTCCTGACGTCATCCCTAATAACTAAATAATCCAATAATAACCTCTGATTGTAATCACCATTGCTCTTGAAGTGTTCCCTTATTCTCATGTGGAGGAATGGGTATTCTAAATCTGGAACTTAATCGTGGTGCTGTTAATAAAGCCCAATAATAAATGAGGGGGAAATTCAGTGTTTCAGTGAACTAATAACTTTTTGTATGTTATCGCAGAATTTGTTGACTGGGTTCTGCTTTACTTTGGCTTTCTTTCCCTCCCTTGAGTTGTGATCGGGCGAATGACGCTTAGAATGCATGAATGCTGTTTATATGCCATTTCATTGGTGATTTTGTAGACTCATTACTGGAAAGGCTTCAATATGGAGTCCATTCCTGTATTCCTGTTGTTTCTCACCCAGTCTTCATGGCTTAATTTCCCTTTCTGTCTCATTTTATTCCTGTCGTCTTAAATCTCTTTGCTTTGATTGCGAACCTTTCTGATTCTTTTTTTCTCTCTCTCTGGTGACAAAATCAGCTTGTGTTGGTGTGATTGTGTTTCCTAACTATTGGGGTATTTTTATATCCATTGAATGTACAAAGATTGGAAATATTCCCGAAGGAACTTTTAACTTCAGTAAATCCGGAGAACGGAAGCCAAGCATTGTCTCTTGTACAAAGCCAAGATGTTGGTGTGTACCAACTATCTTCCCTCTTTCACTTCTCCGACTTGTTCACTGAATTTCGGTGTTGAGTTGGTGGTTCTGTTTTAGCAAGGTACCACACATCCCACAAGATTTTCACCCACTTCAATGCTGCATCACTGTTGGGACCTGATGTCGCTAGTCTCTTGGGGAATCTCATTTAAATTATAAAAATTCAAAGTTGAGCCCTCTGAATTCAGCACTCCACTGCTTGAGGAAAGGTCCTTATCAATCTATAATTGGGAGGTGACTATATAACAATTACATTACCTAGGGAGCATTAGGAGGATTAAACTGTTCAGTTTTCCTTGGCTTATTTTTAAGCAGTGGAAGTCTAGAGAAGAATAAATATCTCCTGCATTATCAAGCAGTAATCTGAATGAAATGTCAACTGAATTAACATAGAATTGTTTTTAATGGACATTTGAACTTTAAATGAGATTGCTGCTATAAAATGGTTCATGCATCTATTTTAATAATAAGTTGAGCCCTTTTCTGTTTTTTTTCCCCCTTTTGCTGGTGGCAAATGAATTCGACTTTACTGAGGTGGATTAATTTCAAGTATAAATTTTGCAATTCAACAACAAGATTACATTTGTATAGCGCCTTTCACCTCGGGAGGACGTCCCAAGGCACTGGACAGTGTACAGCATTACAGACCTGAGCTGGGGTCGGGGTGGGGGGAAAGAGAGGGGAGAGGAAGGGGGGTGGCCGATGGCATGGTCGAAGAGGAGGGTCTTGAGGCGGGACTTGAAGGAGGCTAAGGAGGGGGCGAGGTGGAGTGATTGGGGGATGGAATTCCAGAGGTTGGGGGCAGAGTGGCTGAGGGCTCACCCGCCAATGGTGGGGCGGGTGGGTTGGGGGACGTGGAGCAGGCCAGAGTCGGCTGAGCGGAGGGAGCGGGCGGGTTGGTAGGGGTTAGGAGGTCGCAGAGGTAGGGTGGAGCGAGGCCATGGAGGGCTTTGTATGTGAGGGCCAGGATCTTGAACTGGATCCTCTGAAGGCTAGGGAACCAATGGAGTCGGGCGAGAGTGGGGGAGATGGGGAGACGGAGTAACAGAAGTGCAATTATATATTTCAATATTATTGAAATCTAGAGAAAGTAGAACAGCCCTTTTGAGACCAACAGTTTTTAATACTGTGCCGAGTCTAAGGATTGTTAAAATAACTTTAGAAACTTCAGACGTTATTATACTACTATCTACGTTCTCTACATTTCAATAATCTTTCCATTGATATGTTTCCATTAGGTTTCCTTTTGTTTTAAATTTAGCAGGTAATTTGCCAAACCTGCAAAACTCCATTTTCCCAAATTGGCACAGTATTTCAATATTCAGTATTGACGCACACACAGTTTATTGCATATCTAGATGTATTCCATGAGAGAGGAAGTCCTGGTAACTCTTTTGAAGAATGAAGTCAAAGATGCAACAAGTAGTTTAACTTGCTCTGTTTATACTCGGTGGGAAAGTTTATCGCTTTGTTGTTGCGGAGTTGGAATTGCACAAGTTAGTTAGCGTTGCTTTCTTTCCTCCCCCAAATCCAAAATAGAATTCTGATTGGAGTCAGATGGGTGTCGGGTGTTACTTGTTTAGCATTTATCAGGATTAAACTGTAAATTTCTAAGATGCCTGATCTATAAGAATTATTTTAAAAACCTATTTGTTTGAATGCATTTGATTTTGTGGATTTCACCCAGACTTACATCAGATTAAAGTTCTGGACAGTTGAGAGGTGAACCAGTGTTCACGATTAGTTTATATAATATATTATACATGTTTCTTCTGCCGAGATTCAGTATTTCACTTCCCCTTTCCCTTCCAAAATGAAATTAAGAAATCAGTTCCTTAAAACAGTTTGTTCCCGTTGTTGTCTGAAGGATAACTTTCTGGAGTTAGAAATTGTGTGCGCTTATTACCGAAATTACTTTCTATCCCAAATGGCCTTATGTGGGGTTTCAAGTAGTTTATTAATTGGGATTTGCTACTCAATCTGAGAAATTGGCACTTTAGCACAATGCTTTTCATTATATCCATCTCCAATTACTCGATAATGACTCTACAGGTTTTTCCATCTCTTTGAGGAAGGTGTTGTTGGAATGTGATCTGTCCTGGTTTGATTGTTATGTAAATTAAATACTAGCTTTGTTTTCAGATGGCTTGTTTAACCAGTACATCAGTCAACAGGAGTATAAACCCAGGTGGACACAGATCATCCCACAGAGTAGTAAAGGTAAGGATTGTTTTAGAAATATTATGAACGAATGGATTTTATTTTCCTTGTGGCAAAGGCAAAATAATGCCGTTTTAATTTGGAAAAATTTGCCTTCTAACTTAAAACATGCTGTACCTTTTTCAGTGTGATCCAGAGAACATACAAACCAATTTTATCATGTTTAGCTATTTTGTTTGCAGTATTAAGTGACGTAACTCAATGTAGCCAGAGGCAAATGCAGACATCTCCTGTAATTGATCTTGTTTGTTGCTAACATAAGAAAACTTGTAGAAATTGCATTGGATATCAATAAGCAAGGAAGAGCTTCTTGGGTTCAATACACGTTCTGACAACTGTGATTCAGCTTCAATTCTGATTACAAGAGATTGATTTCTTCAAGACATGGAGAACATTGAGAAAATTGGGAAGTCAGGGAGAATTGGTGCGATATTTTGTAATTTTGGTGGACATCTTTGTTAGCTTAATTACTCACAGTGTAAACATGAAGGTTTTCGTCAAGTGCTGGTGAATCTGCCAGTGCTACCCTGGTCCTGATCTTGAGGATCATTATTCACATCTCTAGGATGTTGTGGAGGACATTGTATTGTTGCTTGGATTTCAGTTCAGTATAATAGTATAATAGGCCAGTGAACTTTTTGCGAGATTATTTGATTTGATTCATAGCGCCTTCCCCTTTTACACACCATGGAAAATCTACTATATCCTTTTATTCTGCACTACTGTTCCCAAGCAGATGCACGTCTGTGTTTTTCCTGCTAGGATTTCAGTGGAGGTAGTGCTGGCTTGTAAAACTAATGCTGTGCTGTGCTCATTAGAGCTGTGAAAACCCTTCCGTGGCACAATTATACATGTTGTACTTCAAAATCTCCATGTGGAGAGTGTTTCTGAGCTATGCAACACTGATTTGAATTATTATTGGTGAACGCAATTTGAAATGATTGATCTGGGTAAGTATCATACAGCATTTCGCCCACAAAACATACAGTCAATTCACTTTACAGTATATGCTGTGAAGCACTATATCAACTGCAAGGATTATTATTATTTATCAGGTTAAAAAAATTCTCCCTACCTCCCTTGCATCCTACCCCCAGCTACGCAACTGTAGCTATATCCCTTCTAATACACTAAATAAGATCAATGACCATATTATGATTGGCTCTGGATTATTCATTCATTTTGTAATTAAGTATGGGAACCAGTATTACCCTTCGCAGATGTTTCAAGAGCTTCAATTTTCCTTCAGAGCTATGTTGATGCTTTACAATTTACAGTTTAAACAGCACTGGGTTGGCTTTCATGTTGATACCCTCTTGCATTAGATTGAATTTATAGTTTGTACAATCCAATAACGAATATCGGAGTCTGTTAATACTTGTAGGTTAAGAGCTACAGAATAGTCTTGAACAAGTGTGAAACGTTTGCTTCCCACTCTACCTCTTTTTTCCTCTTTCTGTAATTACTCATATTCGCACCCTACAGATTGCGAAATGAATTGAACATTGTGGTATCCACACCCAAACAAGAGGGAAGGTAGCAAACCCACATTACAAGTTTTATGTCAGTGCCACTCTGGAACTAACAACAGCAACTTGCGTTTATATAGAGCACTTCACACCGGACGGTATCTCAGAGAGCTTGGTGCAAGAAATGCATTGGATGTCTGCTACATTGATGCGGAGTGTCAAGCCTATTCTCACAACCACATTTGTGTTACCTGTATGCACATTGTTACTGCAGAAATACCTCAAGTCATATGTTTTTTTCCCCCATCAGGTGATGGTGAAGACAACAGACCTGGGATGAGAGGAGGTCACCAGATGGTAATTGACGTTCAGACAGGTAAAAATGTTGCACACTAAACCCACTGAACCCTTAGCTTGAAATATTTGCGAAATTGAAGTCGATAACTGGCCTTTGGCATTATTTAATTCTGCAGCTCGTTAACTGGTGAAGTCGAGGTGCTGTTTCAAGCGCTCGGGATTGCTACCCAGTGTGAGCGGCGCAACATAAATCCATGTTGTTGTTAATATTCAGGCTCTTAGGTTAACATTTGAAGTCAGTCCGACCTGTTTCTGTAGTTGCACTGGGTCCCCTTCGATATGGAAGCAACTGTGTCCTTTAATTGGGTGTTAATAGTAGAACAGGGTTGCATCTAGAAATGTAGGAAAACAGGAGGACGAGAGGGCCATTGAGCCTGCTCCGCCAATATTTGCCAGATCCTTTAATCTCAGTGCGCTCTTGCACTTTTGGGGACTCACTTTTCTGAGAAGAAAATGCTGTTACACTGAAGCATAGCTTTCTGCAGCATTGCAAATTTTATGCAAGGTGGAAAATATTGCCTGCCAAACTATATGTACTTGCAAGCAAGAGTCAATTTAAATTTATTTACGGCTGTAGGTAAGATTGTAAAGTAAAACCCTAAACATAAAGCTGCAAGAGCCCACAGCACCGTGTTTACAACAACCCAAGGTAAATGCTAAATTAATTTATTGTTTACAGCTCTTTGTAAATGCTGCAAGCAGACATCTAACACTTGAGTACAAGGTTTCTTCAGCTCTTTCTAGAAGCAGGAGGGTCGATTGAAGATGAGTTTACTCTCAGAGCCCTATGTCCGAGCAAATACTTGAATATTGACTATGAGTACTGTGGAATCAAGCGCTGTTGATGTCCTTATCTTAAAGATTTTCATTTATGTTGACTGCTCTGTCATAATGAGGAATCTTAATGAATTTGGCTCATGCAAACTGTTTGTAAGTAAACAAAAAGACTTCTCAGTGATTGGGGAAAAAAACCTTAAATCATTTAATTTCATGAAATGAAATGGAGAGTTTGGGCTCTCAGCTCGGACATACGGTGAAGTTATTAGTTTGAACCAAGTCAACTGAATCACCCTTGTTGTGTGATAATAATAAATTATGACATTTGATAAAGCGCCTTTGATGTCTAATGATTCAATGTGTTTCACAGGATTTCCTGTAAAGTGTGATGACCATGTATTTTGGAGGTGGACTAATTTGTAGGAATCCATGCATGAATTCTGTGCTTTATTGGTTTAGCTTCGTGGTGGACTGTAACTTGTGACCCATTTAAGTAGTGAATCCGAACGCTCGGTAATTTCAAATTCAGTTAAGTATGTAATGGTATTCAGTTAATTTGCGATCCTACTCTCTTTTTAAGATATGTTTGATTTGGCTGCGTTTTATTCTGCGCCCCGTAGACTCTGTATGAATTAGGGAATTCAGCTTTTGTAAGTCTCCATGTTGTCTGCAAATTTCCCGTTGGTTCTCTCTAAAGAACCATACGTTTTTGGCTTGTTTCAAAGACCATCTGTCCCCCTGCTGACTATTTTTAGCATTACCATGATTCGTGGAATGGCCTGGAATAGACGGGCTGTTGCCAATGACAGCAATACTTATTGACGTCACTTGTAGCACTGGGGCCTGTGCTAGGTAGCAGTTAAGCACAGTAGTAGTAGTAGTAGGAGTTTGCACCGAGGGTGATTTTAGTCCATAATTAAGGAACCTGGACCCCATTTGAAGAATGAATTTTAAAACTTATTCAATCTGTGAAAGAATCCAAGCTGTCTTACTAAATCCCACAATCAAACGTCAGCTTGCAGAAAAATAATTGCGAAGATAATAGTAGCTTTCAAGTAGCAGCTAAGTGTGACCATGGCAGTTGCTGAGTTTCTGTTTCATTTTGTGCAGAAATTGCTGTAGTTTTCAGGTGCACAAATTACTTCAAGACCAATTGGCTTCAATGTCCTTAACATCCTATACCTGTCGTTTGCAAACGCACAAATTTTGATGTAGTTTATGTGTGTAGACTTTAATGCTGAACATCATTTTATTTGATCTCTGGAATCAGTTGAAAATGTAAAATGAACTTCAGTTATTTGCCTACAAATATGTTTACGACACTTGACAATAAAATCCTGTGAAGCTCTTTCAAACGTCTTGACAATGCGATAAGATGTTTTTCAAATGCAAGGATTATTATAAATGTAAGTTGTATTGTGAGTTTGGGGCAAGATCTTACCAAAACAAGATCATTTGTTTTAAAAGGGGGTGATTCGTCAGCAAACATGGCAAGTAATCTGCACCAGAGGTGTTTCATAAATTGCAGTGGTCAACCTAGTTTGCAATATTAAAATCATAGAGTTGACATGACACGTTCTGATCCAGTTGCGAAAAGTGCAACCAACTGCGTCCAACTGACACGCAGATGAAAAAGGTTGATTGTGGTCATGTTTTTTTTGGGGGGTGGGGGGTAAAAATAAACTATTGCAAAATGACACATTCGTCTTCAGCCACAAGTCGTAAGAGTACTTTTATAAAATTTAACTTGGACAAATTGTCCAAATTAAGCGCAGTTTAGAAAAGTCAAACAGTTGCAGATAATCGCACAAGGAATTGATAGTCTTGTCTGCTGACGTTCACAGTTGTGTTGAGTTCTCCAAAAAGGAAATGAAAACGCTGCCAGATTTTGTGTTCAATAAAGCTGTTGTGATGTTACACAGTTTTGTTAGCTGTGAGAATTTATGCACAGAGGCCCTCTTCTTAAGTTGAAACACTAGGAGTCTGTTAGTGAAGGTAACGAACTGTTGTAACCTTCTTTAAAACACAATGATCCAAACTTTCCCCCCCCCCACCCCCCCTTTTGGTTTGTTTACTGAAGTAAAAGGGGAATATGTCACATAGAAGAGATCAAATAATTGCCCTTTGAGCTGATTATAGCTTTTGGGAGCAACTCTAGTATGTTTCTCTGAAATAGTGTGCACAAGACTGCACATGGAAGGAAAATGGTGAACATTTATCTACATTTATCTGTTCAAAGAAATTTATATTTTGAGGTTTTTATTCCCCTCCTGTTGCAGGGGCAGAGCTGGTGTTTTTTGTAATGATTCTTAGTCTTATTTTCTGTAGCAAAATTATCAACTTTTAAACTAATGTATTGATGGATATTGAAGAATTCAGACTTTCTCAGCAGGTATCCAACTCTGTCGATCAGTTTTCTTTTAGAAAAAAAGAATTAAAATTGCTCATTATAAGAGAAACTGCTTAAAAAAAACCTTCCTCTGTCTTCATTATTCATTAATTGCTGTAATATTTGTTGGTAATTCAGTATGTAATTCTGCACCTCCCCAGTGGACCGGTTGTACCTATTTAATTCCTTCTCAAGTAACGTGGAACTGATGAGTTTGATGTATTTTTCCTTAACTCTTTACTTTAAACCTATTTTGTGGTTTCTCCCACAAAGTACACAGTCACACACTTTACAGTATGCTCTGTGAAGGGCTTTATGACGTCTCAATGATGTGATGAGGCCCTTTATCAAATGTAAGAATTATTATTGTAAACATCAACCAAATGTGAGCAGTTTAAAGCTGTTATGCTAGTTGCAGTCTATGCTGTTGCATAAGTATATTTTTACAGATTATATAATGACAATCCTAATATTAGTGCTCCTATCACCATGTGTCTTGGAAAAAGCTATAAAACTCTTCAGCCATCTAACAAGTTCTTTGCATTATATAGTTCTTCTTCCTAGTCATCTCTAAGATGGAAACTCAGTTCTGTGCCAAGGTCCCTCGAGCTGGAGGAAAACTGAGCTAAATTTATAGCATTGTATTAAATGAGCTGTGGCTTTAAATAGCTCTCTTCTCTGCACTTAGCCAATCTAAGAAATGGAGGAACTTGAACAACATCGGCGGAGGTTTAGGATGATTGATCCAAAGGATTATTATTATTATTGTGGCCAAAATAAACGATTGGGTTTTTCAGGAAAATTTTATGTAAAATTTCAAAAGGTAGTAATTTCAATGGATAAATTGATGTTTTTTTTCATAGCTGTTAAAACATTGATCACAGCATTCTCCATCATGGTGTCAGCCCAGATCAGTTGATAGCAGCACTCTTAGGGTCAGAAGTTTGTGGGTTCAAGCCCTGTGTCAGGACATCAGGATTTTGGGGCCCATAGTCTATGGTGGCACTCCAGTCCAGTGTTGGATTGCCTGAGATGCTGTCTATTGGATGACATGTTAAAACAGGGTAGGATCTGCCTGTTTAGGTGGATGTTAAATATCTCCTGACGCTATTTGAAAACAAGCAAGGATTTTCTCCCAGTGTCCTGACCAACAATCCTCCAGATAAATGGTTCATTCATTTCATGGCTATTTGTGGGACATTGTGTGCAAATTAGCTGCCTCATTCACCTACAAGTTCAGCCACTGCACTTTATATGAACTTTGTGAAGCACTTTGAGACCTTCTCAACACTTCAAATGCAATGCATTATAAATGTATTATAAGTGCCGCATATTATTGTAAGGTGAAGCAAAGTTGGACCATTTTAGGCAAAAAAAATCCAAATTTTCAGGAGCAAATTTCTGAATAATTGTTTTTTCTTTGCAGAAACTGTATATTTATTTGGTGGTTGGGATGGGACGCAGGATTTAGCAGATTTCTGGGCGTATACTGTCAAAGAAAACCAGTGGACTTGCATATCTAGAGACACAGAGAAGGAGGTAAGTCAGCATTTTTACATTGTAAATAAAAGCTGCATAAGTATAATGTGACTAGAGGGGAAAAATATCAGGCCATAATCTAATTCTTCTTGAGAACAGTTCTATGTGTTCCGAGACACTACCCCACGTGACGGACGCAATATATACACAAGTTGTTGTGAAATGTTTGCTGAAATATTTGGTGTCCTGGTTAGACCTCATAGAATTCAGAATGAATAGTTTTTGAGTGTCTTTCTAACTGAGAACGAGATCGTACCTTTTTAAATTACTCTTTTTCCGGTCATCCTACTCTAAGATCTGATATTACAGGTATCGATCCGTATTAAAGCTTTGGACAGGTTTCCAGTGAGGTTTTTTGTTTTTAAAGGGTACTTAAAGTGTATGTTGCCTTGATGATTTGCCTCCATGACATCCGCTTCATTTCTGATTGATCTCTCTGTAAAGTGCTGTGAGGCTTTAGCGAAGGGCATTATTTGTTTTAACAAAGTTGCTATTTTTGGTGGAACCCAAAAGTTATGAAGTTGACAGATTTACACTGTAATATTGGGGCTCCCAGTCTTAATTGTCAAACTGCCTGAAGAGCAGAAGTGAGTGGTTGTGTCATGTAAAGACACAAATTTTAGTCAATTAAATAATGCTGCTTATCAAAAGCTTTGCATTCCAGAGGTTTGAATTTGGTGGAAAGATTCATTGATGCACACTAATGCCCAAGATAATAAGCAAGTCTGTTCAGAACTAGCGAAAGAATACTGTTCTTTATCATTGTTGTTACACAATCCTGAGTTTCTCTGGTCTTGGGCAATCTCAAATGTTGGTTCAGCTCTGCACTGTCAACACAAACATTAATAGGGTGCTTGATCCCGGATGTTCTCAAATCCAATTTCCGTGCGCTGTGTACTGATTCCAAGTAACCCAAGCAGATTTTCCAGTGCTGAACAGAACTCGTGTAAAGATTAGGGCCACAGCAATTCTAAATCAGTGTTACAATTTTTTNCATTATCAATTTGCAGGAAGTTGTTCACAAAATTGAGAAACTGACATAGAGGTGCAGTCAAACCTGTTCAAGCAAATACCCCCATTCAGCAACCACCCCCTGTTAACAACCGTTAGCACACCAACAAACCCTTACTTAGAGGCCACCTTTAACAACAACTATAATAATAAATAATAATCCTTGCACTTGATATAGCGCCTTATCAGATCATTGAGGCACCTCAAAGCGCTTCACAGGATATACTGTAAAGTGGATTGACTGTATTTTGTGGGCGAAATAAACCCTTATATAAAGGCCACTTTGGCACAGTCCCCTGAGAGGTTGTTGAAGGCTAGTTTGACTGTATTAAAGTGAAATTTAGAGACTAATTCTATGATTTGTACCTAGAATCCAAATTTTGAGGTAAATGTGTGGTAAGTGAGGGTAATGGTTTGAAGAATGTGAATTGGTTGAATATTGGTTCGTGGCCTGCAACTATTTGTTGACATTCCTCAGTGCTTGATATTTGAGGTAGCTATAAACCTGAATTGAGACCAAGCATCTGAAGGGTTGCCCTGAGTACCTTTTGCGTTTGTTTAGTTTCGTATAAATATACTTAAATATACTGTTGGAAAGCAGTTCATGAAATTGTAAACCTCGCTTAAATTTCAAGAGTCTAAATGAATTGCCTCATTTTGTGTTAATGGTCAGGTTGGTAGGGAGTCAGCAGGTCAGAGAGGTAGGAGGGGGCAAGGCCATGGATAGCCTTAAAGGTGAGGACGAGGATCTTGAACTTGATCCTCTGGGGGATGGGGAGCCAGCGGAGTCGGGCGAGGGTGGGAGTGATGGGGTCCCGGAGCCTGGTGCGTGAGCGTACACGAGCTGCAGAGTTTGGGATGATCTGCAGCTTGTGAAAGGAAGAGTTGGGAAGGCCAATGAGGAGGGAGTTCCCGTAATCAAGCCTTGAGGTAACGAATGCATGGGTGAGGGTTCGACAGCCTGAGGGGTGAGGCAGTGGCGATTAGCAACGTTTATTTTATGCAGCTGGCACCACCAATTTTAAATCTGGCAATGACTGAAAATGCCTTTCGTTGGCAAGACTATTGACCAGATGAAAGCCGTGGCTCCCGTCTACATCATTTCACTTGTGTCTCAGACCTCAATACCCTTGACTGACTTCTCCCTCAAACTCACTGAACCAATGCTCAACTTTAGTGTTGGGTTTGATCCTCAGCCCTCCTTCCTTCACATTGACCAAGACCGCTTTTGTTCTTGCCACATTGCCTGCCTCAGTCTGTCTCACATGAAACGCTGCCAACATCCTCAGTCGACCACAGCCCATCACCCCAATCTTCGCCAGACTTGCTGGCTTCCTGGCTCCTAATGGATCAACTTCAAGGTCCTTGATCATATTTATAAATCGTTTCACACCTTAGCATCTCTATCGCTGGGATCTTTACTTATTCCATTCTCCTGCTCATTCCGCCACTCGGCAAACTCTGGCCTCAACCCCAACATCGGTGGCCGAGCTTTCAGTAAGTATAATAAAAGTTTACACTTATATAGCGTCTGTTATGCTGGGAGGACATCCCAAGTGCCTCGTACATCCCAACCCTCTGGAATTCACTCCCTTTTATCTCTCTGTCTCGTTATTTCCCCTTTTATCTGCCTTTAAATCCACCTAGAAGCCTAGCCTAGGGGTCAGACTCCGCTACTGTCAAGCGCTCCGGGACGCCACCCTGCGTGAAGGGCGTATATAAATCAAGTTTTTGTTGTAGCTCTTCAACTGTACCTCCTGCCCCCTCTCCTCTCCCTTGCTTGCCACCTGACACTGACACTGAAAAGCTCTGTGACGTTATCCTATGTGAAGGGTCCTATATAAATTACAATTTGTTGTTGAATATTCTGTGAGATCACAGGTAATCACTCGCACCACTTAAGTTCTAGTCAAAATCCCATACAAAGTGAAACTTTACTAATTACCAGAAAGTTAAGCTTACACTTCTGAAGCGTTCCAACAACCACAGCATGTTTGCTTTGCCCATAAGTTTCAATTTGCTCTGCCACTACCTCATCTTCACACAACAGTATTAAACGGTGTGATTACTGCAGATTTATTGAGAAAAATTAGCATTTGATCAGCGTGCCGTTCACAACGAACATTATAATTTTAAGTATCGTGTTTAGTGCATTTTCGAGCGCATTTCAGTACACGTAATAGTCTTTTCTGCCAGCATGTTTGTATTACACTGGATTACTGTGAGGGTGAATGCAGGAAAAACACTCGCTCTGCTTCTGGAAATGTATTTAAAACGTGCGTTCTGTTTTGGCCCTCAAAAGTAGGGGGGAGTCCTTTATTTTGTTTTACGCCAGTCAGACCAGAGTGGTAAAAGGTATATGTTAAAGCTTGCTTGGACAGTCTGAAAGTTCTTTGTGGTTGTGAGCCCACACACTACAATATTTTCCTGAGATTGACATCGAACTGGCTGGCTGAAAGGTCATAAGGATCACTCGTGTACGAAATGGAAAAATTCCCACTGGCACAGTGAGGGAGAGAGATACTCTTCTGAGATTGGCTTTTTGACGGATCAAGAGCGGAGGAGCGTTGTTGTGTACAAGATATTAATTAAAAAAAGTCAGCAGATTCCTGGCAATCTGCATCTTCAGTATTTACGCAATTTTTTTTTTTTGCCTTCGTTTTAACGGAGAATGGAAATCCAAGGGAGCATCTTTTGTTCTAAGTGTTATTTTTCAGAGGAAAACAATGTTGTTGCCCCTTTCTTTTTGAAAAAGAACACGTCTCTTTAATTACCTGCACTGACAGTGACCCTCGAGTCGTGTCGTCTCTTCCTACTAAGCCATTCATCGGCTAGAATGGAGTAGTTGCTTGTGAATACATAATAACCCTTGCATTTGATATTTAGCCTTATCACGTCGTTAAGATATCTCAAAGCGCTTCACAGAATCCACTGTAAAGTGAATTAATTGTACATCCTGGTGGCAAAACGTGGCAGCCAATTGCACAAGGCAATTGCAAAATCCCTGGGGTATGACTAATCTGGTCTGAGCATCAATCTGGAGCTTTAGGCCCTGGGAAATGATTGGGTACTTGGAATCTCCTGCTTACAGCATGTCTTTCCAGTATCTTGGGCTGCAGTTTCCTGTAGAGCTGCTGCATAACTTATAGGAGGAAAAGGGGCTTCTCAGTTTAACATCATTGGACCCTAGAAAGATAAGATAGGTACTTGAGGTCTCCATACAAGTCCCTTTGGTTGAAACCTGCAGATCCTTTCTATTAACTGTTGTTTCCTTCCCTAAACGGAAAGAGGAGCACTTTGAACAAACGGCGATAATAATAGTAATCCTTGCTTTTGATATCGCTCCTTATCACATCGTTTAGACGTCTCATAGTGCTTCACAGGATGCACTGTAACGTGGATTGACTGTATTTTTTGTGGGTGAAACGCGGCAGCCAGTTGCGCACAGCAGTGTCCCGCAAACAGCCAAGGAGTGAGTGACCAATGATTTTATTTTGGGGTATTTTTAGTCAGGACACCGGGAGAAACTCCATTCTCGTTTAAAAAAAATAGTGTGTGCAAACCAGTTTAGTATACTACTTGAACATATGTATTATATTTAACATCGTCAAAATCATGGCAGTATGCAAGATAAGCTTTACATTCCTGTTCAGTTTGTTGAAGAAACTGCACACTTTTATTGCAGTTTGCTGCTGCTGCTGTTTTGTTCGGCTTTCTGGCTCAGCATATGGAAATAATTCCTGACTGTTTGTTCCATGGGTCCTTCAACTATTAAGGCATTTCTTCCAGAATGGTTATAAAAGTGTTGCCTTGCATCCCCGGTTATTAGGGTTAGGGTTAAAATTGGACAATTCTCTTCGTGGGTGTTTGTGGGACATAGCTGTGCACTGATTGACCGCAGTGTTCGCCTGCAAAATAACAGTCACTACACTTTACAGTAAGACCTGTGAAGCGCCTTGAGATATCCTCCTGTCTGGAAAGGTGGCATATAAAATTTAAAGGTTATTAACGTAAGGATTATTTAAAAGGCTCTAAGTCAACTGCAATCTTTAGTCTCCTGGAAGTTGTCACCTGATTTGACTGCAGGAATTGTGCTGCAGTTTAACCATTGGTAATGTGTTCTTTAAGAGCAGGAGTGTGGCATGTAAATTTGTTGTGAGCTTATTGGCTTGATTTGGAAGCGTGAAAGCAACCATGTGATTTTTAGAAAAGTTGATCATTGTGATCTCAATTATTCAGTTTGTTTCCTGACGTCTTCCTGACGTGAAAGGTGGGGAGTAAATGCAACTTTTGATGCTGTTATTGCAGATGTAAATCTGATTCTTTATTTCATCAAAAGGTTACAGATAGCTTGTGACCTACTTTCTCCCTTTCATCACATTGTTTCGGAAACTCTGAATGCGGTATCGTTATAGTTTCCTACAGAGTTGTCAGTTTTGACATGGAATCTCGTTGACTGCAATGACTTGCACTCTCCCTCTGCTCAGCCTGCTCCACATCCGCCGCCCAGTCACCCCCCCACCCCAACACCATCGGCAGTCAGACCTTGAAGCTCTCACCTTTTGAAACTCCGTCCCACAGTTCCTTGAAGGCCTTGCCTTCTTCAGCTGTGTGTGAGAGAATCACAAGGCAGACAATAGGGCCTGAAAGCAATGACTCGATCAATATAGGGAATGCATTTTTTTTTAAAAAGTCAGTCAAATGCGACAGCCGTTCTCAATAAGAGGAATAGTCCTATTTTCATTTTGAAATGTTTGGCGTGAATTTGGTTTCGGGTGGAATATTCTACCATTATTTAAATCGACATGAAAGTTTCATTTAAAAAACGAAAGAGCAATGACCAAAGATACCAGATTATATTGAGCGAGTCATATTCTCAAGATCACAAAATTGATCTGGATGAAACAAGTGCCAGAATACCCCTTGTCTTCCCCTTATACAGTGTCGAGTTTTTTTTTCCCCCTCAGATGAGTTCAACGTCCTGGCTTCATTGGTTTCTGTTTGAACAATGAGATCAGTGTTCAGTTTTAACTAAAAATCGGCAATAGTTCCAAATTTTCCTTACATTGGAATATTTCACTCGGTGGTCTTATGCATAAGCTTTTCAAATTGTCTGCCTTTAACCTTGTTTCCCTCTGCTGCTTGTTTGCCTACAGAATGGCCCCAGTGCCAGGTCCTGCCACAAAATGTGTATTGACACGACTCGGAGACAGATCTACACGCTTGGCCGTTACCTAGATTCTTCTGTGAGGAACAGCAAATCTCTGAAGAGCGATTTCTATCGTTACGACATAGACACTAATAAATGGACACTGTTGAGTGAAGATACATCTACTGACGGTGGGCCTAAACTGGTATTCGATCATCAGGTAGGAAGTGCTGATATCTTCAAACCAAATCTGTGACCAGCTTTTATCATGTTCATCAGATTAGGGGAGATTTATTTGCTTATTGCGTCATTGACATTTCTTGGATTAAGAATTGGTTTTGTTTTCCCACCTGCCATTAACTTGACAGGACACGAACCTGGCTTTTCACTGAGAAATAAACTTAAATTCAGACAATGCGCAGTGCTGTATTAAACATAGGAGGCATCTGGTCAAAATAGCGTTTGCTATTCGGAAAGTTGAAAAATAAAATAATATTTTTATTATAGGTTGAAAGAGACAATGCATCTTCCATCCCCTATCCTCCATCCCTCCTGATCCCAACTCCCTAGCTACGCTACAAATCCTTGACTGTCCAGTGCCTTGGGATGTCTCCCCGACTTGAAAGTCTCTATACAAATGTAACTTATTGTTGTGGTTAGTGACTCATTGCTGACCATATCAAACCAACATGGAGCAGCAACGCGCATTTATATCCCAAATTTGCTTCCGTTTCAGCAGAATTAATTCTCGTTCTTAGAATCTGATGTTCCCTTTATTTCTTAGATGTGTATGGATTCCGAAAAACACATGATTTACACCTTTGGTGGAAGAATATTAACTTGCAATGGCAATGTCGACGATAGTCGAACTAATGAGCCACAGTTCAGTGGCCTCTTTGCTTACCATTGCTCAGCAAACACCTGGAAACTACTTCGGGAAGACTCTTGCAATGCTGGACCAGAGGATGTGCAGTCTCGGATTGGACACTGTATGCTCTTCCATACTGTAAGCACTGTAAACAATGCCCTTTTTAACCTTTTTACAACCTTTTATAGATGTAAGCTTAGCTGTAATTTGGAAAGTATTTAACTGGCTTGTTTCACAGGAGGAAAATTGTTTGGCGGGCTTATTACCCTCTGCAACTGAATTGCAAAGCAGGAATTCAGAGTTTAGTATGTTACTTTCCATTGGTTTTCATCAGACCTGAACTCCAACCCATTTAAAATACATTTAAAATACATGTCATTAATTTAATTATTATTAAAGTTGATATTTTAGTTTAACCTCATGAGATATTGTTTCTAATTGTCTTATTCTAATAGTTGCACTTATGATTCCAATTGCTGTCTCTTTTTAATATTTAGAGGGAAATGCACAGTATTGTGGTAAAGAGAATAGAACTCTTTTGTAAGGTGCTTCATTCTAATGAAAATTCATGAGGATGTGGAGTCAATTTACTCAACCCAAAAATAATCCCAAAATTGTGTGCTGATGTCTATCAGTTCTTCAAAACACTGGAAGCCAAAATGATCTATTTTGAGGTTTTCAGGTTGCCGCCTATGTAAATGGGTGGGTAAATGGGACTGAAAGAATTGCTCTTAAAATAGCCAGTTTGGACACAATGAACTGAATGGCTTTCTTCTTTGCTGTAATTTTCTATTGTTCTATGTAACCACCGTTAATAATAATAATATCCTTGCATTTGACATAGCGCCTTATCACATCTTTGAGACGTCTCAAAGAATTTTTTCGCAGAATATACTGTCAAGTGGATTGACTGTATATTTTGTGGGTGAAGTGAAGTGATAGCAATGGCGACCTGAAGTCAGCTATTTCCTACCCTGTCTGACGTTATGAAGCACCGATGAAGTCTGCTATCTTCCTGCTTCCTTGACCTTTTAATGTGACATGTCCATTAATCTGAGCCTGTTATAATTCTAGATGGGATTTTATGGGGCACCAACTATCGCGCTAATATGGCTGCACTGTCACACTTTTTTTTTCTCTTTTGTTTCAGAAAAATCGGTGCCTTTACGTATTTGGTGGGCAGAGATCAAAAACCTACCTGAACGATTTCTTCAGTTATGACGTAGATAGTGACCACGTGGAAATCATATCTGATGGGACAAAGAAGGACTCTGGTATGGGTAAGACAGAAGTCTGATAATTCTACAGGTTTACAATATTGTTTCTCTGTCCTTCTTAATGTTTAGTGAAATGCATAGATTAATAATTAAGGACTAGTCTGACCAGTGACAAACGCTGATTGGTGATCTAGAATCTTGAAAGATATGCGGGAATTTGGTGGATTTAGTGAAAGATTCTATTGGGAATTTGGATTAATAAATGGTTTTATTGAAAAATTACAATAAATGACATGCAATAATTCTAACCGTACAAGGGGGTAAATAATCGAAGAATACATACAGTAAACCCCTTGCTATCCGGATCCAAAAGAAATCCAGAGGCATTCCCACAAAAGGCAAAAAATTCCTCTTGTTACCTTCACATTTTCAATGCTGTAGGCATCACTCCCAATTTTATAGATTGGGAATTTGAGTGTTTTCAGCTGTTCTTGTTGCCCAAGTTGGAATACATTACCACTCTGTCTGTGTTGCAGTAATATTTTTTAAAGAGCTCTGGATATGTTAGTGCTTGTGTTTTTAGATCATTGTGCCTAAAACAACATTGGATGAGGTTTGGAAATATATACTTACAATGGTTCAGGGCCTTTGATCATTGAGCACTGATGGCCTTAGAAACATCAGAGGGGAAGGAATGAAGAACTAAATTCATGGATTTTTTAAACCATTAAAAAAGTATCCGTTGCTAGACATGACTTTAACACCACTGATGTCAGTGTTATGCAGAGCGCTGTTTGTGTAAAGCTTAACAACTCTTTAATTTGGGTGCTAAAAACTGGCAGTAAGGAACATTGTTCTTTCTAATGCTAATCTTTATGTTGAGTCAGTGTTTGTGCATGGTCCTGAGACTTGGGCCCTGGCAAAGGCACTGGAGAGGAGCCTGGCTACTTTTGGAATGAACTGCACAAGGGTCATATTAGGTATTAATAGATACATAGATAGTGAATGATGCTAGAATTAAGGTGAGTGATCTGTATGGTCATGAGGTATGGAAATGGCAAAGACGGTTATTATGTAAATGCTCATTCAGGATTCTCTGTATGTGTGTCTGTCCATGGGAACCATTTTTTGCTCAAACTAGACTTTATACATGTGCAAAAGAAGAATTGGAGTGGCTAGAAGTTGAGTTGCAGAAGCATATGTGCTGAAAATAGCAGGTGATGTAGTTCTAAAGTTGTAAACCAGTTTGTAAGGTAGGAGCATAGTGAAGATGCTTGTTCTTAACTTCATTTCCTGGGCAGGAAGTAACGTCAAGGCAGGCATCTTGACCATGTGCCTCCTTACACCATGGTCCCTTGATGTCTCTTCGTATAAGAACATAAGAACATAAGAATTAGGAGCAGGAGTCGGCCCCTCAAGCCTGTGCCCCGCCATTCGATAAGATCATAGCTGATCTTCTGACCTAACTCTAATTACCTGCCCTATTACCATATCCCCTAATCCCTCTATATTTAAAAAATCTGTCAGTCTCAGCCTTGAAAATGTCCAAGGACTGAGCGTCTACAGCCTTCTGGGGGAGTGAATTCCATAAATTCACTACCCTCTGAGTGAAGGAATGTTTCCTCAACTCTGTTCTAAAAGGCTGACCCTTAATTTTAAGACTGTGACCCCTGGTTATAGATTCTCCTACCAGGGGAAACAGACCCTCAGTGTCTACTTTATCAGCTCTTTAAGAATCTTATGTTTCAATAAGATCTCCCCTAATTCTTCTGTACTCTAGAGAATACAGCCCTAGTTTATTCAGCCTATCCTCATAGGTCAGTCCCCTCATACCAGGAACTAACCGAGTGAATCTATGCCGCACCCCCTCTTAGGCAAGTATGTCCTTTTTTAAATAAGGAGACCAAAACTGCACACAATACTCTAGGTGCGGTCTCACCAAGGCCCTATACAGTTGCAGCAAGACTTCCCTACTCTTGTACTCTAAACCTTTTGCAATGAACGCTAACATGCCGTTCGCCTTCTTAGTTGCTTGCTGCACCTGCAAACTAACTCTTTGAGACTGGTGTACAAGGACACCCAAATCCCTCTGAACACTAACACTATCTCTCCCCCTCTAGAAAATAATCTGTTTTTCTATTTTTGCTACCTAGTGAATAACTTAACACTTCCCCACATTAAATTCCATCTGCCACCTACTCGCCCACTCCCCTCGCCTATCTGTATCCCATTGCAATCTTTTTGCATCATCCTCAGAGCTTATTCTCCCACCGAGTTTAGTGTCATCTGCGAATTTAGATACGTTATATTCAATGTCCTCGTCTAGATCATTGATGTAAATTGTAAATAGCTGAGGCCCAAGCACTGATCCTTGTGGCACTCCACTAGTCACATCCTGCCAATTCGAGAATGACCTACTCTCTGTTTTCTACCCGTTAGCCACTCTTCAATCCATGCCAATATGGTCCCATTAATCCCATGGACCTTAAGCTTGTGCAATAGCCTTTTGTGTGGCACTTTGTTAAATGCCTTCTTAAAATCTAAATATATTATATCTACTGGATCCCCCCCATCTAACCTGCTAGATACATCTTCAAAAACTCTAAAAGATTAGTTAAGCGTGACTTCCCTTTTGTAAAGCCATGTTGACTCTGCCTAATCTTGTTATGGTCTTCCAGGAATCCCATAACGACATCCTTAATTAAGGACTCAAGAATTTTCCCTACCACTGATGTCAGACTAACTGGTCTATAGTTTCCCATCTTTTCTCTCCCATCCTTCTTAAATTGCAATCTTCCAATCAATGGGAACCGTTCCAGAATCCAGAGAATTTTGGAAGATCAAAGACAAGCCGTCCGCTATCTCAGTAGCCACCTCTTTTAAAACCCTAGGATGTAGGCCATCAGGTCCAGGGGATTTATCAGTTTTAAGGTCTGACAATTTACCTAAAACCATTTCTTTACTAATATTAATTTCCCCAAGTTGCTCGCTAACATTGTCTTCTTGGTTCCCCTCTATTCTTGGTAGGTTTTCAGTGTCTTCTAAGGTAAAGACAGTAGCAAACTACTTGTTTAATGACTCAGCCATGTCTTTGTCCCCTACTATAATTCCCCCCGTCTCTGCCTGTAGTGGACCCACTTAGGGTTAGGGTTTGACAGCCTCTTCCTCTTTATATATTCGTAAAAACTCTTGGAGTCTGTCTTTATGTTCCTCGCTAGTTTGTCCTCAAATTCCATTTTCTCACTCTTAATCACTTTTTTGGTTCTCTTTTGTTGATCCCTAAAGTTCTCCCAATCCTCGGGTTTACTACTCATCTTAGCTGTTTTATAGGCTTCTTCCTTTGACTCTATACTGTCCCTAACTGCTCTAGTTAGCCAACGTTGGGCCACCTTTCCCGTGGCATTCTTATTCCTCAAAGGAATATGTGCTCGCTGGGAATTTTGCACTATCTCCTTAAAGGTCTGCCATTGCTGGTCTACTGTCAAATCCTTAAGTCTAATTTTCCAGTTTATTTTAGCTAAATCCTCTCTCATACCAGCAAAGTTAGCTGTACTTAAATTTAAGACCTTTGCTTCAGACTTAACTACTCTCTCTAACTTAATGCTAAATTCCATCATATTATGATCACTTTGCCCTAGAGGAACCTTAAGTTCCAGTTTGCTGATCAGCCCTGCTTTATTACACAAAACAAGGTCTAATATGGCCTGTTCCCTGGTTGGCTCCTTGGTGTACTGATCTGGATAATTATCCCTAATACATTCTATAAACTCTTCCTCTGTCTTACTTTTCCCAATTTGGTTGTCCCAGTCTATATGCAGATTAAAATCACCCACAATTAATGTTTTTTCTTTGCTACATGCTCCGCTAATTTCCTGATTTATACCTTGAGAGATACTGTGACTACTGTTCGGGGGTCTATAAACTGCTCCCACTAGAATTTTCTGCCCCTTGTTACGTGCCTCTACCCATACTTCCTGCTTTTCTGATTTAAAACCTTTCCTCTCTACTGTTTTTATCCCATCCTTTATTAACAGGGCCACCATATTGCCTATCTTTTCTATACACCAGGTACCCTGGAATATTTAGCTCCCACCCTTGATCTCCCTGTAACCATGTCCCTGTGATGGCTACCAGATCATACCCGTTTGTGCATTTAGTTCATTCTGTACAGTAGAACAAACCCCTTTATGATGAACAATCTAATTTGCGGTACTGTACTTTGCTGGTTTTAATGATCAGGCTTAAGCTGTCACGAGGGGAGCTATGCTTTGTTTACTAAGTTCAGAAATTGAGTGGGAGAGTGGGGAAAAGAACCGTAGCTTGAATTTGATGTCTTTTCTGATGATGAACAATTCCTATTGCTGAAAAATAATGGGCCAATTAATTTCAGCCTTCATATCATGAGAAATAGAAAGGAATAGATAGAAAATTATTTATAACAATCCTTGCATTCGTGCCTTGTCGTGTCACTTGAGACATCTCAAAGCACTTTACAGGAAATATGTCAAGTGCTGTGACTGTGTGTTTTGGACAATTGCAACTAATTGGCATAGAATTGAGGCAAGTTCAAGCCTTCTTGTTTTAGGCTACGCCTGAATCGAGGCAGAAAACCCGAATCAGAGTGAGGTTTTGGTGCTTTGTACAATACCAGGATTTTGTACTCTGACACGGCACGTATTTCCAAGTGTTCTAGTCTTGGAAGATGATTATTTTAATCACCTTTAGTCCAGTGACCTGAATACACAATATACCCAATGAGAACTAATCAGGCGATTGTACAAAATATGAAAAAAATATCAATACCTCTGTGATTCCCTCAGTACAGCAAAGACGAGGGAATAAGTATTGGTGTTTCTGTCCTACTTCTCTGTGATGTAGTACATTGATTCACGTTACAACTGAGAAATTCTAAATGCTGTGCACTTTCAAAATCCGACGTGACCTATTTACGTTGGTTACGGAAGAGGTGCAGGAAGATGTCAAGGTAAATTTTTGCATGTTTATTTGGCTGACGACGTGATATCAAGCTGTACTTCACAAACGTTTCCTTGATGCATCTTCATACTGATGAGATTAACGAAACCATAACTGGGTTTTGAAAATGAATGAAAGTATTGTGTGATCAATGGCTTGTTGCTGTTTCCACGTGCATGTGAATGAATCGCTGACTCATTGCTGTTCTCGGTCCGACGATCAAAATCAACAACTAGGGAGACATTTCCTTGTTTACAGACTGAGAGATGAGAATCACTTGCTGCTTTGAGACGAGGACAAAGAGCTAATGTTCTGATCCGAGCATTAACATTGCGAAAAAAAATTGCAGCAGTCTGAACTTGCCTTGCTCCCTTCCATTGACTCGTTTCTCCTGCAGTTGGTTCGATTCCAGCAAGGAATTTTACTTTTTTTTTTGCAAATGTTGTCCATATATTCAGCCTCTATTCATTGTCCTCATAAATTGTGTTGTGCTTTATTTTGACATGGTAAATGGGTCAAAACCTACCAATATTTAGATGGTTGGAGAGGGCTGGTCAATTGGTCTTTTATATTCAAAAAAAAGTATCAATTATTTTGTGAACAGCAGGATCTAAACATTTTGCAAAGCCTTTATTAATAATGAAATTAATAACATGCACAGGTATTACTGTTAATGAAATGTTAATTATTTTAATTGCAAACTACCGTTTGTATAAATTCGCCATAATGTTGTTAATGAATGTAAACCTGATCAAAATGTTTTTTTTCTAAAAAAATGTGATTTTAATCAAAAGCACTTGCTCTACATACCAAACCCACTTCAAACCCTTTCATACTGCAGTTTTTTGGGGGGAACGGCCACCAATTTGGACACTTTCCCATTGACATTTCCTCCACCTCCCCCCTTCTTATCCCCTCCCCCCTCACTCCCCAACAATTTACTTTGGCTGCTGCTTTAGGAAAAGATTACTAGAGCTCAATATACGCATGGGAGCAGTCTACTTGCGTGATTACAATGCTTGCACATGCATTTTGAAGTCAGGGGAATAGGTCAAAGAGGTGGTTGTTAAAATTGAGCACTGACCCCCAACTAAAGCGTTGATAGAAGTTCTGATCATCATCCTAAATCTCACCCCATAATTTGAAGATGTGGTGTTTTAGAGCATCGCAATGTGAAACTTCAGTGTTTTGGTCTGTCATCATAGGTGGATTCTCCTTCCCTTTTGTATAGGCTTTTTTCTTCCTTCATCGCCCACAAAGTACACAATCACTACACTTCACAGTATATTCTGTGAAGCACTTTGAGACGTCTCAATGACGTGACAAGGCTCTATATCAAATGCAGGGATTATTGTTATCGCTCGCTTTTCACACGCTTTTTGTTCATTTAATTACTTTGGGGGAAATGGGGCCTTCCGACGCTAAATCACTCGGGTTGCTGAAAGCTCCGTGTTACAACGAGGCTCCGCTGTATTTGCAACTGTCAAATCTGAACAATTTTTTTGATGTTCAAATGACTGAAAATATAAATTTTTGGAATCGAATACAAGAGCTTTTCTGTTTCCAGTTTCTGTAGGGCTTTGAGCTGCTCAACTGCTTTGTTCATTTCATCGGTGAGGGCTATTTGACCCAGAAAATATATTTCAACCCAGCAGTCAGCTGTCATATATAATCAGAATTTTGAGCTGTTGCTAACCCATATCGTTCCATTCTGGAAGGTTATTTTGTTATACTCTCCGATCAAACGCAGTCTAGTAATCTCCATATCTTCTCACCATCATCCTGAATATCTCTTGCAGTGTACTGAATACCCTCATTTTTATAAAAGTAGATGATCTTGATGTTGAATATTTGATGCTGCAAAAATAATTTGTTCGTATTTATTTAAATGTGCAGATTGGGAGGAAGATATGTTGAATCGGCTAACGTCATACAATTAATAAATTGGGATGATTAGCCTGGATAAAATTTGTCTGATAATTTATTTTGCTGCAGATTTGGGTCAGACGTGTACTACTATAATTGCCCAGAAAGAAGTTGTTTTGCCAGGACACGCAAAGATAGACCGAATGGCCTCCTGTGCAACATTCTGTATTTCAATGAATGAGATGCCTGAGTAAATTGGCGTAACCTATCCAGGATTTAGGGTGCAGATATTGGTATCTGTTGCACAAAAAAACATTGCTTAACTGTTGACGATTAGATCAGCCCTACACTCCTGTATTTGGTATATAGCATTACCACACAATAAATGCAGGAATGTCTTACCATCTTATAATGTGCGTTATTGGCTCCCTTTATTAAATGACGAATGCTCTTTAGAGTTTAACAATGCTGAAGTTTCTATCAAGCTTTGCCTAAACAACATGTTTCAATAAAGGGAATTAATCCGCCCTACTTTCGGGAAAGAAGAAATTACAGTTGAGAATTGATAACAGTCTCTTATCCATTTCAGCGATCTTTCAAAGGATTTTCAAACTTAATCTGGCATTGCTATGAGCATTTGTTAAATTTTTCAACCATTGGTGTATATTTACTTTAGAACAGATATGGACCCAATGTGTGAGTGCGGGGGGCGTGAGGTGGGGGGGAATGTTGGCACTCAATAGAATTCATGATCTTTTCAAAGTACTACAGAGCAACTAACTGTGTTGCAATGTATTTGGATATGTGGTCGAATACCAATGTGGCTGAGTTGTCACAAAGCCCAAATATAATGAACCATGAAAAGGCTAGTCTCTGGGGAAAGAGCAGAGGAGTTGGGATAATTGGATAGCTCTTTCAAACAGCTGGGACAGGCATGGTGGGCCGAATGGCCTCCTGCTGTGCTTCTTAAGTCTCTTTGTTGGGTGTCCGTTAAAAATTCCATAATGCTCAGATAAAAAGGAATTTCCTATGTTGCGCTGCCTAGCAATACTCTAAATTAATTTGTTCATCTCATGGCTTTTTGTGGAACGTTACTTGCTAAGTAACGTCACTATCCTTGATATTGGTAATGTAACCCTACTTTGGATTAACTACTGTACCTGGAAAATCCATCTAATCATCGTGTTTTTGAATTTGCTCTGTTTATAGATGTTTTGCTTAATGTCTCAGGGGCTCTATATAAATGTAGGTGGTGGTGTTAATGGACGCTGTTTACTGAACTGTTTGGTTGCTTTAGTTCCAATGACAGGTTTCACTCAGAGGGCTACAATTGACCCAGAGCTGAATGAGATCCATGTTCTCTCCGGCCTCAGCAAAGACAAGGATAAACGGGAAGAAAATGTCCGGAATTCTTTTTGGATTTATGACATTGCTCGGAACAACTGGTAAGTTCTGAAACAAAAGCTTTCTTGAGATTTAATAATAATAATCCTTGCATTTGATACAGTGCCCTTATCATGTCGTCGAGACGTCTACACAGTGCTACACAGAATATATTATAAAGTGTAGTGACTGTGTTGTGGGTGAAACGGAGCAGACAGTTGTGCACAGCAGTATCCCATAAATAATCTTGGATTGAGTGACCAATCTTTTTCAGTTACTAATGAATCAATTATTAGAATTTGCTGATTGGATTGCAAAGCTTGAGATGTAGAATGGGACACCCAAATCAGGTAATATTTTAAAGTTCATTCAAAGACAGTTTGGAAGTCGTGTATGGGATATAAATGTGAACATTAACAACAACAAGTTGCACTTCTATACTTATATAGCGCCCTCCTCGCAGGGTAATGTCTCAGATCACTTAACAGTGGTGGAGCCTGACTCTGAGCCGGGGGGAGGAAGGTGACCGTATGCACGGTCGAAAAGAAAGGTTTTAAAGCGGAACTTGAAAAAGGGGAGAGAGGGGACAAGGCGAAGGGATTGAGCGAGAGTGTTCCAGATTTTCGGGGATATATATTAATCTGCATATAATATGCAAGCAGTTTCCCCAAGTTTTCAATTTCTCTGCACTTTTTGTTTTGCTGGAGAAGTCTTCCTCACATTTCTGCACATGCACCTGTTCTCACAGTATGGAACTCCACTAAGTGCTATAGATGTGTTATAAATCTTCCCTTAAACATAACCTGTGAAACATAACAGGTGGGCTTGTTATTTCCAACCTCAAAAGGCTGAAAAACCGTGCTGTCTTGCTTGTTATTTCCAAGAGTTGAAAATGTTGCCACAAAAGCTGCATCATTATTGCTAGAGAAGCTCGTGATTTATCAGTAGGAAGTAATCTATCCTTTGGGATGGGATTCATTTTCCATTTCATGGTTTTTGAGGATAAGTATCTTGTTGGCCCAGGAGATCGAAAACAACTTTCTATAATGCCTTTCGCATGGGATAACATCTTGGAGCATTCTGCAGTTGTGGGGTTAGTTGGGCTGCAGGGAAGGGAGGTGAGGTGGCCTTAGACACGGTTGAAGCGGTCAGTTTTTAGGTGGGCTTTAAAGAAGAGTAGAAGTGAGATAGAGGCAAGAAGTTTCAGAGATTAGCAACATGGTGCCTCACGAAAATGATTGTCCAAATAGGCTACACTGTCAAAACTCCATTGTTGTCATTAGGAGTAGACTTTTCCACACAGTTATTAAATATTGTCCTGGAAATGACGATAAGCCACGAGGCAATAATAACTTGCATTTATGTAGCTCCCTCCACCTTTGGTGATTATTTCCACTTGTCTGCATCCACAAAAACTGTAATCATCTCAGCCGGATTTCACTTCTGCACCAGAACTTCAATCTAGATCTGTGCGTTTACTGTAACTGAGATATTTTTGCTTAAAATCTATTGGATTATTAGAGAGCAGATCGCTTCTAAAGCATGGAATGCTGTACAGTGCATTCTTTTCTATGGTAATTTTTTTTGTTAATGGCTAACAATTTTATTGAATTGTCTTTTTGTAACTGACAGAATCAATTGCCATATCTTGAAATACAGTAAGAGATCACCGTTTAGTGATGAGTAGAAACTGACACTTAATGCATTAGTATTACCATGGAGTGTGGTACTCTGGGCAGGGTTTTAGTACTCTTTGTACAATCCTCTCTCCGTGTCTAGAATACAACAATAACAAATTACATTTGTACAGCGTCTTTCACGTCAGGTGAACGTCCCAAGGCACTGGACAGTCAGGGATCCGCACCTGAGCTGGTGGTTGTGATCAAGAGCACAGGGCAGGGTAAGAGAGTGACCGAAGGCACTGTCGAAGAGGGTCCAGAATATGGTGTGTTCTGGTCACTGAGGAATAAGGGGGTTGGCTGTGCTCTCGAAGCAGTGGAGAAGAGAGTTACTGCAGTGATTCCTAGTGTCACATGATCAACGGTTAGACAAGGCGAGCCTCTTCAGTCTTGAAAAGAAACATCTCAGAGGGGACCACATAGGGTAGGTATATACAAGGTTTAAATGAGATTAAGAACAATCATTTCGGATGCAATGAAACAGCAGAACAAAAGGACATAGGTTTAGGATCACAAAGGGTAACTTCAAGACAGATGACAGGAAACACTTGGTGGTAAATTAGGTAGGTTATTCTGGATGAATGAGATCAAATGGGCATTCTTCATCTGATTCTCTTGTGTGTCAGGTCAGTGCATTAATGCCTGTGTATTTGACCTTCATGTTTTGACAATCCATTATATGGCTCACTCATGGAATCTTGAGTGCTACATTCAATGCTTTGTCTGCACAGCTGGTCCTGATTTCCTTCAATGTCACTGTAATGGTATTTTTGCATTTCGATGGAAGATTGCTGAGGAAAACTGCAGCCAACTCATCTGAGTCTCCCTGTTATATAATTATTTTGTAACCGTCAATAGTTTCTGTAAGCGACCTTAAAAAGTGCTGTAAATAATTAAAATAGATTTGACGACACAATTACATAGCTGTAATCTCTGAAGGGGGATAATGACATCACCTGTTCAGGATGAATCACAGCAAATTCGACAGTCAAACCCTTTTTGTGTGCATTAGGTTGGGAAGGATCAACTGACTGCTTGTAACCAGCGCAGCTGATGTCAAGTTGAACAGCACTCAATCATTTAGCTTTATAATTGAAACTTGCTGACCTTGGTTTTCATACATAAGAGTGAAAAGTACAGTCTGTGACAATTATCGCCTTGTGGACATTCTGTTCCTGTTAGATGCTCAGTCGATGACTGGGCACAGCTGAATAATGTCTCCCTCCAACGTTGTTCAAATGGCCGTGCCCGTATCTGTGCTCCAGCCATTGATCAATGGAGTCCTGCCGCTCAGTGGTTAGAGAACTCGCCTCGCAAGCGAGACACCTGGGTTCAATTCCAGGCAGGGCGAAACCTTGGGTAAGTTTCCTTACTCCACACAGAGCCTAATAATAATCCCTCCAAAACAAAACAATAATAAATTGGTCATTTTCAACCTACGACTGTTTGTAGGACGCTGCTGTGCGCAATTGGCTGCCGCGTTTCGCCCACAAATATACAGTCAATTTACTTTACAGTCTATTCTGTGAAGCGTTTTGAGACATCGAGAAGACCTGAAAAGCGCTGTAACAAATGCAAGGATAATTATTTATTATTATTATCACTGCAGTCCCTTTGAACCTGTGGATTAATGCAACTTTTGAAGGGGGAGGTTTGCTGACTCTTGATAAATCAATCTATAATTAAATAAATATCTATCGTTGGTGATAAATTTCACTCCCATACTGCATTGTTCACCTTGGGACTTGATTGTAGTTGGAGTTAATTGATCCTTCTAATGTAGTGTCATGATGATCTTCCGTGCTGTGGCACAGATTAGTAAGATATAGCTTCATATCCCTGATTATCTGTAGGATTTCCATATCTTAAGTCACGTCGTCAGCACCAATTACTGGAGGCAGTCATTTTGGGTCACGGTTGAACATTGTGCCTACAACAGTGTCTGATGTTGGAAAACTTTAACTAAGCGAGAGAAGATGTTTTTTTTGGGTCAGCCAGCTGTCTGACGCATGTGGAAACCCATCACCGTGCTTGAGTTTGCAAACCAAACTGGGGGTCCGTACATGGAGATTCCTGTATTGGGACACATCCCTCTTACCCAATTACGGAGAGGATTAGATGCAGGCAGATGTCAGGCAAGAGCTCTGGGTTGGGGACCCTAGAGCGTGTGTGGGAATACTGCTGGAGTTTAACCAGCTGAAACAGCATAACTTGCCTTTGAGAGCGTTATCCTGGGAAGCATTCCCACTACTTGTCCAGCTCGGGCGACCCTACCCCTTAGGGTTTGGGCTTTCAGGGTTAATGAGAGCTCAGTGGGAAGAATCCCTGCCCCCAAAGACGGGTCTGCACGAGATGTTCTACCTCTGAGCCAGGCTGTCTGCTATTACAGTGCCTTGGAGTCCTGCCACCCCACACGGCTGAGCACTAGACTACTAAGCAAACCACGAAGGGTTGACCCAATTCTGACATCCTGTTGCCGGGAGCGTCACCTTGAAGGTATTCCATTCCAAGAAATTGGGAGGAAGGCGCTTTACTTATGGATGTTGTCTACCAGTCGCTAAGATTAAAATTAGTCATTGACTTCATGGCTGTTTGTAGGACATTGCTGTGTGCAAATTGACTGTCACTCTTTGCCTACAAAATAGTTACTATACTTTACTGTGTGTTCTGTGAGGTGCCTTGAGACATCCTCTCGACGTGAAAGGCACTGTTATCAAATGTAAGGATGATTATTACTAATATTGTGTAGCTTTTCTTTTTGAGCACATGTTTTATACAGCAGTCCCATTCATGCAGCAGGGTAGAAATGATGGATAGTGACAGGAAATTCCAAGTGTGTGATTACGATTTCTTTTGACAGATTACCAGCAAACAAACTGTATACTATTGTGAAATTGTAATGGCATTATGCATTAATATTTGGACCAAGTGCTTTTGGTTTTAGAGAGGGACTCGAGCCTTTTCTTGGCTTCGGCTGTAGGAAAATAATCTTTAAATGTGCTTCAATGCTCTAGGTACAAAATGACGCAAGTAGTTCATTTAAACAAAAATAAACAATCTATTCATTTCTTTTAATTGAGGGACCTCTTACCGCTCCGTAATTATCCTCTCACATAGAATATCACTGAAATGCATGAAAAATCAATCTTGTCAAAGTGTCATGATTTTGGAATTTGCTACAGGGGAAACTTAAGCCTGTTTACACTGCTGCACCCTAATTGGATTATATTTTGGCTTTGGATGTATCAGTGATGCCTGCCTGGAATGATTTTATTTAACATTGTGTCCTTTTTTTTTTAAAAAAAAAAATCCTCTCATTCTGTGATGTACTATTCCCTGTCAGAGAGCGCAGGCAAGTAGCCAACCTGCTGTTAAGCTGGGCCATGGGCTGGCGATTTGCTTTCCCGCTATATTCTAGTTTTCCTGCACCATGTAGAGGTGCCCAGTCTCCGTTCAGTATATCCCTGCGTAGCAAGGGTGAGATTATGCATTAAAAAGAAAGACCCATGGCCCCCTATCCCATTCATCTATAATGTAGAGCTTTGGAGTACCAATAACCTGTTCCCTGTCAAAGTTTGAACAGTGCATTGAACTTCAGGCTCTGGGGATTAGGAAAACATTTTTCTTGATCCAAGCAAACTGGTTCTTGGCCAGCAATGCAGATTCAAGTTTATTTAGATACAGAGCGCTTTTTATTGTTAAAAACCATGTTTAATGCTGAGAGATGTAAAACAATGGTTCGATAAATCTTAAAATTGCATTAATGGCTCGGATTAATGTTGTGCCAGAAACAAAATATTTTTTCAGCTCTTTGCTCAATGGATTTCTTTTTTTGTGACAAATGTGACCTGCTGGTTGCTTTGGGTTTGTAGTGTCATGTTTTTTGCGATATTTATTATGTATTCTCGCTTCTTTGCTTGCAAATACAAAGGATAGAATGCTGCCAAGTAACGTTTGTATGTTATTTGACAAGAGAAATCCTCTTTATAAGGCACCTCTCTAGAGCACAAGTCATCTTGTAATACACGTCTCCAGTGCAGTTCATTATGGTTTTGACGCTCATAGTTTCTACAATAACCTTTGCAATTGACAGCTCCTATTGCATCATTTGAGACATCCCAAAGCACTTCAGAGAATATACTGTAAAGTGAATTGACTACTTTGTGGTGGAACGTGACAGCCAATAGTGCACAGCAGTGTCCCACAAACAATTGTGGATTGAATGATTTTTTTTGGGTGGGGGAGTGAGGGAGGAATTTTTCCCCCTGGAAAGCAATCTGCTAATTTACTTAAAAACTGGGTTCCTACTTACTCTGGATAACCAGAGGCGTGTGGAGTAAGGACACTTACTAGCCTCTTCTAGCTCTCGCGAGCATTTTGAGACATTTTTGGAGGCCAATTGTAATATGGCAAGTCATTTTATGTATCCAAATAACGCCATGTTATACCTGTGTCACCCTGTGTTCATCAAGGTTTTGTCTGCATCTTGAGGATGGTAAAAGAATAAGGTTTTCTCCTGTGTTTTTCTATGCCATAGGTCCTGTGTTTACAAGAATGATCAGTCTATAAAGGATAATCCCAACAAGGGTCTTCAAGAGGAGGAACCGTGCCCTCGATTTGCTCACCAGCTGGTCTATGATGATATGCACAAGGTATCTTATATTTATGCATGATCTGCTTTTTATTCAAATGTCTTCTGTTCCCACATCCCCCGAAACTTTGCTTTGAGCACCCAGTCAGGAGAGGAGTTTAATGTAACTTAACCACCACGTTCCTCGCCACCACTCTTGAGCTATTATTCAATGTGAAGCTGTTGTTGGGAAAGAATGTGTGATAACTTTGTGCTCAGAGGAAGGTTCGTCATTGCATCCTATGCATTTGATGTGATATATTCCAGTGATTCATGTCATTGCATTGAGTTTGAAATCAACGCAAGAAGCCTAGCAGATTTTCATAGAGGCGCTGCCTCTTAAACAATCTATTACCTCTCCACCATCGTTCAGCTGTGCTTGCTTGCAAATGACTCCAATGTGGCACCCATGCAAGTCTGAAACTGTTGATTAGCTGCTTAAATATTGGCTGCTTTCAACGAAAGGTAATTCCTTGTCATTTGGGAGCAGGTTCACTATTTGTTCGGTGGGAATCCTGGGAAGTCGTGCTCGCCTAAGATGAGACTGGATGACTTTTGGTCGCTCAAGTTGTGCCGCCCTTCCAAGGAGTATCTGCTGAGACATTGCAGATACCTCATCAGAAGACACAGGTTAGGAAAGCGGAGGTGGAAATCTCAATCGTAATCTTTCAGGTGGCGCAGTGAGTTATTGGGGCAAGACTCAGCCCAATACTGGAGACTCATTGGAACATAAGATAGGTACAAGGGTAGACCATTTAGCCCATCAATCTGATTCCACCATTTTATTATATTGTGCTGATCTGCAGCTTAATAAAACATCCTGCCTGTTCACACGTTCCCTCTATATTCATGTGTTTACACATGGTTAGCACCACCTGCAAATTAGACCTCAGTTATCTTTGGAAGATGATGTGTCAGTCTGATTCCTTGAACACACATCAATCTTCGGATGCATTGTACTGCTCGTCATGTTTGAACCAAGACTGAATTCTTGACCGGTGGGCAATCATATACTCATTTACAGATTCAATCAATAGGAGTTTTCACACTCGCTGCCCCCTCTACTGCCCTGACTTAGAATAGTGAATCCAAGTACTGTCCATGGATTGAATCTGAGACGTTTTCGTCTCTCTGGCTCATCACGTAGAGCAGCAATCCACTTGTGTCATGAGGGTTTCGAGACTTCAATGTCAGTCTCAGTTTTTTTCCCCTCAGTAGTGCAGTGTTGCACACCTTGAGGAATGCAATTAAATACCATTGTAATGCAGTTGTCCATGAAATATAAAATTAAACTGCTGTAAATGAGGTGCATGTGCCACAGGGGCTCATGACTTCTGGAATTCCTGCTTTGCCTGTGTACTCTGAGCTGTAAATCAGCCATGTGCACTTCCAGTGTATTTTGTGTCCACCCTGCTACCAGAATTACTCTAAATCCCCGGTACACTGAAGCGCATTATCGCAAGGTTTGACAGTATCTGTCTGGTTTTATATTTTAATTGGTTGCTTCTGTTTCATCTAGATTTGAGGAGAAAGCCCAAGCAGATCCTTTAAGTGCTTTAAAATATTTACAGAATGACTTGTACGTGACTGTGGATCACTCCAACGCAGAGGAAACTAAAGAGGTGAGCATTTAGTTTTGTAAGGAGGATTCTCCATAGGGATGTTTCACACATATTTCACACAGTTGCAACAACCTCATCGGATTCAGTCAGAGATGAGCATCAGACCAATAGGTTCTGGGTTCACTCAGCTTTTTGAGGTTGATAAAACAATGACTGTTGGAGCAGCACATCATCTTTAGGGTAAAACTAACCTGGAACACGTTCCTTACGAGTTGGTGAACTTTCCAACACTCTGGGAATTCTGTTGTCTTTCAAAAAAAAAAAAAATTCTTGGGTGGCGAGCGGACAGGCAAGTCTGGGGGCTTTAACTGGTTCAGGGAAGTTGTGCATAGTAAAGCCAGGCAAGTCCACCGTCATCCTAGCTATTGTTGAAGTTAACAAGCACATAGCTGCACGAGTTCTGTATAAGCTGCATCGTTATCGCACATTTCTTCGCTAGTCTACTTGATGCAGTGTGAGTCATGATTCGTGGACATTGGTAATATTCATGACAAGTGAGCAGTTTTGTTCGGAATTGGCGCACTGGAGTACTTCATGTTACTTCAACCTTCTGTACAAGTACCATTTTAGTGATGAAATGCGCTGGAATCAGACTTGAGAGTAAGGTTCTGTAAGCGCTATGTATTGGTACTTCAACTTGTTATGACCATGGAGTAGGCAAATCTTGTGGTTGTGGAGAACCGGGAATCTGGTGTAGTTGATTGCTTTCATAGTCATGTATTTGTGCTCCTCCAACGGTTAGTTTTTGGTTTCTGCTGTGTTGTCAAGCAAAAATCTGAGGTGGCTCAGGAATGGACTGAGGGAGAATGGATTGACCTGTTCTTGTGGAAGCTTGAGCACTGTTGAATTAAGACGCCTAGTTCCCAACCAGATGGCAAAATGGTGCGTTTCAGTGAGGAAAGTGAAAGAGAATGCAGAGGAAATGAAATGTAAAAATTGACCATTTAATGATCTTTGAGGACAGTGTTGTAAATTCTTCAGAAACGTTAATGTGCCTGGGTATGTGGTAGTATTCCTAAATTGCACATTGAGATGCTTGGATGGAAGCAATTGGGAAGAGTCGTGCACATCAGAAAAGAATGTGGGATGGGTGCTGACTGGAATTTCACACTGACAAACTGTTCAGCATTCTTCCAAAACCCTTGAGGATGGCCAGCATTCTGTGGATATAAATCGTGTCATGTGCAATTGTTGTTATTACTATTATATAAGTAACCTATTGACTTTACATTCTTTCTGTCCCTGTTACTAATTACATCATGTTTTCATATTGAAGTTTCAGTTACTGGCTCAGGCACTCTTCAAATCTAGTTCGGATTTCATCCCTTTAGGTAAGTGTTTTAGCAAATGTCCCATTATCCAACTACAGGCTATTTAGGTTTGCAAACGATCGTATTTATTTTCGTTGACCAACATTCTCCGTGTCTGTTTGTTGGACATTGCTGTGCGCAAATTGGCTGCAAACTGTCACTCCTTGCACAGTGTCACGGGAAGCGATGCCGGCGAGTTTTATGACCTGGAAGTTAATAATTTTTGGCATGTGGGAAGCCCAAATGGCCGACTTCCGTCATTGCCACTTCCTGCGCATGTACAGTAGGCGGGAAATGACATTAGCTGCGACCTAATAAGGTGGGCATTTTCAATGTAGTAACAGGTTGGTGTGTAGGAATCGAGCTGACTCCTACACGCACATACACAGTGAATGGGGGTCCACATCCTATTATAAACAAATCAGCGCTATACCAAAGCACATTATACCAGAGCTGCAGGATTGTATTTGACAGCTCTTTCTGTCATTTTCTAATCTGACTGATGATTAAAACTACAGTAAACCTCATGATAAGTAGTGTCACTTGGGACCATACATTTAATATGACTTCTGCAAAGTATGAGTTATGTCAAAATTGCACAGAATATAAACTCTTGAACGGGACTTGGGAAGATGCACAACTTTTGGCAATTATACAATCTATACAAATCAGTCTTTTATGCAAGTTTTACTGTATTAGCTCTGTCGTTGGGAACGCAGCTACTGAAATGAACACTTGTGGGGTCTGCTATTTGAAATACTGGGCTGCTTTATATCTGTCCTATGTTTAAAGCTTTGTACCACAGCAAGGAACATCATGTCTCCTAGTTGGCTTTGGGTCTACAAAGAAATGTGTTCAGGGTAGAAACAAGCAATGCCAGTTGTGTCTTTTTATAGCAGATTGTCAGGATGTCCCTCTAAATACAGATACTGCATTTTACGTCCTACTGCTTTAGGCTAGCCCTTCCTGCAACTGGTTTTTTCAATTTGTGCTTTTTCCAATGGGTCCACATCCTGTCGAAAGTAGCTATAAATGCCTTGTCTTGTGCTGCATTTAGCTTCCAGACTAGTTCAAAAGAAATAGAGCTGGTTCTTGAGCAGCCTCTAGCTACTGGTACACAGAATCCACACTGTTTACTTTGCGGTGGAGATCCCAACGACGAGGAAATGGCGGTGCATTTGCTGCTTAAAACCTAGGAAGTTTTCTGGTCAAAACCTCCCTAGACAGCAGTGAGTCCTGAATCCAACATTGCTGATTTGTCAGATTATTGCCCTTCCCCATTGTAGTAATAATAATAATATAAAGTGAATTGACTGTGTATTTTGTGGGTGAAATTGCGCACAGCAGCGTCCCCACAAGCAGTCGTGGATTGAGTGACCAAATTATTATTTTTATTTTTTTCGTACCCGATGACAACTGTTTGCTTTGGTGTGCCAAGTAATGGTTCCTCCAAAGATGGGCTGACCACCTCTGGAGTGAACAGAACCATCTCATTTCATTGGTAGCACTATAACCTTGTGCATCAAATAGCGGTATGGCTGGAACAAATTGCTCTATCTGTTGTCGCTGTCTCATCCCAACAGGCACTCATTTTTTTTCATCTTCAACAGGTTTTTCAGATGTTGACCAGATTTACGCCCAGCGGACTCTGCTATTTGATACCCTAGTAAACTTCTTCCCTGACACCATGACCCCTCCAAAAGGCAACCTAGTTGACCTCATCACTCTGTAACTGGACTCTGATCGACTTGTTCTCGAGAAATTGAAAGAAAACCACCAATTTGATCTGCTGTTTTATTCTGGCTGGGATTGGCTTCTGTTTTTTGGTTTGGTTGGCAAAGATGGTTTACAATAATACATGCATTGTCTTTCACTGGCTTTATTTTGAGTGTTCACGGGCTCAAAAACTGTGTCAGAGCAGAAAGCTTTGTGAAAGTGGATTTGTTTCTGTTTTGTGGTTTAAGCCCTTCACCATATTGGCAATTTAAAAAATAACTATTTTGAGAGATTAAAAGTTGCAGTGATAAATACTGCCATCCACAGTATCACTCTAAATCGGAATTGGTCTAGTAGAATTCTTGGAATAATAATACAGAAATGTAGATTGACTTGTATCTGTGATGTCTTAGCCCACTTTGACTTCATCCATCAGTCTGCTGACCCATACTCTGCCTGGTCTAGGTGTCACTTTGCATCAGTATTAAGAATAACTTGCACTTGGGGGAAATGGATTCATTCACGATGATTAATTTACACACATTGTGTGTGTGTGTGCGTGTGTGTGTGTGTGTGCATGCGTGCGTGCGTGCATGCAAACTCTGAAATTACACAATGGGTGTTTAGATTTGATCTCAATCCATTCCAAAAGAAACATCACTGCCACAGGGTTGTGGGGAGTTTACTTTTTGTCACACTAAGCTAATTATAGCATGTATTATATTTACTTCTCGTGTTTCAATTGGAATCACGGCCTCAGTATAAATACAGAGTACCATTTTCAGATCCCTGCAGAAAAGCTTGTTGTGGTCGGAGCAAAGAAGGAATTCAGCTGCCTGCAATTATGCGAGCTTTAGGATGATGGGAGTGAAGAGTGATTTGTGATGTTGCTTCTTCGGGAGAAGTAAAATATTCCCACAGAAATGTCTCTAAAAGTGTGGGTTACGAGAGGCCCTCGTTTCTGTGGTGGCTGATCCACCGATCAGTTGTTGAGCCTGTTTTTAAATGGACTGACCTGCACAGCACAGTGCAGTCATGTATTTTGAAACAAGCCATTCTCTCATTTTGTAAATGAGCTATTAGTACATTCTGACGTTTCTGTTCGTAACTGTGGGTTACTGTTTGGTGTTTGATGATGATGTGGACTAAAGGAAAATTGATGGCAAATTAATCAGAGACCTGGAAGAGCTGGGAAAATATTTGTGTGTAAACAAGCTAGCTTTTAATAGGTATTGGCGCCATAGTTCTGACTTGTGAAGGATGTTTCCTGCTAAATTCGAGGACAGCCACAGTGTCTATCTTTCTAAATTTAAGCAAACTACCGGATGTTCCTTCCAAAGTAACTATAAAATCCCCTGTTATGTATCAAGCGAAATAAACCTGGGTGAAATGACTGTGATGCATAATTCAGTAAATGTTGTCTCACCAATTGCTTCCAAGACACAGAGCATTCTAATTTAGGGTGCTTCGACTTACAGTAATAAGAAAGGGATCCAGACTTTTGTGATTACTCATATCTTTATAATCTGTTTAGTCTGACCTGTTTTCAGCAGATGAGTCAAGTTAGGTTATCAGCTATGACGTGATTTCTTAGAACCCAGTGCTAAATGCCTTAAAAAATCATTCTTCCCTGACCTCTCCCCTCTCAGCTATCTTTACAGTAATGAAGAAGCAGATGGGAAATGCATTTGTAAAATTGTAGCTGGGAAATGGGAACGTCGATCCAGTACTTATTACAGCTTGGTCATTCTGGCACAGGTGTCATAAAATGGCTTGAGCTTTTTTACATCACTTTTAAGTCCTTTAGGAGACTGAATTATTATCATAATTGTTCTGAAGTGATTTTGCATCGAGGTGACCTTCTAAAATGCCCTCTTAATAATATGCATGATTAACGTTTTATGTGTTGATTCTTTAGTAGACTTTTTCTAATATTACAGATAATTTTGGGGTAGAAAAGAAATGAATACCCGCAGCAAATTAATGACTGGCTTGGTTTGGTGTTTGAGGGCTTTCACCTGGCTCAAACGAACTTGTACCTAAGTTGCTTCACCTGTGTTATGTATCTTGTTTGTGCTGCTTATGCATGATTGCTGGAAGGAATGTCCTCTACATTAATTTTGTGTTCCCCGTCTGGAATGCAATGCTTATTCCTATTTTGATTTCCAAATGGTAATGGTTTAACCGAGGCTCAGAATATCATTTACAAGGTGGTTGAAGGTCTCCTCCAACGTTGGCGGTGCAATTCATCTCCTTCCAGGATCCACGCTCCAATGTGCAAAGTTCTGTATTATACATGAAAGGCCGTGTTTCTTGAAAGGACAGAATTTTGTGGGTGTTTGAGCTGGCTGGAGCTCTTGATTAGAGGGGATCCGATCAAATTGTTTTTTTACTTTACTTGGGTAAAATATTAGACCCATAATTACAGCTGTTGTATTGGCTATTTTCTTGGAGTTATGTTGTTTGGATGGGATGGAGGTGGATGCTCAAAGAATGGGTGTCAAGCCTGTGATTTCTAATTGCTGTTAAGAGTCCAGCAAACCATTTTCATAATACAAAAGCAATTTAAACGTATCAAAGATTTATTTTAGCTTGTCAAGAGTCTTGCATCGAGATCAGTGTTATTTGTGATGGCTAGTTTGTGCCTATGGTCTTCATTAAAACTATTGGTGCAGCACTTTTAATTGATGGTAACACCCATTTGGCAAACCCATTTTTTTTTTTTTTTTGAAGCGTCTCTCGGAGTCTCGAAGCATGGTTTGCACTTCCCAGTTCACAGGTGATTTCAAAGAGTGTTAAGGTGTTACTTAGGCACCAGAGTGTACGGTATATAAATCCCATTAACAATAATCGAGGAGATTATGGATAAGTTATGTGTTCTACCAAACAAATTGGTGCTTCACTCTTGTATGCTGATTTTTATTTTCTTAGAGGAGTGTTGTACCTTAGTAAAAGTGTGATTTCATTAAAACCCTTTTCTCTTGTCAGCTGATGCTAATATAACTGTGGTCTTGTGATAATTTGTGTGTGTATATATTATATATATATACACATATATATATAATGTATATATCTAAACATTTTAAAATTGTGTTGTGAAAGCAGTGCAGTAAAATTGTATATTTCAGTGGCGCTAACCAAAAATACAAGCTTCAATGATGCAACGTAAGACAGCTCAAAGAGTAAAGGAACTGAACAGCTGTAATGCATTCTTGAGCCCTGGCTAACTATTGTTAGACCCGGCCTTTGTATCATGCAGACAAAGTCGATCGTGTGAGTGTTGGAGTTAATCTGTTTGTCGAATGAGTGACATTTGCTTTGAATGGGTGATTCAGTGATATTTTTCTGCAGGACCGCAAACCAGTGATTTGTTGAAAGACTTGCAACCCAAGGTCACGGTAAAAGTAGAAAGACATTCTTGTAAGTGGAAGAAAGCTTCCCAAACAGCAATATCAATGTCAAGCTGTGTCAGTTTAGTTGGTGAGACTCTCAACAGTTACCCCAATGCACACTCTGAGGTCCCCAGCCTTGGGTTTTGCCAACCTGTGGCTATCCTTTAGCTAAGCAGGTTGCGTCCCTCCACGGAGAGAGCGCACGTTCCATTCCAGCAATCTGTCTTTGGAATTTCCACGTGTAGGGTGGGATGTATGGAGTTGTCAGCTTGCTTTGGATGCTCTTGAGCACGGTGGTGGGTTTCCACATGTGTCAGACGCTCGGCTGACCCAAACAAAATTTAACGTAAGAGACAAAGCTTTCGGAGTTTGGGATTGAACTATTTCTCCTGTAAGGTTTTGACTCTGATGCCCTAAATTGGAAAGTGTTCATTCTAGTATCCCTCATGTAAATGAGTAAGGTTCAATATGCGTACAGCGTGACAGGTAAAGCTTCGAAAGGGCTGGGCTAAATTGCTCTTTAACGAACGCTATGTATTCCAGCCCTACTCTGGCAACATTTCTGTCTGACAAACTGTGATATTATGTCTGAAAAGACAGTGGTAAGAGTATAAATTTTGTAAAAAAAAGTCTCTGGTCCTGTAGGAAATCGTTTTGGCATTGGGGCAAGTCAGAGCCTTGGTTCGATCCTAACCCACGCAGGTTTGCTATCTGAGAAACTATTCAAACATAATGTGAACGATAGAGCGGTCAGGCAGTCTTTGCATAGAAAACGAGGTTTATACACCACTCTTTGAATCAGCTTCTTGGAATCAAATAACTGCGAGGGGTTAGCTTCTGAATTAAATTTGCTTTAGTTAGCTGGAATTTATTTATGTTCGGGCTGCTCGTGCCTGTTTCTTTGCAACCTTTAAGACTTTGCCTAGAGTTGCAAACTGCGCTGAAGCAGCATTGTTGCACGATTTTGGCTGAAAACAAATCAAAAAGGTTTGGAAATCTTCAAGTATTCCATGTTTGTAAACTCAACAGCGACTGGGACTCTTGATTTTAATATGCAAGATAGGCCAGGTCCTCTCACGTCTGCCCCGCAACCCAAGTGCCATGTAAGTTAGCCATATTATAAGAATTTTGTCGCTTTTGAAAGACTTCAAATTGTACTGTGGTTTGTTGAACAGATCTGGTAGGAACCTCAGGTAGTGATGGGTTGAAGCAATGATCTTTCATCTCCTCAAATAAAAAATTCTTGTGACTTGCGTCAGAAATAGAAAACTGAGATAGATCAGCGAAGTGGGCAGCACTTATTCAGTCAGGACCATTCATGCTGATCCAGAGTAGCAGTTGTTTTAAGGATAAGGTTATTAGTTTGGAGTCAGCGTAGAAATCTGTTTGCTGCCGCGTTTGCAAAACCGGGAGTGCATTTCCTTAGGATTGAAGCATTTCACCTGGAGCTCCGACTTTAATTTGTAGACGTGTCGTCAAGTGACTTTCTAATCTTACTGTGCAAAGTCTGTAATGAGAAGCCTGAAGCTGGAACAGGACATTTGCCTGTGTGTGGATGAATAACCTATATTGAAACTGAGTTGACTCACTAGACTGATTGAAACGCTACTGTTTTTTTATAAACCATGAGAAGGGAGAGGAAACAACATGCAGTTTTATTTGCCAGCTCAGTTCAAATTATAGGGACTTGAAATAAATGGGATCAGTTATAATTGGGCCTCAACAACAACAAAAAACAGTCCAGCTTCTTTTAACATCCCTACAAGGAAAAGTGTGAGTTTTAGGAAGAAAAGATCTGAAAATACACCTCAACGCAGTTAAAAAGTATGAATTGACCGGCATTGACTGACAGTCAACAAACAACCCCAGAAGAAGAAGTTTTCAAATTGGTTTTCTGAGAAAGGAGCTTTGAGAAACTAGTTAAGCCACAGTTCAGACCTGCAAAGTCCCACACCAGCAAAAGCTCGAAATCTGGAGAATGGAGCAAACCTAGTAAGCAGTATGAGGTCCAAAAAGAAATGGGAAATAAAGCCAGGTGGATGAGAAGGAAGGATAATGGTGAGGGAATTGGATTTGGAGATGTATGTACTACAGTTGCAAAAGGTAGAAAAGAAAATGGGAGGGCAGGAAGATGAAAGAGCAGAAGTGATTAGCTCTCAGTTAATGAACCACTTGTACTTTTTCTGTCAAAAAGCTTGATTTGAGGCCCGACTGCAATTTGTTTGAATTTTATAGCGTCCCCAACTTTCCCCGTAATCAAAAAGGAAGCCCTGCACAATTCTCCGAAAGGGGAAATAACTGCGAACCAAAGTGCTGTAAAATGAAGTTAGAGTTTGTGTTGACAGCCTTAGAGTTGGATGATCTCTCAGTGGAGCAGTGATGGAAATCAAAATCTTTTAGAGCCTTGAAACTGTTTTCAAAAAATCTTCTTTCCAGACAGATTAGTGCGTTTTAATTTTAAAACAGGCAAATCCCTGGTGAATCGGAGGGGAGGGGGAGTGGGGGATGGGATGGGGTTTAAATGAACAAACTTGCCTCTATTCATTTTCACATCAATTTAAGAAAAACCCAGTTTAAATAGCACTTCAGTATACCATGTTTTAGAACAACTTGAATTGTCTCAGAACTAAGCTCTTTCGGTGTCTCAAGACGCAGCTGAGGAGCCAGTAAGTCCTCAGTTGGTTTACCTCAGTCGACATTTGTTGACCTTGGCATCCGCAGTTTAACAGGCCAGTTAGTGAAGATCGGCCATGTGTTCTTGAAGCTCGTGCTGTGATTTATTTCTTTAAGAATTTTGTGTTTGCAGTGTTATTCTTCTGTCAAAGGAGCAAGGAAGCCGACCGGGCTCCTTAAACACAAGAGGAATCTTTGCGTGCTGTGTTTTGAATCCTACAGTTCATCGTGGAGATGCGGTCCAGACTTTGTTTCACTGCAGACTGCGTGCTTAAGATACGTATTCTAGGCCCAGCGCCATTTTATTTGGAGCTGAGAGTCGGAACTGTTTTGGCAATGTCCTGCAACACGATGTAGAACAAAAGCCATCACTGCTGGGTCCTGTATACCCATTGATTTGAAAGTTCTTCAAATCCCTGAAATAGTCAATATAAAAATCATAAGAACCAGAAATCTGAAATTGGTGCAATTGAACATCAGGTCGAACGAGGTTGAGTTTGGGTGCGTTCACCAAAGCTTGAGGTTAGATTGTAAACTTCAGTCTGTTCTTTACGACGCTGTTTCAGGTGGGAGAATACTTTATCATAAATACAATTTTTAAACAGAAGAATTGAGGAGTTTGGGATAATTGAAATGTCCGCAAAGTAATTAAATCCCCTTCAGTCCTGTTGGTGATCGATTCTGAGTTATTCATAAGGTAGCGTGTGTGGCATCTTGATTTAAATTGATCATTTGCCCAAATTGGTGTATATAAAGTTTGTACAATTGTGGGAACTCTTGGTACGTTGAGAGGTTTAAGAAGCACAGAAAGCCTTTGTACTTGTGTGTGTGTGTGTGCATCTTTGCAATGTTTAGTTGTATTCGTTAAGTGGCTGGAGGAGAATGGGTGCAACAGTGACCAAATACACTGACTTCTTAACTTCTCGAACTTGAGCTTGAATCAGCCTCCAGCGAAGTGGTGATGCCTTCTCTCACACCTTTAAAGTTTCACGTACCAACCAAGTTCTTTGTGGGTGTGAATGGGTACAACACGAGCCGACACTAAATTGGCAATCATTCCCAGCGGCAGCAAGGGTAGTTAATGTGGGGAAAAGGAGCTAAAACATAGGTAGAGTCTCGTAGCGGAATGGAGCAGGTGGTATAGTTTTCTGACATAAGTTTCTTTTCATATACGTTTCGCAACAAACACAAAGAAAAATTCACTGGAAAGAAAAGGTTTGGTTTGGTTCACTGTCAACGAAAGGTGTTGCAAAAAGCAATTCAGTTTCAGAAATAAACGGAATTGTCTTTAATGCCCTGTGATTTCGCACTGTTGTAATAAATGCTTAACGTTCTGCTTGATGCTCAGAAGTAATAATGGGTTCCCACTGTATCTGGCCACTGGATTTAACCATAAGGTTCTTCTTTTCATATCAGTGCAACACATATGGCAGAAATAAAGTGAGTAGATTTTACAGCATAAAGCACTTCAACTGGGAGCCCTGTGTAAAATATATGCACAACTCAGCTAATTGGGTATGTAATGAGTAATTCAATCTCAAAAGAGGACGTTTCTCTCCCTATATAGCATGGCTCTTTCATAATATATATAATAAAAAAACAAGCTTGGGAGACTCGTGAGGCAGATGTACTGAATGAATAACATTTCTGCTTGGAAGAGGATTTGAGTAACGTGCAAAATCATCCTCTATTCAGCTCAAAGCATTTTCTGGAAGGAATTCTGCCTTTGCTCACTCGGACTCTGAAAAAATATTCTGCATTTTCCTTCATCGATTGGCATGCAGACTCCCAACATACACTGCTTTCCTCTGATGTAAAGCAAATTTATTTAAGGCCTGCTTTCCGCGCACCTCTCTCTCCCCCGAAACACATTGGCTTTGATTAAGTGCAGTCATCGGGTCAATATCAAATAAATTTTTGATGGAGTAAAGGACTCCAAAGAGCATGAAACATTTGCAGTGTTTTAAAGTACAAGAATTCCTACATAAATATTTTTACCTGTCCATCCCAGGGTGAACGGATCAAAAAAAAATGCCCCGATTTGTTAGTCAGGAAATCGCTGAATAGAGTTTGTAACGCAGTATGGAATTGATTGGTTTACGGTGAAAGATTGTTCGCACTGAATGGTATGGTGACCTGTTCAGCTGTTTAGCCATAAGATTATTAGGTGGAGGGAACAATCAAATCTGTTGTTGCTTATGATCTGACCAGAGACCTCAGTGAGCAACGAGGAGATATTTATAAGGTTCGATGTTCTGGGAAGCTAATGAAATTCTTACGGTGGCATCCCTCTAACCCTCTCCTAGCTGGCTTGTTGAATTTGGTTGTCATAGTCCACAGTTGTGTTGGGGCTGTATTCAGAAGGGCTTGGTATATTGTCATTCCACCAAACACTGGTGTATTTTCTTTTCAAACATTATTAAGATGTATATGCGGACATTGATGGCTTGTAAGAGGATGGGGTAGTGGATGGGTGGGTTGGAGAGGAGAGGAAAGCCTAATGGGTTGCGATTTCTATAACCTGTCTGGCTGGGCAGGAGAAAGGTTGACATGGGACGTGCTTTTAATAGGGTGTATGACCACTGCTGTCGTGGAAATCCAAGCGGATATAATCCGGATCTTCTCATTTCTTCACCTGGCGGTGCTCCGTTGCTTTAGAAAGAGAGGCTGTGCTCGCTTTGCTGATCTTGGCCCAACCGAACATAAAACTGACTGGATGTCGTGGACCAGTTTTGCTATCCCTAAGTGCAGAACCTCCGAAAAGGTCAATGCAAAACTTGGTAACGCTATCCTATCCCACTGTATGTTCTGTATTTATCGCTGGGTCGAGTGACGTAATTGTGGTGTGTGTGTGTGTATATATATATATATAATTAGAAAATTACTGTTGGGTAAATGAATTTGTGGCCAAAGGACTTTGCAGCGTGTGGTTAAAGCTTTCAATTTTTTAAAATCTTGGGTTGTTTAACCCAGTTTTGGTGCTTCAGTTATTCTTATTTTTTGGTGTGTCTGTAATTGGATTAGTGCACAAGGGCCTGTATATTCACGAACATTTATGCAATCCATAATATGTGGATTCCCATTATATTTTGGGGACATTTGTGAATATCAGTCCAGAGACGTTTCATTTCTCTCCTTTCGAACCCTCGGTGATTTATTTTCTCTCTCTCGCGATCCTTTGTGACCGAATGCCATATTATAGATGAGTGTCACGACTGCTGTGGGTTTCAATCCTGGCAGTTTCCATACATTTGCTTGAACAAAATGGTAGGAAATTGTCTTTGTTTCCACCCCTCGCCCCCCTTTTTTTTTTGAAAAGTATGATGATTCCCCCAATCCTTCTTTGCTAAAAAATGTATACAATTGATGCACTACTCGTGAATAACTGAATGTGTAGATCCAGTAAACAATTGCAACTGTAGAATTATGTTGTATGTAATGTACATATGGAAAAGACTATTTTGTTCAGTTTCTTAATAAAAAAAACTGAGAAAGCAAATTATTTGGACTTGCGTATTCTTTGGTGAAACACGACTTTCATTTGAGCGCCACTGAGACTTTACCCTGCGCGGGAGGGTGCTGTATAAGCGCAGGTCGGTGTTGATATAGCGCTCTATCTCGCCGCTTGAGACGTCTCATTAAAGCGCTTCGCAGAACGTATGGTGAAGTGGGGCGACTGTTGTAAATAAAATCAATCAAGACATAGAACTAAATTAAATGTTGTGAATCCTGGCTGGATGCGGTGGCAAGGCTGAGGCGGAGGAAACCAGGTCAAGTCGTACTCTTATTTAGATGCTCAAATGTGCAGTTTGTATTCGTGCTATTCCTGGGAGCCTTTGCACCACGTTTGCACCATGAGGGGGTTGAGAGTAATCTTTATCCTCGTGTTTCTTTGCATATGAGAATAATGGGGACGGTTAATTTCTTGGCCCCAGTGCTTAGAGCAACACAAACAGCAAAGAGGTGTGAGTTCACAATGGGTATTTATTGATGACGTACAGATCTTGTAAAAAAAAAACAAGCATTTTTTAAAAAAAAACTTCACCATGCTCTACAGCGTACACACTATTCATTCAGCGCAGTCCCTTGTCCATGATAATCCGTACGAACTAATGAGATTGCTATCTGCTTCTTGTAAGGGCTAGGTCATATATACATATCAGATCGATGCAAACGTATTGGAAAGGCAATGACTTGTTCCCTTGTATTTCCAGCAATACTGAAACTGACGTCTCTCTCAACCGGATGCAAATCTTGTCACCTCACTGACCAATAATGAGCCCATTCTTTGTCACTGGAGCACAGCGAACCACCTGAACAGGTTAGCAATCAAAGTGGGGAGAATAAGCATAAAGGAGAGGGGAAATTTAGGTGCGGGGTGGGGGCAGGTGTTGGGGTAAGGTAGGGTAGAGGGCAGGAGGGTGGCTGAAGGCGCGGTCGAAAAGGAGGGTCTTGATCTGTGATCTCATCTGCCATTTGTCTTCAAACCGGAATTTTTACTCTTAAAGGTTACAGCTCTGTCGCCAGCACAAATGGAAAGAAATTTTAATCGTTCACAAAGGCCATGGTGTATCGACTAAAGTTAAATTAACAGTGCTCTACAGTGCAAAGGGTCGCCGAGGGTGAAAATAGTAAGAGAGTGGTTGAGGTAAGTCATTAGTAGGGTGCGGGGGGTTGTTTAAAAATATTATGCACTGTTGGATGAAGGGAAGATTGAAGGCGTCTACTCGAGTTTCTGGGAAAGAATGAAGTTGGAGCAGGAGACAACGGATCGAGAAATAAATGATGATCATCCTTGCCTTTGATATAGCGCCTTATCGCGTCATTGAGACGTCTCAAAGAGCTTCACCAAACAGATTATAAGGTGAATTGACTGTTATTTTGCGGTTGTAATCATGCACCAAATTCTGTGCCAACTGAAATCCAGCGTTGCCTCCCTAAAGCGCAAAATCTGTCGATGATGCCCATTTAACTTGTGGAATTGGCAGATCAGGTGCAGTTCGATACAGAGACACGTGAAGTGATTTCACTTTGATAGGAGGAATAAAGCAGCTTAGATATTAAGAACCTCGGCAGGCTAAAGGAAGAAAGCGATCTGGGGATTCAGATGAATAAAAGCAATTGGACGCCTTAGCTTTATGTCCACTGGAATGGAATACAAAAGCAAGAAAATAATGTTGAATTCAAATAAAACCTTGGTGAGACCACATTGAGAATACGGTGCGTATTTCTGGTCAGCATCGTACAAGCGGATAACAATCCTTACCTTCAATACAGCACCTTTCACATCAGGATGATATTTCCTGCTTCATCGGATATGCTATGCATTTTGTAGCAAGGGAACGCGTGCAGTGTAGATTTACGAGGTTGTTACCGGGGATGAATGGATACAATGATCGGGAAAGACTGAACAGGTTAGGGATTTTTTTTTCCCTGTAGACGAGACGATTGAGAAGGGGAGCCCTTAGAGATGTTCAACATCACTTGAAAGGGTTCGATAAAGTAAACGTAAAGAAACTGTTTCCACTTGCTGGCGAGTCTATCACAAAAGGGGCATAAATATGAATCGCTAACGATTCTTTTAAGACTTTGGGAAGAACTTCCTTACCCAGAGAGTGGTGTGAACGTGGAACTCGCTGCCGCAAGTTTGTGATCGAATCAGAAAGAGTCAGTGCATTTAAGAGGAAATGTGATGCGTACATGAGAGAGAAGGGAATGTGGAGGAGCACATGGGTATGAGTGAAGGTCTGTGCGCAGTATATATGTTAGTAGCCGAATGGGCTGTTTCAGTGTTGTACAATCCGAGTAACTGGTAATTCACTCAAACTGCTGAACGTATCTTGCTCTCATGTCGGAAGTCACTCCTGATTGGATTAAAGGTAAGAAATATTCTAATAATAATAATATTTGCATTTGATATAGAGGTGTATCACGTCGTTGAGACGTCTTAAAGCACTTCAACAACAATAACAACAACAACAACAACTTGCACTTACAATAGCGCCCTCCACGCAGGGTAGCTCCTCAAGGGCGCTTAACAGTGGCGGAGGTGGCCGTAAGTACGGTCGAAACTTCACAGAATATACTGTCAAGTGAATTAGGGTGAAAGGGAGTGGAGGAAAAGAGAAAAGGAGACACCACAAACCATAGGTCCATAGACAAGTATAATACAATTTATATTTATATAATGCCTTTCACATCAGGATGTCTCGAAGCCCTTTCCTTCTTGAAAGACCAATCAACCAGCAGCCTTGCCTGTCAGCTCCGCTAGCTAAGGCACCAGGAGACCGCAAAACTTTTAACAGTCTGATTGTCCGGCTGTTCTTTTTTGTTGATTAAAAAAATCTTTCCAGACTTGAATTACTGGTTAAATTGGCCAGTTACAAACCGGGACTCGCTTTCAACTGCGACTTACAGAATTGTTTCTAACCGAGGCAAAGGTGCGATTTCTTGGGCAAGAGGGAGGAAGAGAGGGAAAGGAACATTTTCGAGTTAAGAGAGTTTTACAACAACGTCAAGTTGCATCTACACAGCTGCTCTCACACAGGGTAGCATCCCAGAGCATTTTATTGCTGCGCTTAAATGGGGTCTCCTTGTGATGAGTTTTTGGGGCTTGACTCTTGTTAAGATTGAGTGTTTCTTGGTTCTTCAGACTGTCCTGTCTCAATTTTTACCTGTGTGAATGGGGGAAGAGGATATTTAATAATAATAATCATAATAATAATCCTTGCATTTGATGTAGCGCCTTATCACATCGTTGAGACGTCTCAAAGCGCTTCCCAGGATATACTGTACATTGGAGTGACTGTATTTTGTGGGCGAATCGCGGCAGCCAATTGTGCACAGCAGCGTCCCACAAACAGCCGTGGACTGAGTGACCAAATTATTATTATTTTGAAGGGATTATTACCCCCGGAAAAGCGATCCGCCCATCGCCAAACAACTAAGTTCCTGTGTACTGCAGGGTAAACAGAGGCGTGTGCGTGGAGTAAGGAGACGTGCCTAAGGTTTTGTCCTGTCCGGGAATCAACCCCGTGTCCTCTCGCTTGCTGACCACTACGCTAACGAGGCTCTTTATGAGAGACAGAGAGAGAGAGAGATGGAGAGATGGAGAGAAAGATAAGAGATGACAATTCCGTAGGTGGCAATTGGGCGTTGACCGGGCGATGGTACAGACAGCGAGGGTGGGAGACGTGGGGAACGACACGTGTTCTGGGCCCCATCTCTCGGCATTTTCTCTATAAGTGTGTGTCTTCTTCACCCTCCAGTTCGTCTTTGCTGTTGTGCAGAGGCGTTATCCAGCTATCTGTCTCCTCCCCGAAGCCCTCCGTGAGCACCAGGAAGCTATTCTTCAGCTTTCCTTTCTTCTCCTGCATCTCTGCCTGCGTCTCAGAAATATCCAAGGCCGGGTTGTCGTGGCAACCGTTGTCCCTGGTCTGCGATTCTTCGTTCGGGTACTGAAGTGGGGGGAAGAGGGTGGGAGCGAGGGAGGGAGCGAGCAAATCATCAGAAGATTGTTGCGAGCGATGATGAAAGTAAATTATTAATAATAATAACGATTATCCTTGCGTTCGATACAGAGCCTTATCAGGCCTGCGAGACGCCTCAATCAATGGGCTTCGCAGAATATACTGCGAAGCGAATTGACCGTATGTCTTGCGTTCCTCGCGTCTCACATAAGGTCTCCGACGGCTTCGCGAGCTTGCTGCCTAGTGACTGTTTTTGTGGGTGAGAAATTTTAAACACACACAAAAATCCCTCTCTCCACACACACCCACCCCCACCCAGGCCCTCCACCCAGGCCCTCCACCCCTGCTGCTCCCAACTCCCAGCTCGGGTCCCAAACCCCCTGATTGTCCAAGTGCCCTGGGACGTCTTTCCGACATGAAGGGCGCTGTACAAAAGTAGTTTGTTGTTGTTGTTGTAAACCGACATGAGGTGAGTGGACAATTAATCTGCCACAGCGGTCTCTTAACGTACATCTGAACCGGCAGATCCGACCTCGCTTTAAAGTCCCATCCGAAGGACAGCACCTCCGACAATGCAGAGCTCCCCCAACACTGCATTGGAGTATCAGCTTAGACTACACATGATTTCAAAGATCTACAACCCTCTGACCCAGAGGTGAGTAATGCTGCCAACTCAACCCGACTCACACACTGATGAGGCTTAAGCGAATAACGAGGGGAATATGTTAAACGCTTGAAAACAATTTTTATTTTAAAAAAATAACGTGATAAGGCACTCCGCTGCAATCGAGGATTACTATTATTAAGGAGGAGATCAGAGGTGGAGTGCCGCAAGGCAATGGAGCCATCTGAAGGTAAGGTAAAGGGCGAGGAGCTTAAAGTTGATCCTTAGGTGGGTTTGGGTAGGTGGGTGAGTAGCTGGGTGGGTGGGTTGGGTGTTTAGGTGGGTGGTTGGGTAGGTTTTGCTGGGTGGGTGGGTAGGTGGGTGGGTGGGTGAGTAGGTGGGTGGGTGGGGATGGGGTTGATGGGCTCGAGAAGCTTTGTGCGGACAGGAATGTGGGCTGTGAAGTTCTGGGTGAACTCGTGACTCCCATCAAAGTGGAGCTGCAGCTTTTAGGCGTGAGATACGCAAGATCCCCGCATACGAGCAGCTGTGAATTAGATTCCCTCCCTCCCTCCCTCCCTATGTGTTATTTTACACACAGTGTTAAGTTTGCTGCTCATCGAAGCTGCCGCTGCTAAGACGTGAATCGCAAGAGTGGCGCCTGGTGGCAATGTCCTGCAATGACCTGCGGTGGCTGTTGAGTAACACATCATTACTGTGTTGCTTCACATTGACCGTGTGAGGATTTTCTATACAGACCCGAAGCTTAAACTGTGTGTGTGTGTGTGTGTGTGTGTGTGTGCGCATGTGGGGGTGAAGGGGGTTAGGGGTGGAGGTCACGACGAAACAACAATATGTATTGCTGACGTGAAAGGCGTTATACAAGTGTAATTTGTTGTTGTTGTTGTGTCTCACGATGCAATGGAATGAAAGCCCTCAGTCAGTCTCTTGCTGAATAGGATGGACGAGAGTCTGTTTTTTTTTCTCTCTCTCTCGCTCACACTCTCTATCTCTCTCTCGCTCGCTGCCCGATCTGCTGCTTTGAAGTCGTATTAAACGTGGCCAAATTTATTCTTCGTCAAGCTCACTCTGTCGGTCGGACTAACTCGGCAATGCATGCACTCGCCTCTCTGGGTCAGAATTTTATTATTATTTTTATTATGTTGTTCAAATCGTGGAAATAATTGAACAGCCTCCCAACCAATGTTCTCTGTCTTGACCAATTTACACCCTTTGAAACTCCCTCCAAATAATAATAATAATCCTTGCATTTGATATAGTGCCTTATCACAACATTGAGGTGACTCAAAGCGCTTCACAGAACACATTGTAAAGTGTATTGACTGTATTTTGTGGGCCAAACATGGCAGCCAATTGCACACAGCAATGTCCCACAAAAAGTTGGGGAATGAGTGTCCCAATTTTTTAAAAAAAAATGTTTTGAAGGGGTTATTACCCCCGGAAAGTGATCCGCCAATCGACTTAACAACCGGGCTCCTACTTACTGCTTGGAAAATAGAAGCGTGTGGGGTAAGGAACGTTGCCTAAGGTTTCGGCCTGGCCCGGGAATCGAACCTGGGTCCTCTCGCTTGCGAGGCAAGTACTCCAACCACTACGCTACGGGAATTCAATGGCTCTGCTGATAGAATCCCCCCTGGCCAGTGTATGCCTGAACCACACATTCAATGCCCAATTCTGTGCCGAGATGGCCGATCTCAGCCAGGCTTCCAGGGAAAGAAGCAGAGAGAGACAGAGAGAGAGAGAGAGGGTAGGAACAAACTGGAAAGAGAAATAAGAGTGGCCTGTTACACACCTGAGGCTTTGTTTGTTTGGTTCTGTATTGGCAACACATGTAGATGGTACCAAACGTGCATATCAGCAGCAGCAGAATGCCAGTAACACTCAACGCAACTGTCTTCTTGGTTTGCAGTGCATCTGCGCTGGAGGTGTCCAGGACAGTATTGATGGAAGAATTCATCTGGAAATGGAGAGCCAAGAGGCAATTATTGCACGTCTCCATTGATTCAGCGAGTGTGGATGCATTTAAGAAGACGCTAGATGCATGAGAGAGAGAGAGCGAGAGGGGAAATAGAAGGGTGTGGGAGGGAGGAAGGAACAGGTGGAGACTTGTGTGGAGTGTAAACACTGGCTCGGACTATTCGGGCCAAAAGGCCTGTTTCCGTGCTGTGCAATCAATGTAAATGTATGATTTGCAATGTTATACCCAGAGGATAGAGTTAAAAAATCCTTGTCCTTGACTTCAAAGCCCTCCACAGCCTTGCTCCTTCCTACCTCTGACCTGCTAACTCCATATAGACCAATGCGCTCCCTCCCTGCTTATCACCAACGACTTATTAATAAATAATAATAATCCTTACATTTTACAGCGTTGTTTCAGAGAACACCTCGAAGAGCTTCACGTGATTTACAATAATGTGTCGCCACTGTTATGTATTTTGTCAGCAAACGCAACAGACAATTTGCACACGGGGGCGTCCCACAGACAGCCATGAGGAGAGTGACCAATTTTATTCGGGGGGGGGGGGGGAACGGGGGGGACGGTTAGCCAGGACACCAGGTAGAAACTCCCTCCTCTTTGCGAATAGCGCCGTGGGACCTTTAAGAAGACCTCCAAATCCTGTCTGAAGAGCTTCCTCTTCCGACAATGCTCACTGTGATATCTCTTCACTGCCACTTCACTTAAGCTCCCTGGGACTCGGCCCTGCGGGAGGGGCACTCTATAAATGCCAGTTGTTGTTGTTGCCTCTCGCGGGGAATGTGGAGACTTACCATGCCCAGTTGTGATTTTAGATGCTCCACAGACTGACTGATTTCTTCTTTGTTGACTGTAAAGATGAGATAACGTTTAGCAGTCACACACACTACACATGCACACACACGCACGCACATCTCAGCACTACCGTCCCCTCCCACCCCAAGACCCCAGAAATAATATATACAATAAAACTTGCACAGGTCTGATCTGTACACGTGGTATTAACGCCTAAATCTTACATCTGCCCAACAAGTCCTGTTGAATTTCCACTAACTGATGCAGGTTTCGCACTTCGCATAAGTTGTATTAAATGTATGGTTCCCAACTGATACGATTTATGTGGGGGAGGTTTACTCTGATAATCCTTGAATTTGCCTATAATGTTAAGATGTTAATTTAAGCGCTTCACAGAAAATTCACAGGTGGCTGTGTATTTTTAAGCGAAATCCGTTTTGCACTGAGCAATTTCCCACCAACAACCTGCCATGAAATGAAGAGATAACTTATCTGGGTGGAATAATAGAAAAAAACAAATCTCGCGCCTCACCACATCTTCGAGACGTCTCAAAGCGCTTCACAGAATATACTGTAAAGTGAATTGACTGTAATGTTTTGTGAAAATCCCTCTCTCCACACACACCCACCCCCACCCAGGCCCTCCACCCAGGCCCTCCACCCCTGCTGCTCCCAACTCCCAGCTCGGGTCCCAAACCCCCTGATTGTCCAAGTGCCCTGGGACGTCTTTCCGACCTGAAGGGCGCTGTACAAAAGTAGTTTGTTGTTGTTTTTGTAAACCGACATGAGGTGAGTGGACAATTAATCTGCCACAGCGGTCTCTTAACGTACATCTGAACCGGCAGATCCGACCTCGCTTTAAAGTCCCATCCGAAGGACAGCACCTCCGACAATGCAGAGCTCCCCCAACACTGCATTGGAGTATCAGCTTAGACTACACATGATTTCAAAGATCTACAACCCTCTGACCCAGAGGTGAATAGTGCTGCCAACTCAACCCGACTCACACACTGATGAGGCTTAAGCGAATAACGAGGGGAATATGTTAAACGCTTGAAAACAATTTTTTATTTTAAAAAAATAACGTGATAAGGCACTCCGCTGCAATCGAGGATTACTATTATTAAGGAGGAGATCAGAGGTGGAGTGCCGCAAGGCAATGGAGCCATCTGAAGGTAAGGTAAAGGGCGAGGAGCTTAAAGTTGATCCTTAGGTGGGTTTGGGTAGGTGGGTGAGTAGCTGGGTGGGTGGGTTGGGTGTTTAGGTGGGTGGTTGGGTAGGTTTTGCTGGGTGGGTGGGTAGGTGGGTGGTTGGGTAGGTTTGCTGGGTGGGTGGTAGGTGGTGGGTGGGTGAGTAGGTGGGTGGGTGGGGATGGGGTTGATGGGCTCGAGAAGCTTTGTGCGGACAGGAATGTGGGCTGTGAAGTTCTGGGTGAACTCGTGACTCCCATCAAAGTGGAGCTGCAGCTTTTAGGCGTGAGATACGCAAGATCCCCGCATACGAGCAGCTGTGAATTAGATTCCCTCCCTCCCTCCCTATGTGTTTTTTTACACACAGTGTTAAGTTTGCTGCTCATCGAAGCTGCCGCTGCTAAGACGTGAATCGCAAGAGTGGCGCCTGGTGGCAATGTCCTGCAATGACCTGCGGTGGCTGTTGAGTAACACATCATTACTGTGTTGCTTCACATTGACCGTGTGAGGATTTTCTATACAGACCCGAAGTTTAAACTGTGTGTGTGTGCGCTTGTGTGCGTGGGGTGGGGGTGAAGGGGGTTAGGGGTGGAGGTCACGACGAAACAACAATATGTATTGCTGACGTGAAAGGCGTTATACAAGTGTAATTTGTTGTTGTTGTTGTGTCTCACGATGCAATGGAATGAAAGCCCTCAGTCAGTCTCTTGCTGAATAGGATGGACGAGAGTCTGTTTTTTTTTCTCTCTCTCTCGCTCACACTCTCTATCTCTCTCTCGCTCGCTGCCCGATCTGCTGCTTTGAAGTCGTATTAAACGTGGCCAAATTTATTCTTCGTCAAGCTCACTCTGTCGGTCGGACTAACTCGGCAATGCATGCACTCGCCTCTCTGGGTCAGAATTTTATTATTATTTTTATTATGTTGTTCAAATCGTGGAAATAATTGAACAGCCTCCCAACCAATGTTCTCTGTCTTGACCAATTTACACCCTTTGAAACTCCCTCCAAATAATAATAATAATCCTTGCATTTGATATAGTGCCTTATCACAACATTGAGGTGACTCAAAGCGCTTCACAGAACACATTGTAAAGTGTATTGACTGTATTTTGTGGGCCAAACATGGCAGCCAATTGCACACAGCAATGTCCCACAAAAAGTTGGGGAATGAGTGTCCCAATTTTTTAAAAAAAAATGTTTTGAAGGGGTTATTACCCCCGGAAAGTGATCCGCCAATCGACTTAACAACCGGGCTCCTACTTACTGCTTGGAAAATAGAAGCGTGTGGGGTAAGGAACGTTGCCTAAGGTTTCGGCCTGGCCCGGGAATCGAACCTGGGTCCTCTCGCTTGCGAGGCAAGTACTCCAACCACTACGCTACGGGAATTCAATGGCTCTGCTGATAGAATCCCCCCTGGCCAGTGTATGCCTGAACCACGCATTCAATGCCCAATTCTGTGCCGAGATGGCCGATCTCAGCCAGGCTTCCAGGGAAAGAAGCAGAGAGAGAGAGAGAGAGAGAGAGGGTAGGAACAAACTGGAAAGAGAAATAAGAGTGGCCTGATACACACCTGAGGCTTTGTTTGTTTGGTTCTGTATTGGCAACACATGTAGATGGTACCAAACGTGCATATCAGCAGCAGCAGAATGCCAGTAACACTCAACGCAACTGTCTTCTTGGTTTGCAGTGCATCTGCGCTGGAGGTGTCCAGGACAGTATTGATGGAAGAATTCATCTGGAAATGGAGAGCCAAGAGGCAATTATTGCACGTCTCCATCGATTCAGAGAGTGTGGATGCATTTAAGAAGACGCTAGATGCATGAGAGAGAGAGAGCGAGAGGGGAAATAGAAGGGTGTGGGAGGGAGGAAGGAACAGGTGGAGACTTGTGTGGAGTGTAAACACTGGCTCGGACTATTCGGGCCAAAAGGCCTGTTTCCGTGCTGTGCAATCAATGTAAATGTATGATTTGCAATGTTATACCCAGAGGATAGAGTTAAAAAATCCTTGTCCTTGACTTCAAAGCCCTCCACAGCCTTGCTCCTTCCTACCTCTGTGACCTGCTAACTCCATATAGACCAATGCGCTCCCTCCCTGCTTATCACCAACGACTTATTAATAAATAATAATAATCCTTACATTTTACAGCGTTGTTTCAGAGAACACCTCGAAGAGCTTCACGTGATTTACAATAATGTGTCGCCACTGTTGTGTATTTTGTCAGCAAACGCAACAGACAATTTGCACACGGGGGTGTCCCACAGACAGCCATGAGGCGAGTGACCAATTTTATTTGGGGGGGGGGGAACTGGGGGGGACGGTTAGCCAGGACACCAGGTAGAAACTCCCTCCTCTTTGCGAATAGCGCCGTGGGACCTTTAAGAAGACCTCCAAATCCTGTCTGAAGAGCTTCCTCTTCCGACAATGCTCACTGTGATATCTCTTCACTGCCACTTCACTTAAGCTCCCTGGGACTCGGCCCTGCGGGAGGGGCACTCTATAAATGCCAGTTGTTGTTGTTGCCTCTCGCGGGGAATGTGGAGACTTACCATGCCCAGTTGTGATCTTAGATGCTCCACAGACTGACTGATTTCTTCTTTGTTGACTGTAAAGATGAGATAACGTTTAGCAGTCACACACACTACACACGCACACACACGCACGCACATCTCAGCACTACCGTCCCCTCCCACCCCAAGACCCCAGAAATAATATATACAATAAAACTTGCACAGGTCTGATCTGTACACGTGGTATTAACGCCTAAATCTTACATCTGCCCAACAAGTCCTGTTGAATTTCCACTAACTGATGCAGGTTTCGCACTTCGCATAAGTTGTATTAAATGTATGGTTCCCAACTGATACGATTTATGTGGGGGAGGTTTACTCTGATAATCCTTGAATTTGCCTATAATGTTAAGATGTTAATTTAAGCGCTTCACAGAAAATTCACAGGTGGCTGTGTATTTTTAAGCGAAATCCGTTTTGCACTGAGCAATTTCCCACCAACAACCTGCCATGAAATGAAGAGATAACTTATCTGGGTGGAATAATAGAAAAAAACAAATCTCGCGCCTCACCACATCTTCGAGACGTCTCAAAGCGCTTCACAGAATATACTGTAAAGTGAATTGACTGTAATGTTTTGTGAGCCAATTGCACACAGCAGCGTCCCACAAGCAGTCGTGGATTGAGTGATCAAATTATTATTTTTTTGAAGGTATTATTGCTCCCCCCCCCCCCCCACCCTGGAAAAATGATCCACCAATCGACTAACCACTGGGCTCCTACTTACTGCTGGTAAACAGATGCGTGTGGAGTAAGGAAACTTGCTTAAAGTTTTATCCTGCCCGGGAATCGAACCCAGATCCTCTCGTTTGTGGGGCGAGTGCTCTCACCACGAGATATGAAGAACGTCCTCAGTCTAACCTTTGAATACGACATCTACGATCTTCAAAAGCTTCTGGTTGGCAGAATTGGGGCTGATATAGACCTCGCAGTATGATGTCGATGCGTACTTTTTTCTCAGCTCCCTGCACAGCAACTTGGCGAGCTGGTCTCCTTTATCCCTCACGAAGCTTTCCTAAGGATTTTGAAAGAAAAGATCAGGGTGTTACATTGGGAATATTTATAATAATAATACTAATCCTACAGTGCCTTATCGCGTTCGTTGAGACGTATCAAAGAGAGCGTCTTCACGGAATATACTGTAGAGCGAATCGACTGTGTGTTTCCTGGCTGAAACGCGGTAACCAGTGCCCCACAAACAGCCGTGGATTGAGCCACCAAGTTATTTTCTTACTTTCAAGTTATCCGCAGATTGTTTTGAAAATGTTCTCATCAAATGTTCTCAATCTCTCTTTCTCACACGCAACATCGCACAGCACTTTACAGCAAGAGTTGTGTCCGTGTTTGCGGCCAAAACTGAGCAGCCTTCTTGGCCCTATGGGATGCATTGAAAGCATTTGCCTGATCTGACAAGCAAGACCCGGCTTCAGTTTGATCCAAAAGGATGGCACCTCTGACAATGCTGTCTCTGCCTTACCCCAGCACAACACTGTAGTGTCACCCTCGACTGTGAGCTCAAGTCCGAATGTGATAATAATAGTAATAATCCTTGCATTTGATGTCACGTTGTCGAGACGTCTCAAAGCGCTTCACAGAATATACTGTAAAGTGAATTCATTATATTTTGTGAGGGTAATTGTGTACTGCAATGTCCCACAAACAGCTGTGGATTGAGTGACCAATTTATATATTTTTATTTTATTTTTGAAGGGATTATTGCCACCGGAAAAGCGATCCATCAATCGACTAACAACTGTGTTCCTACTTACTACTGGGTAAACAGGTGCGTGTGTGTGTGCGTAGAGTAAGGAAACTTGTCTAGGTTTCACCCGGCCCGGGAATCGAACCCGGGTCCTCTCACTTGCGAGGCGAGAGCTCTAACCGCTGAGCTACAGGACTCCAATGCGAGGCTCGAACCCACGTCCCTCGATAACGCAGTTTAGCTTTAAATACGGACGGCTGGTGAGAATGCCTCTCTCTGTGCTGACATCCATAATTGCTTCTAAACCCAGAGAATGTCTGCTTTGCTTATTGATGCCTTTTCCACCATGAAACGCTTATCACGATTGAGCTGAACTTTCCAAAAGAGCAGGTGTCTGTTTATCTATCCCCAATACAAGAAAGCGAGAAGGAGAGAGAGAGAGAGAGAGAGCGCGAGCGAGGGGGAGAGAGGGTGCCAAGCTTGCTACGCAAGACTGGCGGTGAGACTGGGAGTGCTTATCATCTGGGAAATGCCTCTCTGCACTTTCATCAGCAAACACTTGACTCCTTATCTGTTTCTGGCAGAAGCACATTATATTGACACAAAGCCATGACTGGGGCTCTGACTCCAATGTTAACAGCAGGGAATAAAGCCCCATTTCTGGGGCTGTGCTGTCATTTGCAGGTCGGGAAGGATTCTCGAGCGTTTTATACTCAGGCGAACACGCTTTTTTAAAAAAATCTCCCAAGGCAACAAAATAATACTACAAATAATAATAATACTTGCATTTAATATAGCGCCCGTAACACCAAACAGTCTCAAAGTGCCTTGCAGGTAAATTGCTGTCAAATATTATGATTGTTATTATTAAGTGTAGTGACCCGCGTATTTGTTGGCAAAGCGCAGCAGTCAGTTTAACGCAGCGTAAAATGTCCCACAAACAGCCGTGAAGTGAATGGCCGATTTTATCTGGAGGATTTTTGGCCAGTCACCGAAAGAAATCTACTTGAACAGACAGATTAGCCCCTTCGCTTAAAGTCTTATCTGAAGGTTAAGACCTCCAACAATATAGTGCGTCCCCTAGAGCGTGAGATGAAAGTCCCAAAGTTGGGTTTGGACCCGTGACCTTCTGTGCGAGAGGCAAGAAGGCTACCAACTCATCTGTGTTGGCCAATGCAAGGATTTGCCATTGCGAATACAGAGTAAAGCTTTGCTGAATGATGCTAATTCTGATACTGATTCAGTTGAGCTGTGGGTGGCGCTGTACTGTTAGGTAAATCCAGGTCCTTTCTTGGTTGGAAGCGAATCCCAAGATCACTTTGGATGAAGAAGGCCCCTTCAGACCATCGGATCTCATCCGTCCAGATCACCCACTTTACCATCGTCCCACTATAGCATCCAGGAATGGTTCGGTTGTGTGCGTCTGTGTTGGGCACTGTAACAGTGAAGGCTCCTGGATGGATCCTTGTCTCTACGCTGAGCTAATTGAACTCACTGTGTGTTTATTAATAATAATAATAATCATCCTTGAATTTGACATAGCGCCTTCTCAAGTTGTTGAGACGTCTCAAAGCGCTTTAAAGCAGTTCGTCATGGTGCAGCGATGCTGGGCTTCACTGTTTAACAAATAAAACATACCCTGTGTAGAGCTTGGCAAGGGCTCAAATGATTTCATTCGAAGACTTTTCCTCCCCCCACCCTCTCTCTCTGTGTGTGCGGTATCACCCAGTCGGTGTCAGCATGTTTGTGAGGCAGAGCAGTGTTCCTTGGAATGTCCAGGCTGGAGTTACAGCCTCCCCAAAGTGTTATTGCTGAGCAAGAAAAAAGTCAGTTCCTCTGATAAAATGGGGGGGGGGGGGGAAAAATTTGCTATCTGACCCAGTCCAGCTTCCAGTGTCAGGAAAGCTCGAGAGATGCCGTGCCAATTCAAGACACTCTCCTTGAGAGTGGATCCTCAGTCACACACACGGCTTTTTGCTGGAAAACCCAATCTGCTTTCTGTTTGGTGCCTTGTATGGTGGGAGTCCTGTAGCTCAGCGGTTAGAGCACTCGCCTCGCAAGCTAGAGGACCTGGGTTTCGATTCCCGGGTTTCCTTACTCCACACGCCTCTGTTCACCCAGCAGTAAATGGGAACCAAGTCGATTGGCACATTGCTTTTCCGGGGATGATAATAATTCCTCCAAGAAAAATGAATCGGTCACTCAATCCATGACTGTTTGTGGGGACGCGGCTGTGTGCGCAATTGGCTGAGATTGGGGACTTTGGTTAACAAACCCTCCAATTGTAAAACGGTACCAATCAATATCTGTCCTCGATGGGTTGGCCAGGACACCGGGAGAGAGAAACTTCCTTTTTCCACTAGCAAAGCGGGATCTTTTTACAGCCACCTGAACAGGCAGAAGGGACCTCGGTTGAACGTCTCATCCGAAGGATGTCACCTATGTCAATGCAACACTGGCACTGCAATTGGAGCATCAGCCTAGACGGCGAGTTCAACATCAAGGTGGGTTTGTATAGTGAAGTGTAGAGTCTCGAGCACTTGATGTCCCGAGCTTCTGATTCAGCGGCTGGAGTGCTACAAACAGCCAAGCTGACACGGTGTAAAAAGCGGAGTGGTGGGGGGGTGGGGGGATAAGCAAATAACTAGCTATCGAATACAAGTTTTATAAGCTCTTCCCTGGAGTTCTGCTGTCCAAACTAAGCAAACGCTACATTGATATAACCTTACATCTCTGTGTGAATCAGATGAGCCCTTGTCCTGACAAGAGAAGGCAAAAACCCCACTGAATTGGCACAACCGGCACAAGTGCCGAGTGTCCGAAATTGGGCCTTTTCCGAAACTTGAGAGCCGAAATCTCATTGCGTGCGCATGACTGAAAACAAACAAGTACTGGCACCGGCAAACTCGTAACTTAATACGGAAAAATAAACTCAACAGACTTAAATTTCAAGGCCAGAAAATGACATAGCCTCTTTCCCACAGCGACAAAATCTAAAGGCAACATCCTGTAATGAAGTAAGAATTGTGTGTTGGATAAGCAGCTTATTTTTAATCAACAGGTTTAGGCCCTCGTGGAGAACACAGGGCAATGTAAATTGGACCACACAGGACATGGATTCAATTGAAAGCACCACACGCGCCAGCCAGAGTCTTAATATTAATCATTCTTACATTCGATATTCATGTCAAGAGAATGTCTCAAAGCCCTTCACAGGATATTCTGTTGTTTGTTCATTCACTCACTCACTCACCCATTCACTGCTCGGCGTTAAGGGTGCTATTTAAATACAAGTTTTTGTAAAGTGCAGTGACTGTATTTTGTGGGCCAACTCGGCAGCCAATTTGCACATAGCATTGTCCCACAAAGCGAATGACCACATTTTTTTATTTGAGTGATTGTCGGCCAGGACACCGGAGAGAGAGAGAGAGAGAGAGAAACTCCCTTCTCTTTTCAAATTGCACTAAAATAAAAGAGAAATTCATCATGTTTGTGGGACGTCAAATTGACTGCCCACAAAATACACAGTCACTGCATTTTAAAGTATATCCCGTGAAACTCTTTGGAACATCCTCCCGACCTGAAAGGCGCCGAACCGAACGAAAGGATTGCTAAGGTGAGGATTCTTGTTATTAAAGTAAAAGTACTGAACGAAAGTCTCTCTGGCAGTTTTAGAGAAGACCTGCTTGAGCAAATGTAAATTATCTTTTCGCTTGTGTGAACCAGGCAAAGTTTATTTAGTGGCCCTGATTTATGGTACTGTTTACGTCTCTCTTGACACACCCAGGCTGAGGCTGTGATGGAAGAAAGAGACAAGAGACTGATGGGAATCGACGCAGGCAGTAAGTCTAAGGCATGTCGCAGTGATAGAGGCAAACACAAATCTGTGATGCAGCAATACAGGCAATGCACAGTTTACACCCACAAGCCTCAAGTTGTTGGGAATCAAATCAGTGCCTTACGCAAAATTCAGGAGAGATTCCTGGGCCTCAGGAAGAAGCTTAAATTAGCTCCGCTAACCAGGTAGCCTGCATGTAAAAGGCACATCCCTGAAACTGTGGAGGCTAAAAATTGAATCTTTCAGCACAGGTAGAGGTGACGGGGCGAAAGGTTGGACAAGTTTCCTTACTCCACACACCTCTGTTTACGCAGCGGTAAGTTGGAACCTGGTTGTTAGTCGAACAGCAGATCGCTTTAACGGGGGTAATAATTGCTTCAAAAAAAATCCACGGCTGTCCGCAATTGGCTGCTTCTCATCATCCCTGACCCACGAACTTCAAGCTGCTAAACGCCCCACTTTAAAGCCAATTCACTTGACAGTATATTCCGTGAAGCGCTTTTGAGACGTCTCGAAGACGCGATAAGGCGCTGTATCAAATGCAAAGGAATATTGTGAAGTTGAGACACACCTTGCGACCTTTCCGGTTGAATTTAAGAACTTAGCGCGTTTCTGTGCGACCTTAAACGTGAAGGCAAAATGACATTCCAGGTTTTAAGACTCGGTGGAGTTTTACTATGTCTCACACCAGGCGGGAGGGTTTGAAGAGCCTTTTTTTTTTGCTTGTTGCCATGGGGCGGTTTCAGTTGCAAGACCTGGTATGTGACAACTTTTAACTTCTTGTTAAAACCCAAATCCTCAGTGTAAATGTCACACGCACGGCAAGGCTGCAGCCTCTCAAAGTCTTCGTGTCTTCAGTCTAAGCACCACGACCTCCGAATTCACACCTTGTGTAACTCGATCCCAACTTCAAGGTGTTACGATTTTTTTTACCAACGGAGCAATGATGTGATGGGATCTCGCTTCCCCCTGAATTCCTTCTCTACGCAGGTAATCATAAACGATCTTTACGTTTCAGTCAAAAGCCTTTCACGTCGGGAACGCACCTCAAAGCCCTTCACGGGATCTACTGCAAAGTGTAGTGATTGTATTAGTTTTCTAAGTGGACTGGATCTCTGACGCCTACTTCCAAGGCTTTGCAGCGAGTAAAATTAGCTGCCGGGTTCACCCACAAATACATAGCACCACACGTCATGGTAAAACACTTCAAAGCGCTTCCAGATAGCAACTCCATCCCATAATCCCTTCACCTCGCCCCCTCCCTCGCCTTCTTCAAGGCCTGTCTCAAGACCCTCCTCTTCGACCGTGCCTTCGGTCACCCTCCTACACCCACCCTCCCGGCCCTCCACCCCTCCTGATGCCAATCCCCAGCTTGGGTCCAAACCCCTGACTATCCACGCCTTGGGACGTCCTCCCGATGTGAAAGGGGCTATTCAAATGTGATTTTTTTTGTTGTTGTCTCGACGACACCATAAGGCTCTGTAGCAAATGCAAGTTTTATTATATTATTCTCTATGTCCTTTGAGAAATGCTTAATAAATGAGACATTTTCAACTAACGCTACTTGTTCTGTCTGTTTAAAGGGTGAAACTGATGCATTTCCGGGGGAATCCAGGTTTGCTCTGTGTTAAATTAGCTCATCTCAACTTAGAAATGTGCCCTATAATCAGCCTCAGTGCCTCTTGACTGTGGAGGTTTGAAATCAGTTAAGGGCTCAGTAAAATCCCTGCTGGTGAATGCTTTGGAGTGCTCTTTGAAACTTCCTCCCAAAAACTCCTCTACCTCAAACTTTCAAAAAAAAACATTCTTTAACCAATTCTTTTGACCGTTCCTTTGGTTTAACATCTCAGCCGAAGGATGGCCCCTCTGTTGTACACTGGAGAGTCAGCCTGGATTATGAGCTCAAAGTCTCAAAGTGGGGCTCAAACCCACAACCTTCTTACTCAGAGGCGAGAGTGCTATTAACTGAGCCAGACTGACACCCGATTAGAATTAGCTTGCCCCGAATGGACTTATACGAATGGTCGGAAAAGAAATGAACGGTAAATGTTTTATAACATAATATATTTCTTAGTAAAATAAGGCTCCCCGCCATTAATCCTCAATGCCTGACATAAACAGCGACGGTAAAGTAATTAAAAATGACTGATTTAGGGTGAAATGTCTAACCACTGCAACTGCAGCCATGAATCCCAGTGAAATGAGCGAAGCGATTCCGAGTCTCGCACTAAAGCAACCTCTTCTGTAAAATCACGTCGAAAGTTCACCTTTCGCAGCGAGACACAAACCAGAGGCACTTTTAGTCCTGATGGGTCTTGCAACAGAGTTCATTTATCACCGGCCCATTTTGCCTGTATCGCATCCCTCGCTTCTGCTAAATGGCATCTGAGTGACCCTTATCTCAAAGGTCACCCGCAGACCTTTTAAAAATCCCCTGATATGGCTGGTGGGTCTCAGTGCCAGACGGCTCGCAAAGCCTAATATATCACGTCTCTGCAACCTGTACCATGCCGGAAAGCAGCTCGGAGTTCTGACCCCCAGTGATCTCTGCTCTCGGCAAGACCCTTCGCCTTTCGCTTGAGAGATTTACAGGCATCGGGTTTTGATTTACGGCAACGCAGGCCGATAAGGTGTTCCTGGAGTCGGGGGCGAGACTTCCCGCAAACAATTTAACAGGATCCATCTGCCTCGACGACGCCTCGATTTCCTCTGCCCCTTTCGCAGTCCGCACAGTGTTTCGCCCACGAAATACGCAGTCGCTACACTTTGCAGTGTCTGCTGTGAAGCGCTTTGAGACGTCTAGAAGACGTGATAAGGCGCTATATCAAATGCGAGGATTATTCTCATTCTTAGGAAATGCTCTGCAATTCCTCAGGAGGAGGTGGAAACCAGGCAAAGGGGGCAAAGGGAAGAACAAACTTACTTTCAACCTCCACCCCGCCCACCCCTCCACGCACAAGGTCTTCATCCGACAAAATAGCTCAATGCACATTGTAAACGATTGCTGTAAAGTGTGTCGACCGTGAATTTTATAGGCAGTTACAGCGCCCATGCAAGCGGAAGTATCTCGGAGCGCTTAACGGTGCTGGAAATCCATCCTAAACCCAAACTGAGCTGCGGATTGGCAATAGCAACTCCGGAACTGCTGGAGTCCAACCAACTAAAACCACACAACTTGCCATTGAGAGGGTTGTCTGGCAATCCTTCCTGCTGCTCGTCCAGCTAGGACCACCCTCGCCTGTTAGGGCTTTGCCTTTCAGGGTTAAGCATGAGCTGAGCAAACTGAGCTCTTCTATATCTCAAAGGCTTGGCCACGCACATTTACTTACACAGCGAGTGCTCTCGTTCAGAAACAGGATGCTGATGTATTCACTGCTCTCTTTCACGCACTTCATCTGGAAACAAACACACCACCACAACAGTAAATTATATGTGTGCAGCGCCTTTCACACCAGGAGGACGTCCCAAGGCGTTGGACAGTCAGGGATCCGCACCCGACCTGGTGCTTGGGATCGGGGTGGGGTTGGGGGGTGGAGGGCGGGGAGGGTAAGGGTAGGAAGGTGACCGAAGGCGCGGTCGAAAGAGGAGGGTCATGAAGGAGGCAAGGGAGGGGGCCGAGGCAGAGGGACTGTGGGGTGGAGTTCCAGAGGGTCACCGTAGGCTTTGTTCAAATGGCACGTGGAAGAGGGTACAGATTGAGACGCACAGTAAATGCAGTGAATTCTCCATCTGTGCGTAGTGACCACTGTTCGTTCACTACTGACCGTCCACTCCCTACCTGTTAAGGGATGGTTGCTATGATGCTATTTCAGTTCTGAAACTCAATAGTGCCTTATCAAGTCGCTGAAATGTCTCAAAGTGTTTCACACAATTCGTTGTAAAATGGTATGCGAATATTTTGTGGGCAGAAGCGGCAGCCTATTTATGCACACAGCGATGTCGTGACTGACCAATTTTATTTGGGGGATTGTTGGCCAGGACTCTGGGAGAAATCCCCATCCCTTTTCAAATAGCGCCGAGGGATCTTTGACGTCGACCTGAACAAGCAGAGGGGACCTCGGTTTAATGTCTCATCCAAAGGATGGCACCTCTTGACAATGCAGCAGACCCACAGCATTGCATCGGAGTGTTACCTTAGACTATATGGGTTCCGAGTCCTTGCAGGGTCTTGTGCCGATTAACCTTCTGACTCAGAGGCGAGAGTGCTACCGACTGAGCCAGGTTGAATCGAGATGTATATGCGAGGGAAACGGGAGAGCTGAAGGGTTGTGTGGAGTATAGACGCTAACACGGATTAGTTGGGCTGAATGATCTGTTTCCGTGCGGGTCACTGTATGTAACTTCCTGTTCCTTATAGCGCTTATCAAAGTCTAAATCTTCAAGAAGTGGATCACATTAAAGTTAAAACTTGTGGAGGACAGCAAAACTTTATCCAGCGAATTAATTTACAGCAACAAATAGATTTGATCAAAATAAATTGAAGGGTGGGGGTGGGTGGAAGCTGTCTGACCCTGACTTAAATCTCAGTGTCTAGAGGTAGAATGAATCGAGGGGACACTGAAAGATTAAACACATTTATTAATTCGGAGCCTGAGCTAAGGGCAGGCGAGAGTAAGATAGCCGGATTAAAATTGAATACGCAGAAGAAATGGATAGAGGAATATTCGAGGTATTGAAAGCAGTTTAACTGAAAGTTATTTATCGCCTAAGGGGGGCTGGGGGGGTGGGGCGAGGGGTCTGCGAGATATTATTAAGGATGTGCCGATCAGGAGACTGAGACAACAACAGCAACAACTTGCATTTGTATAGCGCCTTTCGCGCAGCATAGTTGTCTCAGATCTCTGCAACAATATAATAATAATAATAATCTTTTATTTGACATAGCGCCTTATCACGTTGATGAGAGGTCTCAAAGCGCTTCCCAAAATATACTGTCAAGTGAATTGACTGTATACGCTATATCAAATGTAAGATGTTCTCATCTAGGATCTTGGATTGAATCCAAACTAGACCCCTCACTCTGTTAGGTGTAAGAATCCTACATGAATATACTGTAAAGTCAATTGACTGTGTATTTTGTGGGCGAAACGCGGCAGCCAATTGCGCAAAACAATGTCCCACAAACACGCATGGATTCTCGGACGGGGCAAGTTTCCTTACTCCACATCGCTCTGTTTACCTAGTGGTAAGTAGGAACCCAGTTGTTAGTCGATTGGGTGGATCGCTTTCCAGGGTTAATAATCCCTCTCCCCCCCCACCCCGCAAAAATTGGGTCACTCAATCCACGACTGTTTGTGGGATACTGCTGTGCGCAATTGGCTGCTTTGTTTCGCCCACAAAATACACAGTCGATTGACTTTACATGTTCGTGTAGGATCCTTACACCTAATAGAGTGAGGGGTCTAGTTTGGATTCAATCCAAGATCCTAGATGAGAACATTCAACCCATATAATAATAATAATAATCCTTGCATTTGATATAGCGCTTTTCACGTCGGGAGGACGTCCCAAAGCGCTTCACAGAACACACTGTAAAGTGAATTGACTGTATATTTGTGAGCGGACGCGGCAGCCAATTGCGCTCAGCGATGTCCCACAAACAGTCGTAGATTGAAAATGACCAATTTATTATTGTTTTGGGTTTTGGAGGGATTATTATTAGGCTCTGTGTGGAATAAGGAAACTTGCCCAAGGTTTGGCCCTCTGCCTGGAATTGAACTCAGGTCTCTCACTTGCAAAGCGAGTGCTCTAACCACTGAGCTACAGGACTCCATATGTCCGCTCACACCAATATATGGTTCCATGCTCGAACGCCTGTCTTTTTTTTTTACCTGGTTTTGGTTTTGTACAGAGCTGGTGACCGTTGCAAATGTCCCTGCGCTAGATGCAGTGTTGTTCTCTCCTGGTCTCTCTTTGGTGGGTGTGTCAGCGTGTGACATGAGGCTTGGAGTTGATGGTGATGGTGATGAGACATTTGACTCTTGACTCGACGCTTTCGAATGATGAACGGGAGAATCTGTCATGTCAATTGTGTTCTGAGTCGGCAATGTCTCTGTAATAAAGCAGATGTCAGATACGTTTTTACAAAATGTGCACTTTTTTTTAATTCTCGCTGTAGAAGTTACAATTAATGATGATAATCCTGACATTTGACACAGCGCCTTATCATGTCTTCGAGACGTCTCAAAGTGCTTCACTGAATATACTGTAAAGTGAATTGACTGTATATTTCGTGGGTGAAACGCGGCAGCCAATTGCGCACAGCAGTGTCCCACAAACAGTCGTGGATTGAGTGACCAATTTTTTTTTTTGAAGGAATTTTTACCCCCAGAAAAGAGATCTGCCAATCGAGTAACAACCAGGTTCCTATTTACTGCTAGATAAAACAGAGGCGTGTGGAGGAAGGAAACATCCTGCCCACCATTTTGCCCTGCCCGGGAATCAAACCCAGATTTCTCGCTTGTGAGGTGAGCACTCTAACCACTGAGCTGCATGATGATCTTTAAATGATGATCCCTCCCCCTCTCCCCCTCTCTCTCTCTCTGGGGGGTGTGTGAAAGGCACTATACCAAATGTAAGGATTATTATTGCTATTATTACTACTACCATCTAAGATCAGTAAAATATCAGAAGATTACTCCTTACCAGAATCACTAACTGTTCCGTTCAATGTCCCGGGGACTGAAGAGGAATTGGTGGACCCATTCGATGGGCCCGCAGTGTTGATGGTGGAGGACATGAAAAAAGGTTCAGAAGTAGCACTCCTGTTGGATGGGACCGTATGGTTGGTGGAGCCCACTGGAGTGGAGGACGTAAAAGATTGGTCAGTAGGAGTACTGGTGTTGGATGGGACCGTAGAGTTGATGGAGGCCACTGTGGTGGAGGACACGAGAAAAGGTTTAGAAGTAGCGCTGGTGTTCGATGGGACCGTAAGATTGGTGGAGTTCACCGCGGTGGAGGACGTGAGAGATGGAGCACTGGTGGCCATCAATGTCGATCCTGAATTGTTGGCGGCACTCGAATTAACCGCTGATTGGGTTGTTGTCTCATTGGCAGAAGCGTTGCCAGCAGGGGTGCTCATCTTCGGCGTGCTCATGGTGTTCTCCTTTCCATCTTTGCTCTCCGTACAATTCTGTGTGTTGTTGTCCTGACTGTTGGGGGTTGTATTTGTGGGCACCGTTGGCAATTGAGGATCCGTTTTGTTGCTCTGATCCTGTTTTTGACTTGTGGTCGGGGTCAGGATTGGTGTCGAGGTCGGGGACATGGAGGAATTTGCGATCATCTCCGTTGTGGTTGTTGAATTTCGGGTGTTAGTGGTACTGTTTGCCGGGGTTGTATATGTGACTGAAACCCCAGTTATTATGAACCAGTAACCTGTTGGTTGGAATAATAAATGCCCAGATTATTACAGGATTTATAGATCACCTTTTGCGGACCTTTTGAGTTGAAGGCAGATTGCAGAGTTGGGTGAAGTTCATTACTACTACTGTATGGGTTACTCTGAAAGAAAATTCAGTTGGCTGAAGAAAAGCAAGGTTAGGAAAAAGATTCAGTTCATCAAGCCTACTCTTAGAATGACTGAATTGTGTGTTTGTTAGTGTTAGCTGCCCTAGTGGAGTTATCTAATCTCATCCCTCTGCTCTTTCCTCATTGTGCACTCATAAGAACATATGGACAGAAGAATTTTCCAGGCAAAAGAAGAGCAAGGTCCATCCAGTTTTCCTTCCACCATCCTGGCAGTCACAAGACATGTCGTGCCAAATTATATACCGTATTATCCCAAGATATAACAGAAATCTGTCTAATTTGTTCTTGAACGAATCAACACTTTCTGCTTCCATCGTCTCCCTCGGGAGCCTGTCCATTCGTTTACTACTCGCTCAATTAAGTAGTGGTGCTGGTGCTATCTTCCCTATTGGAGCTATCTGCTCTAATACCATTCCCTTTCTATTTCCCCATTGTGCCTTTACTGGTGTTCGCTTCCCACATTTCACTACGCTGAACTGTCAGCGGGTTCTCCTGCATGTAGTATACATGCAAGCAACCACAACTGTTTGTGGGACATTGTCGTACGCAATTGGCTGCCACGTTTCACCCACAAGAACGAAACATACACAAAACATACGGTCAATCCACTTTACAGCACATCCTGTGAAGCGCTTTGAGATGGCTCGAAGACGCGATAAGGCGCTGTATCAAATGCAAAGATTATTATTATTAGCAACGGCAAACTGACTTCCCAGAAATAAGCCGTGTCTCGCACAAGAATTCGGCCAGTAAGTGGTTGTTAAGAGTCAACGTGATGGAGCGAGTCATGGCTATATCTGGGTTCCCCAGTATTTCCAATGTGGCCTTACAATATCAATCATCAAACAGAATTAATATAAACCAATAATGTTCAAATGCCTCCACTGTACTGGTTGTGCTGTTATGAAAACAGTTTCGACTGGATCCTTTCAGTAAATTGTTGCTAATCACGCCCAAATCCTTTTCCTTTTTCATGGTTTATTGTGTTCACCCAGCTCTTGTTTCCTGTTCCAATGTTCACTGCATTACATCGAAATACATCCGTCATTCCTTAGTCCATCCATTGATTCTGTCCAACTCCTGCTGAGTTCCAATTAATCTCTCTTAGCCCACTCGTCAACCAGATACTTTGGTGCTGTACTCTGATTGTTTTATTAAATTAAATGCTGTTGTTTTTCAATGGGGACCATGGGATTTTCAACTAAACTCTTAGCTTTGTCAGTGACTACCTTATATTTATATTTATGCCCCTTTGTAATGGACTTACCAATACGTGGAAGCATTTTATTTATATTCGCTTAATTGCACCCTTCGATTCCCTTCTCCAAAAGGTATGTGCACACCTTTAAGCGTATGTGTGTATACTTTTGTGGTGTGTGTGTCCACCTGCTTGCTACTTACTCACCCGTTGACCAGTGGAAGTAACCTTGCCCTGGCACCTCCCTACCTTACTGACCTGCTTACACCCCATTCCTCCACCCGCCCGCATTGCTCAGCTGGCTCATCGTCAGTCGGCCTCCTATGCATCCCTCGTTGCCCCAGCTCCACCATCGGCAGCCATTACCCCTCAGGACTATGGAACTCTCTGTCTCAATTCCTCCACCTTGCCCCCTCCTTGCCCATCTTCAGATCAGGCCTGAAGTCCTACCTCTTCAAATGTGCCTATGGTCACCTTCCCTCTCTCCATGGCTCACCATCAAGAGCTCCAAGACGCTACCCTGCACGAAGGATGCTATATAAATACAAATTGTCATCGTTGTCATAACCCTATGTAATCTTGAAGACCTCAAAACAGCACACAGCTGAGATAAATTTGTTGCTCATGACAGGTTTAGTACCTGGAACAAGCTGGGTTATAATAAGGTCAAGTCTAAGTGAGCAGCACTTTACATCAAAGATCCTATTAAAGTGGGCCTAATGTTCTACTGGGCTAACTCAATGCCATGTCATAGGTGGAACCTGGTTTTGAATCCAGACCAGAGTGGCTCAAAGCACTTCACAGGGTACGCTGTGAAAGTGCCGTGACCTGGTGTATGCTATTCACCTTTACGCCTGCATGCTCTGGGACTCTACCCTACGTGAGAGGCGCTATATAAATGCAAGTTGTTGTTCTTGTTGATGTTCTTCCAATTGAGGCAGGCTACCAAAAGTCTCCTTCGAGCCTCTGGGTAACTTTAGACAAATGGGGTGAAACAATCACTTAGTGAATTGTTCCAGTTTCTTAGTAGATGCTTAGGCAGCGGGGTGTCTCTAAGCTGATCGGAAGTCTCCAAGTACATCCTGACCATGCTTCGCTGAAGACTGCAGAACGAGTGTGTGTGTGTCTCTGTTTATATGCGTGACCCAGCACTGAATCGAACTCCCACTTACTCAACTCGTTACTTCATGTCCCATCACCCACCTATCCGTCCGCAACATCCTATCAGCCAAAACCGATAGGAAGGGGTTTGAGCCCCATCTAGCCCAAGCCACCTATGAGTCGATGTGGTTTCATGGCACGTGAATGCCCTTTAATGCTGCACTAAGTTGACAAGTGTGGGAAGCGGAATATGTCCTAGGTACATAGGAATAGGAGTAGGTAATTTAGCCCCTCGAGCCTGTTCCGCCATTCTATAAGATCATGGCTGATCTGCATCTCAGCTACGATTACCTGCCGTTGCCCCATATGAACCTTGATACCCTGACCTAACAAAAATCCATCCACAGTTCAGTTTGCTTTTACGAGCTTGGGACAGAGGCACTTTGCTGGGGGCAAAGTAAAGGGAGTTTTTCTCTGCATCTAATCGCTGTGCCTATTAAATGGAAAGTATCTGATGCTCACAAAGGAGTCCATTCCAAGAAAAAATAATCTAAGTTGGGGCTATTTGCGGCTTTTCATAATGCATTCCTAGTGATAATTATGATAAGGGACGTGCAGATAAACAGGATACATTTCATCTCAATAAATCACAAGAGAAGTTTGGATGAGGAAGCCCATTTGATCTCATTCCTTTCAGAATACACTCCCTGATGTCCTCCCATTGTAGTGTCAAACTGTGTGTTTTTTTAAATGAATCCAATGTCCTGGCCTCAACCATCACTCCTGGCACCCTGTTCCACTCTGGATGAATAAAAACTTCCTGTTATCTGCCTTGAAATTGTCCTTTGCAATCCGTGAACCTTATGTCCTCCTTACCTCCTGCCTTGGTGGGTGTGAAAATATTTTTTCTGGGTTAATCAACCCCTTCTATACCTTTATAATGTCTCAGAGCTCTGAGGATGCATTGGGATGTCCTCCTGATATGAAAAGGGCTACAGAAATGTGATTTGTTGCTGAGTCTGTCAAAGATGGATTGTTGGTCATTTCAATGGAACAGGCCAATGCATTGTTGTGTGGTTTAAGTTAACTAATCGAGACACCAGAACTTACACTACGACCTTCGATGGCCTCAAGCTCCAGCTCACATCCTTCTCCTCTCTATACCACGTCTTCAGTAAGAATAGTTGGCTAACTCGGGCAGGGCGAAACCTTTGGCAAGTTTCCTTACTCCACACGCATCCGTTTACCTAACAGTGAGCAGGAACCCGGCTGTTAGCTGATGATGGATCGCTTACCTGGGGCAATAATACCTCCAAAAATAAATGAATAATAACAGTAATAGTCTGCTCACTCGCTCCACGCTTGTTTGTGGGACACTGCTGCGCGCAACTGACTGCCGCGTTTCGCCCACAAAAATATACAGTCAACTTACTATGCAGTGTGTTCTGTGAAGCGCTTTGAGACGTCTCAACGGCGTGATAAGGTGCTGTATCAAATGCAAGGATTATGATTAGTACTGTTATTAACTCGACAGTAAGCTCTCCCACCCAACTCTTGGCACTGGGTTGGCTCAGTGGTCTGGTGGGACCCTTGACTTTGTCTAAGTTTTTTTGGGGGAGCATATTGAAAAGTGCAGTTAAAATACTTTGGACATTCCTTCCGTGACCTCTTGTTTGACTTTGCTAGGATCTCCTCCCAAACCCGTTTCCCTCTCCGCTGGGCTTCATGCATTTGAGTGCGGCCGGCACAGAGTTTTGTTTTTGTTGTTCAAGACTTCCTCTAGGAGGAAGTACACCTCAGTATCAAGGAAACACTCTGTGCGCTAGCTCCCAGCGGACTCTTTCTGCTCTGCACTCAATCCTGCAGAGTGTGAGATTTACACACTGGTGGCCCCTGGCCAGCAATTTGCACGTTAAACTGAGCTCTTCACCTCCAAAGTTCACCGGCAACGACTTATAACAGTAATTATAATCCTCATAATAATCCTTGCGTTTGATACAGAGCCTCGTCACGTCTTTGAGACGTCTCAAAGCGCTTCACGGAATGTACTGTCAAGCGAATTGACCGTATTTTGGCGGGGGGGGGGGGGGGGGGGGGCGAAACAAGGCAGCCAATTGCTTCAGTGACAAAAATAACAGTAAAAACCGTGAAATAAAGATAAATCTAGAAAAGCAATTCAGTGCGCAAGTGCCAAATATTACCTTGTCTTTCTCTGTCGATCGCCCCTGCCTTAAGACCTTCAGTATTTTTTTTTAACCGCACTTTCAGCTTCCTCCTCCCCTCTACCCCACAGCTCTCTCTCTCTCCTCTCCTCAGCTTCCTACCCCCTAACTACTCCTCCAGCTCCCCCCACCACCCCCAACTTTTTAGTCCTATCCCACGCCCAAGTCCCCAGCCACAGTGTGAAGTATTTTGAGATGTACTCCTGATGTAAAAACCACTTATGTGAATGTAAATTGTTGTGGTTGATACACTGTGGAATTCTAACTCTTCCCATCTATTTTCCATTACTTTAGGCATAGGGGAACTTGCTCTTAAAACAACAACT